GTCGGCGCTGGTGGAGAGTTCGATTCGCAGGATGGGTTCTAGAAGAGCCAGGCGGTGGAGATTTCACCGGCGCTGGAGGAGGGTCGATTCGCAAGATGGGAGTTGCGACGTTGGATCCGATTCAGACTCAGGGGAGAGCAGGCGGTGGAGAGGTCGATTGGGACGGCGGCAGGGTGGATTTGGACATGGAGAGCAGGCGGTGGAGAGATCGCCGGCTCTGCTCTTCGTCGTCGCCTCGTCGGAGAGAATTTTTTTTTTCTAGGATCGGAGAGAATATTTGGAGTAGGATGTAGGAGTCGACACTCGACAGTACTGAAAGTCTAAGAGCAGGGTTTTTTTTTTCATATTAGAATATATATTATAAAATGAATAAAGAAAATAATATATGTTAATGGATTGGTGGATCAATCCATTAATCCATGAATCCAATCCACCAATCCATGGATCAAATGGATATGGATATAATGGATTTGGATCCATTTTAAATGGATTGGATTGGATTGGATAAATGGATATGGATCTCACTTGCCACCTCTATGCAGGTGTTTTGATAACTCGGAGAGGGTTGATTAATAATAACGACATTAGTTGTTAACAATTTTAGGTAATAAGTTAAGAATTATCTTTAAATGTAACGCTTCAACGCCGTAGTGGATTAATAATTCAAAAATGGATGATTAATAAGAACGGCATTATTTGTTAATAATTAAAGGTTTAATACGGTTAGAAAAATGAATCAGCGGTGGAGACATCACCGTCGAGGTGTTTTAATAACTCGGGAAGGGATGATTAATAATAACTGCATTAGGTGTTAATAATTAAAGGTGTTGAGTTAATAAGTAAATTTGCATGTAAAGCTTAAATTTCGTTGTGGATTAATAATTCGAAAAGGAATCATTAATAAGAACTGCATTACTTGTTAATAATTTTACATGTGATGATAGATTAATAAAATAGATGACTTCGTTAATAATAATGTGCACGTGTGTTGTTAATGTTAAATATGTTTGCGGGAGGACGAGATATTATATTAATAACGTCGTTCTGTATTAATAATTTGAAAAGGAAGAGTAATAAGAACGACTTAGTTGTTAATAACATAGTGCATTGATATTATTGAAAATACTAATAATAATGTTATTGTGAGTTAGAAATTGTAAATGAAAATGTTAAAAACGTAGTGTATTTGTTTGTTGGTAATAACGTTATTGCTTTAATAATTAAACAAGATTTATTTAATAATAACGTGTACGTTTGTTGTTAATGGTAAATATCAGTGCGGGAGGACAAGTTATTATATTGTTGTATGTTTTCTTTGTTGATATTAATAACATTGTTTAATAATTCTGTTACTACAACGCTTACGTATTTGTTATCTCGTCAATATTACGAACCTAAATGAACTATCTTGTGATGTCAACTTGGAAGTGGACGATATTGGCCACAACATGGACGGAAGCCAAGATGAGATTTCATTGGATACTACATATGTTGATGTTTAAGGAAACATGAGGTGTTTGGTCTTGACATTAGTTTAGATGTGGATTGTTTGTTGGTATCGAGTTTCAGGGCAGACATAGTTATCTTTGTGGACATAGTATGCGGTTTCAGATGATTTAGGATGGTGAATATTTGGCGACGCAGTTGCTGATGCTTTTGACAATGAAACATTATTTGTTAATAACGTAAGATTGTTGATAATTCCGGAAAAGAAAGGTCTTAGTACTACACCTAATTCATATAACTATAAATAGACAAGTGAGTGGTCTCTTTTATGTTTGATCTTATTGTGGACCATAGTGGAAATCGAATGAACATCCCTATATTATCTCAACTTTTTTTGGAATTATGTTATGTTTCTTAGATTTTTTGGAATCAAGAATTTGAATTCGGCACGAAGTAGATAGGTTGTCACATGGGATGAATCAATCCATTTTTGAGTGACGGGATCAGACTTAAAATTTTATGCTTGAATAATCAATGAATGAATTGGCTCGGAAGTTGAAAAATATAGTTTGTCATGTGGGATAAATCGATCAATTAATTAACTTTTAAAAATGACACGTAACAATTCATGGTTTGAATAATCAATTAATGAATTTGGTGAGAAACCAAAAATTATATAAGCAAAGATTTTTAATATTCTTACCATTAAATCACTTTATATTTCCTACCAAAAAATGCTAAGCCAATTATTATTGTTAAACTTCAAACTTCAGTTACAAACCTCTATTCTCATGGTTAAGTAATGCATTAACCAATACCAAAGATTTTAAAAGTCAACCAAACCATCTGGTAGTCTCCGCTTCGACAAAGTGTGTTGGGCCTTCTTTGGATCATTGGGCCGAAGATCCTCTCGTGACCCATAAGCCCTGAATAAAGAAAGAATTTTCGCTCTTTTTCGATGCAAGAAAGAAAATTTAAAATTAATTTTTAGATAAACATTCTATTTTTTACCTTCCGCTTCTGCAATTTGGAGCTAGCGAGTGGGAAGGTGGGCTGCAATTTGGAACTCACGCTCCGATCCGACGACTGGCTAAACTTCGTCCCTATATCCGTAGTTTTTGAATACTGAATATTCTCGCCGTATATCTAACATTATACCTAGAATTACATTAGTTGTGTATATGGGCTCTTCTAGTCGCACTTGATATTGAACCTCAGTTACATTAGTTGTGTATATGGAATGCATATCTTTCATGATAATCTATGTAGAATTGAACTCAATTTCATTTTTTTATTAAGGTGACTACATCATTCTGAGTTTCAAGTACTTGGTGAGATTTCACAAACTGCAAGTCAAATACTCTTGTGAAATTTGTCGAAAAGTAGGAGCTTAAGAGACTTTGATTCCTATCTATGATGTTTATTGGAAAACTAGGGATAGGTCTTAGTACTAGACCTAACTCATATAACTATAAATAGACAAGTGAGTGGTCTCTTTTATGTTTGCTCTTATTATGGACCATAGTGGAAATCGAATGAACATCCCTATATTATCTCAACGTTTTTTTTGTTTGGAATTATGTTATGTTTCTTAGATTTTTTAGAATCAACAATTTGAATTTGGCGCGAAGTAGATAGGTTGGCACGTGGGATGAATCAATCAATTTATGACTTGACGGGATCAGATTTAAAACTTTATGCTTGAATAATCAATGAATGAATTTGGTGCGGAAGCTGGAAAATATAGTTTGACACGTGGGATGAATCGATAAATTAATTAACTTTTAGAAATGATATGTGAGAATTCACGTCTGAATAATGAATATATGAATTTGATGAGAAACTTAAAATTATACAAGTTGTAGCGTGGAATAAATTGATCGATCAAACCGCAAGCATATAATGTCGTAATAACTATAACTATAAGATTATTTTCCAATCATTAGAAAAGCATTCAAAATTACTATAAAAAGTAATTTAGATGTGAAAAAATAATTTTGAGGCTCGAAAGTAACTTTTGATATTTGGAGTTAAGACGTTGATTTTTCAATTTGCAGTATTCATAGACTTTAATAATAACACCTCAAAGTTCCACATCTAATTTTAATGTGAAGAGCAAAGATTTTTTAAATTCTTACCATTGGATCACTTTATATTTCCCACCAAAAATGCTAAGCCAATGATAATAAAATTTCAATTACAAATCTCTATTCTCTTGGTTAGGTAATGCATTGACCAACACCAAATATTCGAAGTCAACCAAACCATCTAGTACTAGTAGTCTCCACTCTGACAAAGTGTGTCGGGCCTTCGTTGATTGGGCCGAATGTCCTTTCGTGGGCAAAGGCCGGACACCATACTAGTTTTTTTTAAATTTGTTTTTACATAAACATTCTAAAAATGGGTTAATACCCTAGTTTGGCCCGAAGTATAGCGTAAGTGACAGTTCTTACCCAATTTTTCAAATAGGACATTTATGGTCTCCTTTTGAAAGTATTAGATAGATTTGGCCCGAAACTTGTGTTGACTGTTAATATTAACGGTCAAACATTTATTCTGTCAATGACTCAGCATCTAGTGCTAAGGTGGCATCCACGTCACTTATTAATTAAAAATAAAAATAAAAACAAACAAAATCCTAAAATCCCTTCTTCTCTTCTAAATAATCTTACAATTCGCCTCCCACCAGCCGAGCTCCGCTTTCTTCCTTAAAAAATCCCACCGCCTTCCAATCGAACTCCCACTTCATCTTCTTCCACTCTCTACGGTGTCATCCCATCGGGCGCTTGGAGTTGATCGAGACGAAAATCCAGATCCAATTACCTTTCCTCGTCCCTTCCGACTCCGTCGCTGCAGCGACCATCGTTGTGCAGGTGGTGGTGGTTGTCTTCTCCCTCGGACCGATATGGAGGACCCTAAATCCACCCTCCAATCATCCCTGGATTAGTGGTCGGCGACGAGAAAGGGGTTGGCAGTTAAAGACGACAACGAGATACAACTAGAAGAAGGGTCGGGAGGAAGACGAGTGGGAGTGGCGGTGGTCGTCGTCCGATTCGGGTCGGCTTACCTATGGCTGCTTCTTTGCCGACGATAGAAGAAGATTACGGATTGTGAAGAGATTGAAGACAATAGCTTAGTTTGGCCCTGCGATAGCTTTTGCAGAAGCAGCTTCTCGCTGGAGCTTTTACATAAGTACTTTTCAAAAAAAGCAATTGAGTGTTTGGCTCTAAAACTATTAGAAGTGCTTTTTAATATGAAAGATTGTGTAAAATGACTATAAATGACTTACAATATAAAATATGAATAAAAATTCTAAACAACAAAATGTAAACAAAACGGATCTTGTTAGATTTCTTTTATATTAAATAATATGATTTTATAATTTATTTTATTTTTAAAATAATATAAATGAAGGAAAATTATATTTTCTTAAATAAAATTAAAATATGGTAAGGATAATCTTGTATTTTCAAAACAGCTTTTCGCAGAAGCTCCAAATAAGAGCTTCTGCTTTTATGTTATACAAAAGCGCTTTTCGGCTTTTCAAAAGCCGAGCTTTTACATGTGTTTGGCCCTGCTTTAGCTTTTGAAGCCTAAAAGCATTTCTAAAAGCCGGGCCAAACGTAGGGAATGGCGGTGGTTAATTTTTTGTGTTGCTGCGGTGGGTCGATGTTTGGGTAATAGGTTTTGTGTATTGATTGATGAGAATAACTTTTTGAAATTGAATTTTGAGAATCATATATGGATTTGGAAGATGATATAGAGAAGCCAGAGGAAAGAAGGGGACTGGACAACATCTCATTGCCACCGTTCGACTCCCTTTTTATTTTTTAATTTTTAATTTTCAATTTTTAAATCATGTGGACTAGTCTAGTCAGCAACTAATGTTGAGTCATTAACGGGAAAAATGGTTGACCGTCAATTCTGACGGTCAAACAGTCCCACATGTCAAATTTGTCCAATAGTTTGAAAAGTAAGCCATAAATGTCTTATTCGAAAAGTCGGGCCAGAATTGTCAATAATGCTAAACTTCGGGCCAAATTAGGGTATTAACCATTTTACGTTTCACTTCTGCAATTTGGAGCTCACGAGTGGGAAGGTGGACTGCAATTCGGAACTCACGCTCTCCGATCCGACGGCCGACTAAACTTAGCAATTTTCCCTGCTTGTTCAACGCCGGCCTAGCTCACTGTGACTGGTAATTAATTCGCAAACTCTTCCTGCTTTAGCCTAACTCGGCGTTTAGGAGAACTCTCATTTCGCTGGACGGTAAATCGCAATTTCTTCATTTTGTGGAAGAACGGGGTTCCAAGGTTAAGCCTGCAACTCCGCTCCGGCACTAAATATCATACGATGCATTTTCAAATCTTGCAGAATTTGGGTATCTGTTCTGGGTTGGAATTGGGTCTGCAATTAGATTATCTGTGTTAATCGATCAGGGGAAGGATCGAACATGAAGGGTGGCAAAAGGAGGCGAGGTGTGAAACAAACCGATAGACTGAGTGATCTTCCGAATGGTATTTTGCACCACATTCTCTCCTTCCTGGACAGTGAATCTGTTGTTCGAAGCAACATTTTGTCACGGAGGTGGGTCTGGAAAGAGGTTCATGTCCTCAATTTCTACGGACACTCGTGTAAGGCTAAGCAGAAGCAGCAGCATATCGAGCGACATGTGGACCAAATTCTATCCTGCCGGTCTGACTGCAATGTTCGCAAAATTAGCATCTTCTTTGACATTCAAGCGCACGTGATTCCGTATCTCGGCATCGTGAAATATGCTGCCTCTCATGGTCTTCAACAATTATATGTGCTTCATAAGGAGGAAGATGATCGTTTCCTCATATTATCTGCAGATGTTGCCCTAATCTCTACTTATGTTCGATCACTGAAAGTTCTGGACTTACAGTGGGCGGTTCTGGACGAGAGTGCACTTGGGTTTTGGTCTCATTTGAAACTGCTCGAGACTCTGACTTTGCGTGACTGCGAGTTTGATTTTGGTGGTCCGGATAACCTGCCCGACCCTTTGCTACTTTTCTCAGATTGGAAAACCTGAAACTGTTGGATTGCTTTTCGCGATATTGTGGGTTGAAAATATCTGGACCCCAATTGCTTACTTTGGAGATACATTGGCCATCAAGTCCCACCTTGGAAATTTTCGCTCCTAAACTTGTATCTTTGTATTACTGGGATGATCTTATTATTCGTGCTTTATCATCACAACTCTCCAAATTGAACCTTCCTTTGCTTAATCATGCAACAATCATCTTGTCGGGTGACAAGGATCTATTTGATAAGAGTGTATGCAATGACTATCAGAAGCAACTACTGACGTTCGAGCTTTGTGCAAACTTGTTCCATAGTTTGCATAATGTGAAGTCCCTCTGCTTGCACTTCTATACCATTGAGGTATGATGTCTGTAATTGCTAATAGTATAAAATGAGCATAATCCTACCAAATATATTACTGTAATTTAAATTTATGATACAGTTCATGCATGGTGAAACAAATTTACCATTTCCATCCCTTTAAAGTGTAGATATTATTTATGTTTTGGTAAAAAATTTAGAAGCCTTTTGGTTTACGTCATTCTGCCTTGGTTCTACTCCCCAGGTGTTGATTTGGGCTTATGACTTGGTGAAACATCAACCTTCACCCTTTAAGCAGCTGAAGTCCTTAAGTTTACTGTGTGTGGAAGGATCTTCTATCTTACCTTACCAAGTGATCCGCTACTTTATCGAAGGCTCTCCTAATCTAGAAGACACATCTGTGATGCTTGAAAGGGTATGTGGATAACGCTAAACTCTATTCCTTCTTGGCTTTTGAACCGAGTTGGATTTGTAGTCACACATAAGTTAGGTGTGAGGGATAATGACACATTTTGTAGGCACTAGGAAATTGAACTAAATAATGTGTTGCCCGGTTAACTTCAGTCTTTAGACTTAAAATTTTAGTATTCTTGCCATCATTTCATTTATATCCGTGAACACCCATGTACTGTGATGTACGTGAGTGTAGTTATATTGGTATCAATCTGAGATCACTGGATGACAACCTGTTTTCTCGTGTTAATGCAGAGGCCGATTCCAGCCAATCCATATTGATGATCAGTTCATGATTACCAGTGGTAAATCTGATATCATGTGAGTTCTTTTACCTCTCCAATTGCCTGTTGCAGCTACAAGGGCTTCATATGAATGTCTAGATCAATGTAGATTCCATTGCTATCAAACTTGATAGGATGTGTTTATTTCGGTTGAGAAGCTAAGTTATTAAGGGCACACTATTTTATTGCGGCTCATGAAGTTAGTTGGAGGTGATTGAAGGTGGAAAAATACTGTTTGTTTAGAGTTAATTCACTTTAGACTTGATGTACTTTGTGTGGCCTGACTCGCCTTCTAGAGTCTGTCATTTGTGGTATCAGCATCAGATGTCATGTTGAATGATAGTATATTTTTCTGGTGTTAATGCAGAGGCCATTTCCAAAGTACCCATATCAACTTTACAGAATGGATTGGGGAAGGAAGCTCAGAGAATTCTGAGTCTCCTCTTTTCTTTTATAGCAAGCATAATGTTTAACAGAAATGAGACAGGTGTCACAACGTGGTTTGACAAAACATTTAAATCAACAGTGCTAACAACGGCTAATAACATAATAAAGAAGACGACGCCGTCTTCTACTTCTTCTTCCTGCGTCTTTAGTAAAACGCTGCCGCTTCTTCTTCTTTCTCTTCAGCTCGTATACGATGCCGTTTTCCTCAGCCTTGTAATCCTGCTGCAACCAGGAATGCATCAGCTCAATCCATTTCTTCTCCTCGGGTACTTGATCTTGATCTCAACTCTGACATCCCCCCTCAAGTTGGTGGTGTCAACTTGATCCCCAACTTGACCAACATTTCCTTCAGCCTGAAACGATCAAGACCCTTAGTAAAAATATCTGCCAACTGTTCTGTGGTGCTGATGTGCTGCAACTTGATCAGTCCTGTCTTTAGTCTTTCCCTTGTCACATGCATATCGATTTCAATATGCTTGGTCCTCTCGTGGAATACAGGATTCTCTGCTATGTGAATTGCAGACCTGTTGTCACAGAAAACAGTTATAGGTAAAGGAACTTGAACTGACAGTTCTGTCAATAACCTCTTCACCCATTCCACTTCACAAACCATGTGAGCCAAGGCTCTATATTCTGCTTCAGATGATGACCTAGAAACTGTTGTTTGTTTCTTAGTTTTCCAGGTAATCAAAGAAGTCCCCAGCATGGTACAGTAACCTGTAGTGGACCTCCTTGTATCAGGGCAACTTGCCCAGTCAGAATCACAATAGCCTGTCAACCTCAGCTCAGTCTCACTGTCAAAGTGTATGCCTTGATCTGGAGAGGATTTCAAGTATCTCAGTACCCTGTAGGCAGCTTGCATATGCTCCTGACATGGAGCTTTCTGATATTGACAAAGCTGTTGTACAGCAAACACAATATCTGGTCTTGTTATGGTTAGGTAATGTAACCTTCCTACCAATCTTCTGTAACCTTCTGCATCCTCCAACAAAGTTCCTTTTGATGTCAATTTCACCTTGTTATCAATTGGTGTCTTGCATCCCTTAGATTCCATGTACCCTGTATCTTTCAACAATTCCAAACAATACTTCCTTTGGCAAACATCCAGGCCACTTGAAGTTCTGCTGACTTCTAACCCCAAAAAGTATTTGAGTGGCCCTAGCAACTTAATTTTAAACTCCTTACTCAGAGCAAGCTTTACCTGCTCAATGTCTTTTCTAGAATCTCCCCCCAGGATAATATCATCCACATAAACCAACAACACAGTTATCTTACCATGTGTCCACTTAGTGAAAAGTGAGTAATCTGAAGCTGATTGTGCAAAACCATACTTCAACAGAAAGCTTGTCAGCTTGGCAAACCATTGCCTAGATGCCTGCTTAAGTCCATAAAGTGACTTCTTCAACCTGCAAGTCATTCTTTGATTAGTTCCTGAGGGTACTTCTAACCCCAGAGGTAGTTTCATATACACTACTTCATCCAAATCCCCATGCAGAAATGCATTTGATACATCTAACTGCTCCAAAATCCAATGCTTGACACTTGCAACTGCTAGGAAGGTCTTCACTGTGTTAATCTTTGCTACTGGGGAATAAGTGTCTAGGAAATCAACTCCATAGACTTGTGTGTACCCCTTAGCTACCAGCCTGGCCTTGCTCCTTTCCAAAGAACCATCTGCATGTAGTTTGATTTTATACACCCATTTGTTGCCAATTTCTTTCACACCTGCAGGCAATGGTACTATATCCCAAGTCTGATTCTCTTCCAGAGCATTCATTTCTTCTCTCATTGCTCTATTCCACACATCTAACTTGATAGCTTCATAATAAGATCTTGGTTCAACAAGATTCATGATGCTGAAAGCAAACTTTTGATCTTCTTTAGTCAGTAGGTGAACATTCAAACAGACTGGATATTTGCTGCATGATTGACTACTTCCAAAGGCTCCAAATTTCAGTGTAGGATCTAGATGGTAATCTTTGTATTTGGCAGGTAGGGTAAGATGTCTTGAAGACTTTCTGGTTTCAACTATCATAGGATCATCTGGATCAACATCTGTTTGTGGATGCAGTTCCTGAGTATCTGAATCAAAGTAAGTGTAATGATCTGAGCCATCAGGGAATGGTTCAGGTATCACCTCAGGCTCGGTTTGCCCCCCTTCATCTGTGGATGAATGAACCTGAGAGGGAGGTGTAGCTGAACTAGGAGTAGGAGGAGTGGGGGAAAAAGGAATTGTAAGTGATGGTGCAGGGTTAGGAGTAGGGTTTGAGGTGGAGGGAATGTCAGAAGGTGAAGGAGAAAGGTGAGTGGTTTTATCTTTGAAGGGAAGAATGGTCTCATAAAAGGACACATTCCTGGAGAAAAAGACTTTCTTGTCATGTAGCTCAAGAACCTTATATCCTTTGATCCCAGCAGGTATACCTAATAGTACACATTGTCTGGCTCTCTGTGCAAATTTGGTTCTGCCATGTGCCAAAGTGTTGGCATAGCAGAGACAACCAAACACTTTCAAGTGTCCCATAGAGGGTACCTGCTTATGCAGCACTTCATAAGGGGTTCTGTTACCTAGGATAGGGGTTGGTATCCTATTGATCAGGTATACAGCATGTAAAACAAAATCACTCCAATAGATCAAGGGGAGACCTGATTGGAACTTCAAACACCTAGCTACATTTAGAATGTGCTGGTGTTTTCTCTCAACCCTGCCATTCTGTTCAGGGGTTTCAACACAAGACACTTGATGCTCAATACCCTCTTGTTGAAAGAACTCACACATCTCAAACTCTTTGCCTTGATCAGTTCTGATCACTCTAACTGGGGTTTGAAACTGATTCTTCACCAGGTTACAGAAACCATGGATTAACCCCCTTACTTCACTCTTATGCTTCATCAAATATAACCACACACATCTTGAATGATCATCCACAATAGTCAAAAAGTATGAATAACCATCATATGAAACAGTTGACAAAGGACCCCAAATATCCATGTGAACAAGATGAAACACAACTGGTGCAACACTGGTGCTAACAGGGAAAGGTAGTTTTCTTTGTTTGGAAAGGTGGCATACATCACAGTGTAATGTTTTAAACTTAGAAACTGAAGGAATTACAGATTCAAGCAAAGAAATCCTATCATGACTAGGGTGTCCTAGTCTCCAGTGCCACAGGTTCAGGTCTTGGGGTTGAAAGTTGTAGGTGAGAGCTGCTTGGTGTGTAGGGAAGAAAGACTTGATGGAGCTGGAAGGAGAAGCAAGGTGATATAGTCCTCTAGTGATGTGGGCTAAACCAATCTTCTTCTGGCTTAAGAGGTCCTGGATTTCACATTTATCAGAGTGGAATTGTAGTGAGAAAGGGTAATCATGGGTGAGTTTACTGACAGAAATCAGATTAAATGAAAAGTTTGGGACAAAAAGAACTTCATGCAAGGTTAAACCACAACTTAAGTGTACTGTCCCTACATGTGTAACAGGAACTTGGGATCTATTTGGAAGGTAAACAAAGGAATCTGGAACTGACTTATAACTAGAGAAGAGTGTAAGACTACAGGCTATATGATCTGAAGCCCCTGTGTCTATAATCCATAAGTCAGGTTGACAAGTTGTAGAGGACTGAGAGGAAGAAATGACTGGTTTACCTGAAAAGTTAGGAAATGAAGTTGGGTATTGGGTAGCAGAATAGGCATGGTGATTGATGGATGGTGAGGTTGGTGGGGAAGGGTGTGTGTTAGCACCAGATTGCAGAAGCATCCTGAGGCGGTTCATCTCTTCAGGTGTAAAGGATAGAGAGGTAGAAGTTTTACCTTCACTGGTTGTACCACTTTCAGATGCACTGTCACTAACATTTCCCTGAGAAATTGATCCAGCAAAACGTGGAGTACTAGAGTTGGAACTTGAACTAGAATTTGAACCCCCATTTGTACCTCCATCCTTCTGCATTTCCTGTTTCTTCTTCAATTTCCAACAATCTTCAATAGTGTGATTGTTCATTTTGCAAAAACGGCAATATTTCTTTCCTCCTCTTGTGTCTCTTGTGTCTCTTGCGTCTGCATTATCCTTTGTGTTGTTACCTCCCACTGCCAATGCCAGGCTTTGACCCTTTTTGTTTCCCATGGCTGTGTCTGCCTTTAACTTCTGCTCATGCTGCAGAAGATCATCAACTGCTGCAGTGACAGTAGGTAGTGGTTTTTGCAACAGTAACTGTGTCTTAATCACCTCATACTCAGGGCTGAGTCCTCTTAAGAAACATATCAAATAATCTGTTTCTTGTTTCTGCACAAAGGCAGCTACTGCTGCACAAGGTATAGGGTTACCAGGTGCACAGTTACAAGGGGTAATAGGACTAAACTCAAGGTACTCATCCCATAGACCCTTGATTGCAGTATAATACTGAGTGATTGACTTAGAGCCCTACTTACAAGCTTGTATTTCATCTTCTAGGTTTACAATTCTCATAGCATTAGGTTGACCAAAGCGCCTTTTTAATTCCTCCCACAGTGCCTTAGAGTTGTTGTGATTCAGTATAGACCTCCTAAGTTCTTTAGTCATGGAGTTTTGAATCCAACAAGAACAACTGTGTTACAAGCATCCCATAATCCAAACAAATCTGCATCTCGAGGAGGCACTGGGATCGACCCATCTATAAACCCAGCTTTGTTCTTTGCCTTTAAGACAACTTGCATAGATCGACTCCACATAATGTAGTTGGTTCCATCAAATGGTTCAGCAACTAAGGACTGAGATATGTTCTCATTTGGGTTAAGGTAATAAGGGTTACCGAAAACAATCGTCTCTGGCTGGAGTTGAGTCTGGTTGAAGGTACCAAAACGAAACCCAACTGCTGTTGATGTGTTTGCATTCGTTGCTCCACTTTGGTTGCTACCATCTGGTGGTGTGTTAGGTGGAGTCTGCCTTCCAGACATTGTTGCAGCGGCGGAAAAACCCTAGAGCGGCGGCTGCTCTGATACCATGTTAGCGAACTAACCACTTGGTCCCAATAACTCGAGTTGTTGGGAAAGGGATAGTTAAGCCTTTTAACCTCTTATACGCCCCCTCAAACGAAAGCCTACCTTTGTCGGGGTTTTTATACGGTTTGCACAGGTTGAACGCATCATTCCTTGTGCTGCCAAACCCATTAGGCTTTCAGTTTGTACAGGTTGGACATACCATTCCTTGTACTAAACCATTGTTTGCTTAAATTGGGAGTCGTCATGAGGATTCGAAACCATGACCTTTCGGTTCTAGGCTCTGATACCATGTTAACTTTACAGAATGGATTGGGGAAGGAAGCTCAGAGAATTCTGAGTCTCCTCTTTTCTTTTATAGCAAGCATAATGTTTAACAGAAATGAGACAGGTGTCACAACGTGGTTTGACAAAACATTTAAATCAACAGTGCTAACAACGGCTAATAACATAATAAAGAAGACGACGCCGTCTTCTACTTCTTCTTCCTGCGTCTTTAGTAAAACGCTGCCGCTTCTTCTTCTTTCTCTTCAGCTCGTATACGATGCCGTTTTCCTCAGCCTTGTAATCCTGCTGCAACCAGGAATGCAGCAGCTCAATCCATTTCTTCTCCTCAGGTACTTGATCTTGATCTCAACTCTGACAACCCATGTTGTTGCTCACGATTTTCATCCTTCCAAGATCTGGAATCTTGCTAGATCTCTGCAATTTTAGTGAAAGCCGAGGAATGGAAAACTTCATCTCTGCACGCTAGTTTCAGCTACGTCCAGGCCTTTTCACGTGAAGCTATTGTATATTTTGTGTTGCTTACTGGTTAAACGAACATATATTCATGTAATTTACTAGTACCTGGTTCAAGTAATTTTTTGTGGGTTCTCTGGATAAAAGGAGAAAGCTCGGTAAAATCTTTGCAGCATATTTCTCGAAAGAAAAGGGGAATACCACTTTGGAGGCTTTTCAATTCCCTTTATTCACAATTTTATTGTTTTATGTTATGACTGATACCCTTTGTCCCGACTCTGGTCTTGGAGAAATCTGATTCTGCTCGAAGGTAAGTTTAAATTTCTCTGTAGCTTGAATGGAATTTCATAGCAAAACTGAGCCTCCGTTTGAACTTTGCATTTCCACGTCTTTCACAGTCCACATGGATGCATTTTGGGTCGGCAACAAAATCTATCTCTTGATTGATATTGAATGTCATTTTGGGTCACTATCCACGTCTTTGTCTATAGCTTTGGCTCATTGATATTGAACGTCATTTTGGGCCGCCTAGTTCTACGTGGCTGCCATTTTGGAGTTGTATCATGTTAAGTAAAGATCTTTATGTGTTTTAATTCAACAAGCAAACCATACTAGAACACTTTTATTCCAATGGTGAAATTAAGCTGCTAGTGCTAGCTGCCCACCACTTTGGTCCTTTATTTAATAAAGCAACATCTTTTTGACTTTGCATACTTAGATGCTGAATAAAGTTGTCCCCAAGTATTTCTGCTGATTTAGATGCTTAATCACTGTCGCTGCTGCTGCTGCCGCTGTCTTTCCCACACTTCTTGTTCTTCTTGTCCTTCTTATTCTTCTTGACCTTGTTGTGGTCGCCGCTCTTTGTTTTCATTTTAATCTCGTTTGATGAGCACTTCTTCTCCACTTTCTTCTCACCTTTGTAGTACTCAGTTGCAGCAGTCATGCCATGAGTGCCATGCTGTTGGGCATGGCCGTGAGTAGCGGCAACATTCTTGATTAACTTCAGCATCCCATTGCCATGACTCTCAGAGTTATGATGGCCCGCCGTCTCCTTGAAGCCAGTCTGAGCATGGCCACAGTAATCAGCCTTATGATGTCCTGCGGTCTCGTGTCCACTCTTGAAGCCGGTCTGAGCATGGCCCCAGCTATCAGCCTTGTGATGGCAAGCGGTCTCATGGCCATGTTGTTCGCCATGGCCGAGAGTAGTAGCAACATTCTTGATGAATTTCAGCATCCCATTGCCATGACTCTCAGAGTTATGATGGCCAGCCGTCTCATGGTTGTTCTTGAAGCCAGTCTGAGCATGGCCACAGTTATCAGCCTTATGATGTCCCGCAGTCTCATGACCACTCTTGAAGCCGGTTTGAGCATGGCCCCAGTTATCAGCCGTGTGATGACCGCCCAAAGCCTCATGGCCACTCTTGTAACCGGCTTGGGCATGGTTTCCGTGGGTTAATGGCCAGAGCAGTATGGCCAGCTGATGCATTGCCATGCTTCTGATGTCCAGATGAGGTATCATGATGGCCCATGAAGCCAGTGGCGCCCCAAGGATGCTCGTGGCTGTTGGAAGCAGAGAAGTTCGAGCTGGTTTGTTTCTGGTGATGGCTCATCATCGTGCCATGGCCATGAGCAGTTTGGCTGTGGGAGTGCTTGAGTTGGTTGTTGCAGTTGCCAGAGACCTGGTGGTGGCCACCATCTGAGTGGTATTGGGGCTCAGCATGCCCGAAATTGTGGTGCTGCGGCTGATGGTTAGCCTGGTGGCTGGGATCTTGATCAGCTGGGCGGTAGCATTTCATTGAAGCAATGGTACAAGTTTCTTGTTGGTGTATCAGTGTATGATCCAAGGCTGAAAGAAATGGTTTGGTTTGCTACAAAAACCCGAGCCAATTGTGACCCAAATTTATAGCGGTGAAGTGGGAAGAAATGCATTTTGGGTTCTCAATTATTTGATTCCATTCTGATAAGATGGCGGATGGGAAAGAACAAAAGGAAAAAAGAAAGTGTCCATATAACTGGGAATGTATGCCTGATTTTGCAATATGTAGGTTATTTCCAAGATATTGTTCTGCTGCTCTCCTCGTCTTTTTGGTGGAATTTCTTCTTTAGTCCATTAACTCGTGGGACTGCATCAGATATGGTAATGGACACGAGGGAATCTCAAGTCTAATAAGTCCTTGATGGGCCTCTAGCTTTGGTTCCAGTTGTCTGGAAGGAATCTGCTTCGATGGAGGAGAGGACCAGGATGGAAGTAGTGAAACCTAATGCGTTGAAATGAACCTAATACCACAACTGTTCTCTTGTTTCATACATAAAGTTGGATCCACATACTGCTTGAACACTTTATTTATGTTTATTTGAACACTTTATTTATGTTTATTTTCATCCTCTCTCTCTCTCTCTCTCTCTCTCTCTCTCTCTCTCTCTCTCGCATTTCACACAAACTTATTTTTATTTACTTATTATCATCTCGACTAATTCAAACCCAAACTTCCAACGCAGCTGCGCACAAACTTATTTTTTGCAACTTAAGCCTTCTTTGGCGATCTGCACTTGTTCTTGCTCTTGTTGTCGTCATCGCTGTCACTCTCGCTGCTGCTGCTGCTGCCGCTGTCGTCGCTGCGTCCAGCAATGCGGTCGTTGATCCTCTCGAGCAGCCCTCTCTTCTTGTGCCCGCCACGCCCATTAGCAGCAGCAGTGGCAGGTTTGGCGTGGCTGGCTCCAGTTGTGCACTGGGTGCTTGCGCCGTGGCCGTTAGTGGCAGCATTCCTCACGAAGTGCGCTGCTGTTTTGACAATGGAGGAGGATTCATTGGTGGCGGCGGTTTGTCCCTTGTTGTGGGCGCCGTCTCTGTGGAAAACCCGGTTAGTCATATCTGCCATCTTCTGGCTCAGCGACTGGTGGTGGTTGTTGTTGTGGTTCTGCTGCTGCTGCTGCTGGGGATTGGTTTTGTTGCAGGCTTGCTGCTGCTCGCAGTCGCAGGCGTGCCTGCAGCGCTGTGCCGACGCCATTCTTTTTTTTGTTAGTTGGGGGGAGTCGATCTCTTTTTTCGTTTTGCTGGGTTGCTTGGTGATGGGAAGAACTTGAGGCCAATTTATAGGGTGAGTTCATTAACAAGTTGGGAGCTGTATCCGATTTGCGACGAGAATCCGTCAGTTGTGGAATCCTCTTTTTAGCTGAATGTGAATGGGTTGAAATAAGAAAGGGACATATTCCCTTTCCTCTGTTTTGTTTTTGTTCTTCTTGTCATTGGGTTCGATTCCCACTTCGGTTATGGGTCTTCTGCAATGGAGATGAGATGGCCAGTATACTCTTGGCCAGCTCATTCTATTTCGAGCATAACTAAAGCAGAATATCGAGTCATGGTGAGCGTCGTAAATGAGACACTTTGCTTATGTTGGTTAGTGATTACTTCATGAGCTTCGCGTTTTTCGAGCAAATCATCTCACTATCCTGTTGTGCTTCGCGTGACAATCAAGTTGCTAATTTGCACTTTACAGTTAATCCAATTACTGGTGAGTCTATTAAGCACGTGGAACTGAACTGCTATTATGTTCGCGAGATAAAGGAAACTTCTTAATCTTCTTTGGTTTGAGATGGAAATGGTTGATAAAGGACCATAGCTAGTTGGATTTTTTTCCATTAAATCACTTTTGAAAGAATAATACAAGATACATTGTTCAATACGTAATCAAGAATAGAAATCAAACCTTTAACACAAACGAGGTAATTAAAACAAGTCAATATCCTCCCTGCTGCTTCTTCTGATTTGAGATGGAAATGGAAAATAAGGGACCATATTAGAGGGGCTTTTACTGGGATGGAAGCGAGGAGCTGGTCAAAGAAGCCCAACTTTATGATGGGTTCAGGCCCGCTAAGCATTTTGTGCAGTGAGGGCCCAACATTTTCAGAGCACTAAGTGGGCCATTGTGGTTGTTGGTCCAGCCTAGAATTGATTGGTCCAGCCGGAAATTTGACCATTTCTCCTGTCAATTATTCCACAAGAAAGACCACTGACCTCTTGCACTTATTTAGTGGCTGATGGGTACTCTTCTAGATGAAGATACTCTTATTAATTCCAAATCACACCTTTATTCATTGATGAATGCCATTGAAAATCAATATGTTACTCAAGACTTTCCTAAAATTTAGTTTTCCAACTATCTTTCACATAAACATATAATAATAACTTAATAAGCAAATGTTACCAGATGAATAGTCCACTTAATGTAATAGTACAAAATTTATTATTAAGGTGGCAAACTCTAAATCATTATTATTACTACTATTATTATAAGTTATATAATGATATGAAGGTACGATAGCAAACCTCGACAACTTGGTATGTATCCATACAGTTTGAGATGCAAAGCTATATTCTAAAGTGGCCAAGCTAGGATTTAGAGTCGGACCAAACCGATGTTTGGATTGAACATACTGAACCGAATATAATATGGTTTGATTCTTGATCTCATAAATTTTACAAATGCGGAAGGAAAATAGACCGAATTGACATTTGAACTGCACCAAACTAGACAAAAAGCGGACCAAATGCATTGTTAGTCCAGTTCTTAATTCTAAGATGTCTTTCACTATAGGACCGCAGTTCTCTTGAATTAGCATCGGTCCGGACCGTTCCACACCCCTAATTACCGCGGATTAAGGTTCTCCCAAAATTTTATATTAAAATAGACAATTTGGTTGAAAACACAATTGGGTTAATGTTATTATTATTGTTATTACGCCCATCCAACTTGATTACAAAAAATCAGTTTCCCAACGAAGAATGGTGAGCTACTGAGGTCTGACTTCATTAACTAAAAAGGATTCAAGTTTGTTAGGAAAAAAACAAAAGATTAGAGCAGTTAATCAATTCTTAAACCACCAAAAGCCATGTGATTGTAATCCTAATCACACCCACATAAACTAAAAATAAAACTATGCCTACGCGTAATCTGGTTTGAATTTTCTCAGCAACCCACTTTTTTTTCCTTCTCCCCTTTACTAATCTATTACTTCTTAGAAACATTGACTTCCCCAAAAACAAAACTAAATGCTCTCTGCCTCTTTAGAGTCCAAGCTTCAATCATTCACTCTCCTAAAACGAAACCAACCAGAAAAAACCAAAGGAATCAAAAGGAAAGAAGAGCCGATTTTTTTTCCAAACCTGAAGTGTTGCAGGGGGTTTGAATTGGTCAGCACTTTTCACTTTTTTGGACCTCTCCCAATCCCAAATCTCTCTACTCCACCACTAACCACACACACACTCAAACAAGCTCTTCTTCAATATCCTCTTCTGGGTGACCAAAGACTAGTCCAAGAATTGAATAAAATAACTCGGTTTCTCTCAACAGTCAAATATTCAAACTTCCAACAGTGTCCACCATGTGTGCATGTATATATAGCTGCTCATGGATCCCTTCTTCACTCTCCATCCTACCTTCTCTTCTCCAAAACCCACCAAGCAGAAGCAAAAAAAGATTCAAACTTTCTGCTACCCATTACCATTTTCGGGTTCTTACTTCTTACTCAAGCTACTTCCATGGTATTGGGTGTTCTTCCTGATTCATATTCCCAACTCTGGTCATCCCAATTCTCTGATCACAGCAGACATTCTGCAGAAGTTTGAAGCTTTGGCTTCTGACGAACCAAGTGGCTCGATTCTAGATTATGCTTGAAGGCTGCTGACGCTGCTTGTCGGTTTGTTTCTGTTGGAGATTGGCTGGTTTATAAAAAAAATTGGGGTAGCCAAGGAAAAGAAAGAGCAGACTGATGGAAGGAGGAGGGTGGAGCTGGGAGCAGAGAACACTGGTGAATGAGCTGATCCAAGGGATGGAATTTGCAAAACAGCTGAGCTTTCATCTCAAGGGGTCATCTTCGGTTGAGAATGCTGAGATTTTGGTGCAGAGGATCTTGTCTTCTTATGAGAAGGCTCTGCTGATTCTCAATTGGAGTGGATCAGTTGGACATCAACCTCTGCAAGCTGCTGCTGTTACTGCAACAGTAGCTGCTGCAGCTACTGGTTCTGGTTCTGGGGTTCCTGGATCTCCATTGTCTACGAATGGAAGTCCTAGGAGTGAGGATTTTGATGGAACCAAGGATCATCAAGCTCCCATTAATGCCTCCAAGAAGAGGTGAGTTCTTTGCTTCTTCTGGGCTATGAAATTCTGCAGAAGCTAAATGTTAGTTGATTGATGGCTAATAACTTTTGGTGTTTCCCTGCAGAAAAACAATGCCCAGGTGGACAGATCAAGTTAAAGTCAGCTCTGAGAATGGATTGGAAGGTCCAATTGATGATGGCTATAGCTGGAGGAAGTATGGCCAGAAAGACATTCTAGGAGCCAAATATCCCAGGTACACTTCTACTGTGTACGGATTCTATATCCACAAGTTCCCAAAAAGTAAACCAAATAGCCGGTGGGATGGTGTCATATCCCATCCACACAAGCAAAGGCCCAATACAACAAACAAACATCGGTAGGAGAAAGAAAGGGTTAGTTAGTAACTAACAAAATGGTTGTTTGTTCATTATGTTAAATTAGATACATCAGTATGTCATGCTACACAAATTAAAACAACAGAAGAACTGTCCAACACGCTGATATGAAACTCAATCAAATCCCAATTTTACTCATGTTACCAATTCATATGACCCAAATGGATGGAGAGTCAATTTCGTAAGTGTATGTTATCATTCTGTTAAAGAATTTAAGTAATCATTAATGCAAGTAAAACCTGTCAAATAGTCTTTTGGGTCTAACCACGTCAACCCTCTCCATCGCTGAAAAGTCAAATGTTGAAATGTTCAACACCCATCTAAACTCTTTTTCATAAAAAGGGTAAAAAAGAGGCATCATATTTTAACAATACCAAAGACTGAAACCAAAAGAAGTGGAAACTTACTAGTGTTTTGCTTGGTCTTTGCAGAAGCTATTATAGGTGCACATACAGGAACACACAAAACTGCTGGGCTATCAAGCAAGTTCAGAGATCAGATGAAGACCCTACCATCTTTGAGGTCACATATAGGGGACAACACAGCTGCTCCTTTGGCCAACAGCAAACAGTTGCAACACCACCACCAGCATCACCAGAGAAAAAAGAACAGATCAAGCACAACTTCAGCAGCAGCAATCAACAGCAGCCACCGCCTGGAGAAGCTTTGCTTAACTTGCAGAAGGGTCTGAAAGTTGATACTCGGGATTTGGACAAGAGAGAGGCAGTGCCTTTCGCTTTTCCTTCCACATATGAATGCCAAAATAGCAACTTCTCCCAGTCGTTTCTCTCACCAGCCACGCCAGAACCAAACTACTACCATGTTTCTCCATTTGTGAACAGCTCTGGATGGGCACAGACTTTGCAGCATTCGGATTCAGATTTGGCTGAGATACTCTCAGCTCAAACTTCAGCTACCAGTTCTCCAATGCTGGACTTGGATTTCCAACTTGAGCCATTCGAACTGGTTCCGAGCTTCTCGTATGCCCCCGGATATTTCTCTTGATTCTCTCTCTCACTACGGTCAGTCAGGGACGATAAGAACGAACACAAATTTAGTTGCAGGTTGATCTTTAGATTGTATCATAAAGACAGGAAAAGAAAGACAGTGTGTGTAAAGCAGACTAGCTATAGCTCTTGCAGCTGAGTTTTGATGTAGCAATAACAGCAGTAACTGGCTAGTATTGAATGGCAAGTACTGTGTAATAACACATGACTGAAGAACCCTTTCCTAGCTTAGATGTTACAAGCTCCACCAGCAGATGGGATTATAACCAAGACAAGAATAGCCTTTAACCTCCACTCTGAGAACATTTGCAGTAAGAACCGATTTCTAGAGGTTCCAGGAAGAGAGAACTACAACATACTCAATGACAGCAAATTTCATTAATGCTTGAGCAGTACATTAGATTAGCACATGAACAGCCACTCATGATTTCGATTACATACACCAACATCAGGGTACCTCCTGACAAAGCAAAATGCTAATTTGGTGATGGCGCCATCGCTACAACTGTGCTAAAGCATGCTCAAGAAGAGCAGAGACTACGCATACGTGGATCAAGCAGCTAGTCAGACGTCCTTTTTTCCCTCTTTGACAGACCAACCAGGACCCGAATAGCCCTTCTTCTCTGATTCTTTCCCATTCCTTAGTGCTTGCCTCAAGCCCAGGACGATGAATATGTTTGTTAAGGTGAGAAGTGATTCAGCCCCACCATGCAGCCAATCCACATTAGACAAGGAAGTTCCATACTGCACTTTTGCTGTCTCAAACGAAGCCAGCATTGTTTATCAGGATCACTGGATCAGCTCGCAACTAGGAATCATAATCAAGCAATTGAATTGAATGAGAGAAGTCAGCAGAAGATTACCATAAATTCCTGCTGGAACTGCACAGTCATCCATCGTTTTGAAACCATGAAGGAACAAAAGAGAGAGAAAACACCCATCAGTGTTGGGTTAAACATTAAGCTCCCTACCCAAACAAAAATAAAATCTTGTTCCTTCATCCAATCATTGTTCTCAACAAGGTTGAATGAACCGTATTCTACCGCTAAAAACATTGAACATCCCACTATCAAGAACCAGTTGATCTCAATAACTCGAGTTGTTGGGAAAAGTTCAATCGTGTATCATATACCACAACACTTTCGAACACAAGACTTCTCGGTTACAGAAGGCTCTGATACCATGTCAAGAACCAGTTGATTCCAATAACTCGAGTTGTTAGGAGAAGTTTAATCGTGGATCATATACCACAACACTAACACCCACAATTATTCCCACGGGCTAAGCCAAAGCGCTCAAAACGAAATTGAAGTAGGAAAAAGGAGTTGCTCTTTTAATAGAACTAACTTGTAGCGCCCACAAAGGCGAGCAAGAAGTAGAATCCGAAGAGGGTGAGCCCTGGAGCAGTCTTGGACTTGGTGAGGAAGTACAAGAAAGCAATGTACGGGAACAAAGAGAGTGCGAAGAGCTGAGGGGCAATGCTCTGTGAATCAATGTTTGGCGCCCATGGATCCACAGGAGGGAGCCATCCGCTACACACGACCCTTTCTCCTCTGCCACCAGTCGTTTTAATCTCTCTGCAATACCTGGAATCAGTTCCCGTTCTCCAGGGTTCTTGGTGGGGGATTGGCAGGAGAAATCGAGAACCCACCACTGAAACTGGGAGCGGAGAAGTGGGTGCTACTTCGAATTGCGATCGCCGGCAGCAGGTGGTATTCATGATCAAAAAAGGACCTTCGCTCCGCAGACGTCGGTATGACCGGAAAACTGGGATTAGAAAATTGGGGGAGACGACGAAGCTGCGTGTTCCTAATTTCGTGGACTGAAATTGATGTTACCAGTAACTGGTCGATAGAACTGAATGGGCTTCTTGGGCCGCTTGATTTGGGCTTTTATTAATTTTTTTTTTTTTGTCAAAAGTAGCGGTAACAATTCAGTCATAAATAGAAGAAAGAAAACCGCGGGAGTCGACCAATCGTCGAACTCCCGATGAGAGGGCTTTTTGTGCCACAAGATGGGCAGCCCTATTAAGTCGACGCGAGACAAAGCAGAAAGAGACCCAGCTGAACTGTGCCGCCAATTCCCTTGCATCTTCCAGGACCGCACCACTTCGATCATGAGAAAAGTCCCTCCTCAACATCCGACGGATCAATTGTTGTGAATCCCCATGAAATTTGACAAAAACAAACCCATGCATTAGGCACCATTGTAAAGCATCTCTAAGCGCCAAACATTCCATAGTAAAAGGATCTGAAAGGCCTTCATAAGCCTTACCAAAGGCAAAAAGCAGCATACCTGATACTTGGAATCCAACAAATCCGATACTGCCCCCTTGATCACGTTTAGCCGCTCCATCAAACCAAACATGGATGGTGTCCGGATAGGGGGGATCCCCTTCCAAGCCACCGTGATTCATTCTCGCCGAAACCTGGGCAGGCGATTGTCGATTTCCGCTGCGGGGAATGGCCGGCCGTGTTTGCTCGGCCTCCCTCCATTCCTGTACCTGGCGTTGCAGTTGACGAAATAGCGCTGGGGGTAGATACTGAATCCGCCCATGAACTGACCAGCACCGGGCTTTCCAAATCCGCCACAGAATAAAGACCACATCAGCAATCTCTCTTTTGGACAGGTTCAACCCGAAGAATAATTGCTTCCATGCATCCTCTGGGGTCAGTCCGGCAAGGAAAGAGCGAAGTTCCTCACTTGCGGCAAGTCTCCATAAGCCCGTGGCCACTCTGCAGTCAAAAAAGCAATGAGAGAAGGATTCCTCAACCGCATCACAGATCGGACATATCATGTCAGTGGCCAAAGTTTTAGAGAAGAGGACAGTTTGTAGAGGTAAAAAGCCACGAACAACACGCCACAAGAAGAATTTCAGCTTCGGTGGTAATGGTAGGCCCCAAAGTAATTTCCAAAACTTGCTGTCAAAAGGCAGAATGGCTGGCGGATGCAGAAGATTATGTTCAGAAGACAGCAAATGATACCCTGTCTTAACAGTAAACACTCCAGATGGTGAGTAATGCCAAATCAATCTGTCGTTCCTATGGAAAGCAGGTAGGGGAATGGACAGAATAAGATCCACACATGAAGCGGTGAACAAGGATTCCAACAGATCCTTTCTCCACAATTTCGTGTTAGGACAGATTAGATCCGAAACAAAACTAGGACAAGGAGGCGCACCTGGCTTCAACGTGGGATACGACGGGGGAGTGGACGGGATCCAAATATCTTGCAGTATCCGAATATTCGAACCGTCTCCTACCTGCCACCTTAGGCCCCTCTTGAGTAAATTCAAACCTTCCAAAATACCTTGCCACGCCCAAGAAGGTCGGGAACCAGCCTTTGCTTCAAGGAAATCTCGAGTAGGATGGTACCGAGCTTTGTAGATTCTAGCCAAGTGGCTGGTCGGATTCAGAAGAATTCGCCAAGCCTGTTTAGCCAAAAGCGCTATGTTGAACCGGTTGAAGTCACGGAATCCCAGTCCTCCTGTAAATTTGCTCTGACAGAGGGCGCTCCACGAGATCCAGTGAATCCCACGCTCCTTATCCTGTCCCGCCCACCAATACTTTGAAAGCTGGCCATTGCACCGGCGACATGTTTCCTGAGGTAATCGGAATGCCGACATGGCATAGATAGGGCCGGCCGCCCCAATTGCCTTTATCACCACTTCTTTACCTGCCAATGATAGAGATTTCGCTTTCCAACTTCGAATCCGGGCAGCAAGGGCTTCCTCTATGAATTGGAAGGTCAGTGACTTAGATCGGCCAACCTGAGAGGGCAATCCAAGGTATTTGTCTTCCGCCTGCAAAACACTAACTCCTAGGAAAGAGCTAATTGCTTGTAACTCCTGCGAAGATACATTAGCACTAACACAAACAGCCGACTTGTGAAAATTTACTTTTTGACCGCTAACTACTTCATAATCAGTTAGGAGCTGAAGCAAGGTAGCACATTCAGGAATAGATGCTCTAAGGAATAGGTAAGAGTCATCGGCGAAAAACAGATGTGATAAGGGAGGAGCTGACCTGTGGATTCGTAATTCATGGAGAGAAGAGGAAGCTACCTCCTGGGAGATCTTTGCAGCAAATCCTTCCGTGTAGATGGCAAAGAGAAATGGTGACAAAGGGTCTCCTTGTCGAATACCTCGCTGTGGTTGGAAGTACCCATATTGAGCCTCATTGAGTAGAACAGAAAAATGAACTGTTGTCACACAAGATTTGATCCAAGTCATCCATTTATCACAGAACCCTAAATCCTGCATAATTTGAAAAAGGAATCCCCACTCCACCCGGTCGTATGCTTTCTCCATATCAATCTTAAGGGCCATCCATTTGTCCGAACCACGGACCTTGGTTTTAAGAAACTGCATTACTTCTTGGCCAATAAGAATGTTATCAGAGATACATCAACCTTTAATAAAACCATTTTGAAAAGGACTAATAATCTGAGGAAGGATGGTACTTAGCCTCGATGATAAGATTTTGGCGATGATCTTGTATAGAACCTGGCAGAGGCCTATAGGTCGCATTTGCTTCATGGAATCAGCATTCGGTACCTTGGGGATGAGAGTCAACAGTGTATGGTTGACACTATGGAGCAGCCTGCCCGATTGAAAGAAAGAGAGGATGGCATCCGAGACGTCCTCCCCAATCTCTTCCCAGAATCGCTGATAGAAACCCCCGGTAAACCCGTCTGACCCCGGAGACTGTCCTTGCCCAATAGCAAAGATGGCCTGTCTAATTTCCCCTCGAGAGACCTGCATAGTAAGCATTTGATTCATAGAAGCTGAAACTTTGTTGGGAAGGAGCAAACTGCGAACAAAATTAGAAGGGTCTACACCATTGGAAGCAAACAAAGACTCAAAATATGATACTGAGATACCCCCTTTAATCGGTTCATCCGAGTGTAAGTCCCCTTGGTCATCACGCAGTCTAGGGATGAAGTTAGATCGCCGTCGTTGCATCGTTGCCAGATGGAAGAAATGGGTATTGGCATCCCCTCCATGAAGCCAATTCGCCCTCGATTTCTGTTCCCAATACAGTTCCTCCTGGCGGTAGGCCTCCCCAAGCTGACTTTCGAGTTGGCTGATGTAGACCCAGTCCACAGCTAGAGAGTCCCTGGCACAGTCAATAGCGCCCTTGATCTCTCTGATCTGCCGGGCAGAGTTCGTTGTTCCCCCTTTGGCCCAATTCAGTAACTCATGTCGAGTATGCTTCAGCTTCGTCTGCACCTTGAATAGGGCGGTTCCAGCAGCAGGAGTGCTCCAAGCCGAATGAATCAAGGGAGGGACAACAGCCATTGAACTCCAACGGCGATCATAATGAAATCTCCGAGTAGGGCGGGCAGCAGCTCGAACAAATTTGACCAGCAACATTCTATGGTCTGACCCTCTGTCAGATAAGTGGTGTACCTGGATCTCGGGCCACAAGGAAAGCACTATGTTATTAATACTACAGCAGAACTGCAGTGGGTAGGTTACACTAATTAACTGGTCGATAGAACTGAATGGGCTTCTTGAGGCTCTTGCTTTGGGCTTTTATTTATGTTACAGAGGTTACAAAATTTCACAATTCGTATCGATTTACTATAAAACCTTATTTTATTCGCATATGGTTAAATTTGTGACAATTGACTACAATTTTGACGGGTTTTCTCAAAAAATCAAACCCTTATAAAGCATTCCCGCCCTTATTTATTAATAAATCCAATGATTTTAACCTCGAATTCGGTCCAAGAACAACCGATAACCCAAAACATAGTATGAAACATCAAACACCATTTCACTCGAATATGAAAATATAACCTACAGAAACAAGACAATTAGCCACATATTTTACTCTCCTTCAAAACATATTCAACTCGATGTCGGGAGCGAGGACACAATTTCAGTGGCCTAGTGAAACGCAGGGGCGGAGCTACAGCAGGGCTCGGCCCCCCCCCCCCCAGAATCTTGAAAGTTACGTATAAAATGCTCGAGTGATTTACGTATGAACAAAACAAACAAATGAATATAATGTTGTAGTCTGAATTAAATGATCATAACACTCTCTTAAGGTAGCGGAATGGTTGTAGTTTTCTTATTACAAGGTCTCTGTTTCAATTCTTACTAGAAGCAATTATTTTTGGCAGCTTTATTCCCTACCAATTTCTTTTAAATACTCGAAATTTAAATACTCAAGGGAAGCAATCTTCTTAGCAACTTATAATGACAGCTTTATCCTATCCCCTACAAACTAAGTTCTTTTAAATACTCAAGGGAAGCAATCTTCTTAGCAACTTATAATGACAACTTTATCCTATCCCCTACAAACTAAGTTCTTTAAAATTAAGCAATGTATACAACAGCAATTTGTTTTAAATACTCATATAAGACCTATCTCTTACTTATGAAAACATATGTGCAATACAATATATCAAAATGTATTGTTAATTATTTATTTTTAACTCAAAAAATTTAGTTTATAAAGTGAGGTTAATCTTTTCAATGAATAATTTGTGGGAACGGCTACGGTGCTAATTGTACAATAGTTAGCACCGTCCTAATTAAGGGAAAAACTACTACTAGTATGAATTAGTAGTGATTTAGCTTAGATGTTGTATTGATTTTATAATAATCGGTAGTGATTTTTGCTAGTTATCACGGTGCTAACCCCTATAAGAGTTAGCACCTCATCCCATCCCATAATTTGTGATGTTATAATAATATAAAAATTATTTTTTAAATATTTTTCTTGTTATTATTTTAGTCATTTTGTGATAACGTACAAAAAGATTTCCGGCCCCCCCGATCGTCGATTCCTGGCTCCGCCCCTGCACTGAAACGACCATCCTTCAATCCGACTCACTACAAAACGACATTTCTAATTCTTAGAATTTCTTAAGAAATTCTAAGATCATACACAACTGACTGACATACGAAATAATTGAACTCCCTCCCAAATTAGTCGAAAAAGCTCTAACGACTCTAACGAGCTAGGTCAGGAAGAGCACCAAGGCGTTTGGCACACTCCAAGCTCTCCTCGATAACACCCTTTGCATCGTACTTGTACCTAAACCCCATCTCCACGAGCTTCGAATTGTCCAGCCTGATTCCTTTCCCATCTTTTCCCATCAACCTGCCCAAAATCCAAACCTCAAAAACCACTAAAATCTTACTCACCATTTCCACAGAACAAACAAAAAAACAAACTCATCTTCTTACGTGGCATCCACGTGGCAGTCGAGATGGCGGCCCCGGATACACGTGGCGATTTCCCTGACGCTCAGGCTGCCAGCTGCGCACAGAAACCTACCCTTAAGCGACGCCGCCGTCGTCTTCTCACCCTCCACGCAGAAGACCAGCGCTTCACAGGCGTCTTCCACGTGGACGAGCGGCACCGATCCCAACAATTCCTGTATCAGCATCAGCCCGTGGTTGTAGCCGAACAAATTCCCGGTGGCCGGAGAGATTATGACCTCCACGCTCGTCGGCACGTGCGAGAGAATCGTGTCACCTCCGACCAGTCCCGTCACCAGGCTCACCACTTCCAGCTTCCCGCCGGCGGCGGCGTCGTTGTACTTCAGCACTTCTTTCTCCGCCACTGTCTTTCCCCTCGTGTATTCCTTTGTTTTCCGCCCCGACCGAACAAAAACAATAGTGAGACAAAAACAAACATGTTATAATCAGCTCATAGTATTCTTAAGCTTGGACAATCATGATTGTCTTATAATGTTGTCGCGACAAGACTTAATTGGTTATGGTTATTTGGATAGTTGAAAAATAAAAGAATATATATCTCAAACAAAACAAAAATTTACTAATGCCGATGATTTTTTCGTACGTAAATAAGCTCGAATATCATGAGATATAAGAGGTTGAACCAGTTACGCGAGTAGCCGAGTACATTTTAAACCACAAATATCTTACTCGCATTTTACCGATTTCAAAATGACTATTCGTCCATTCAATTCATAAATGATTCAAATTTCAATCTCTTTTTTTTTAAGAGACATTACGATCTTTAAAAATCGGCTTGATTTCTAATAATTATATCTCAAACATCACCGCCTACTTTCTCAAAGTGTATCAAATGTGTATTTACTTTTCTTTTCCTCGTACTTCAGAATCCTCAACCTTAAAAGTTGGCAACAAAAACACTAAAAAAAAAAACTGTTGGATTAAGAATTCCAATAACATGTCAACAACGTTCGTTAATATCAACATGCCAATTTCTTAGGGAGGTTGACTAATAAAACCTCGTACACAACGATAGCACGAAATTCAAAATTCGTCGTTAAAAGTCGAACGTTTTTCTTACTGTAGCAGTAGCACCAAGGTCAGAAATTTTCAGTGTTATTAAAGCCGAACGGCTCGGTAAAACCGCCACCCGGTAACAAAACCGGCTCGGAACAGTTTAAAAGCCGCTCCGGTTTTATGTAGCGGTTGACGAGCGGCCGAGGCGGTTAACCGCTCGTCCGGTTTTTGCCATTCAGCCGTTAAATTTAATTAAAAAATTACAGAAAATTGAAATAAACCAAAAACGTCGGACTCTCAAACTGAATCTTTATTTTCATTTCACAATTTCGAAGGAAAAAAACGAGCTCTGATTAAGATCCACTATTTATAGTGATAACGTTTATTAGGTACCGGTTCTCTAACGGTTTTTAAACGATCTAATGCCGGTTGGACCACTAAAGTGCAAGCCGTTCGTATTATCGGGTCATGCTCCGGTTCGGTTCTGACATCATTGAAAATTTGGAATTGGAATTGCAGCCAATTTTTTTACTGGGGGGGCTGGTGGTGACTCTGTTTTCAATTTCCAGAAGCACACTCTGTTACCCTAAACCTTCTCATCGATTGCATATATTAACCAATTTGTAGAGAAACAAGGGCAACGACCGGAAAAGGAAAGGGGATGAGCTGTACCAAGGTGAAAGTATCGCAGTATTTGAAAGAGACGTTGAGAGGTGTCCAACACGACTCATCAATGGCGGCACCGTAACCGACCCCGTCCTGAAACAGGGGCGACGCCGCCATGACTGAGGCGGTGTAGATCAGCCGCCTCACGGTTCCAGACTTGATGCAGCTTTCCGCTATGCTCTTCGACCCTGCAGCCATGGCTTCCATCCTGTCCTTGTACTGCAGGGTTTTTGTTTTTTGTCAAATTTGAAAAGAAAAAAAAACAGAGTACCCAGATGAAATAATTTTACAGACCGTGTAGCTGTTCTGGTTGTGTTGGAGAGGGTAAGCGACGTGGAAAACGAATTCGCAGCCATTAATGGCGGCTTGGAACTGATCTGGGTTGTAGATATCGGCTTCGAACAGGACCAAATTCGTTTCGGCGTTGGGGAGGGAAGTCAGGAGACCCACTTTCGCCTTGTCCTCTGCCATATCCAGAATCAGAGATATAATTAAATTCTGATACATGAGTAATGATTTCCTCAGGAATTTGATTGAATCGAATTGAAGTAAAATCTCGTGGGAAGTGGGTACTGGGTAATGGGTATTTTGACCGACCGAGATTGCGGAGAGTGGCGTGGACGGTGTAGCCCTTTTCCAGCAGTTTCTTGACGAGGGAGGAGCCGATGAAGCCAGAGCCTCCGGTGACGCAAACTCTAGTTTGGGATTTCTCCATTGCTGTGTTTTTTTCTGAGATGAGGAGTGGTTTAATGGCTAGGGGAAGTGTAATTGTGGAGTGTGGAGAGGAAGATGATTTATAGGAGGAGGAGGAGGAGGAGGTTGGTTAGCTTACAAATTATGTTTGTTACGTGGCGACGACATTAGTAAACTAATAATGATGGGAATGGATATGCTCCCATGGTGGTTCCCGCCAATAACAAGTTCTGTTACAGTAATTTTTCTTGTTTCAATTAAGGACTTCTTTTATATATTGGAAAACTCTTCTTTCATATAAGTCATCTAATTGAACGGTCTAAAGCGAAATTGAAGAAATCGAATGATCTTTCAAACGATTCATCTCGTACAAGAACTATCTCGATAGTTCGGTTATAGAGTCACGAAGAAGGAAGACAAAGTCTTTTGCTAAATGCTAAAAGAGACGTCGTGTTCACCAATACTAGAATGAGTTCTTTGTCGGATGCCGTGAGGTGTGATTATTTGGTTCAAAGAGCTTCTTTGTTGATCTCATTGCCCATGATTTGATCTCCTCAATAGTTCTATCTGTGTGCGACCCAAGAATCATCGTAGGAGCAATTCCGATGGCAGATTTCCCATAATTAGACTCTCGAACGATGATTTCAACTGCGATTCTTGGTCGATTCACACTTTGTTCCCCCACCATCTCTATCACTTCTCTCCCCTTTACGACAAACAAGTTTTGCTATAACATTCAATTAAGATCGAGTTTTGATTGTCAAACACTCTTTTGAATGCAATCTAGCCATATAAATATCATGTGTTAAGCGATTATCTCATCCCTAATCAGATTACTCTTTTCACTGTTTCACAATCAAATTCGATTACACTAGAGATGTTTGACTCGCCTCTTCTGATCGTCAACGATGCGTCAAAGTGAAAACCATAACATTGTCATACTATCTACCATTGGGGGGATTGAGGTTATGGTATTTGACTTGAGTCCACAACAAAAGCAGATTCCTACTGTACCCTTCACATCGATTAGTTACCAAAATCAACCTCAACGACCTGAAAAATAAAATTTTGAGAGACAATCAAACATGGTTGTCACGCCGGCCGGCATGCCACCGGTTGTACCGGGTTCAACCGGTACCGGTCATAAAATCGGCGTGACACCACTAGTATAACCGGCATGATCGATATACGAATCTCTAAGTAAAATGATCTTATTTTAGAGAATTTAATTGATAAAAATTATTTTATTATTTATTTTATGAGTATAAAAGTTAAATATTGATGTTATTTGTTGGATTCAAATATAAATATTTAGGTATTGACGTTAAATGTCATGTTTAAATATGAGTATTTATAATTTTATTTGTAATATTGACCGGCATGAACCGACACAAACCAGAATGTGCCACCGGTTGAACCATTCCACTTGCTAAACCGACACACTAGCATAAACCGGTTTGACAACCTTGCAACCAAACGATAGCCGACTCAAAGCGTATAAAACCGGCCGGTTCGGCCAAGATGCTGATGGGGTATAGCTTGCCGTAATTGTGGCCGGTTCTTGATTGCTCTGCCCCATCAGCATCGTGGCCGAACCTGCCGGTCTTGTAATTTCCAGTTAACAAAAATTAAAGGCAATGGAGCTATCTATTGAGACAAATGCTTTCTATCTTTCTTGGTAATGCAATGGAGCTATCTATTGAAACAAAACCCAAAAGACGGAGGAAATTTCCAAAAGTTGACAACAGGGGAAAGTAAAAAAGCATAGTAGGTGAAATTATCAAAGTAAGCAAATTATATGCCACACAATTTGTTGATCGTTTACAAGGTAAACAAGATTTATCAAAACAAGATGATGGCACAAAATGATCGGAATGACCTCACTTCTGCAGTAGGGAGAATGAAGCAAGGTGAGATTCATATTATTCTCCGACCATCGTACTCCTAACACGAAAAACCAGACGCCGAAATATTCGAGCGTTTTGACTGAGAAGTTTGTTATTCGAATGAACTAGACACAACATACACACCAACACACAAATTAGTACTTATCTAGACAATAAGACACAAAAACTAGACAGCCAAGTATATGCTTCGACACTTTTGTCCTTCAAAACATTCTCCTAGCAGAAGCCACGCTTCAGCTAGTTTTACCTGGTAATAAACAATGTAATGGACAAGATGAATCTTTGTCCCACGGAATCATCGATTGAAAAGGTCAACCAATCAAAAAGGGGACACTTCTACTGGAGAAACCAGCTAAGCCCACTTCCTTTCTAATGGTAAGCACCAAGATACAAAAGGAATGCTAGGTCTAAACATGAACGACAATGCACGACGCAGGAAAGGGAGAAAAGCAGCTCTGAGCTGGTTCCATGGTGATACAGAGCAATGACCGCTTCAAAAGCTTGATAGTGATAGAGAGAGAGAGAGAGAGAGAAAGCTAGGACTCCACAAGGGAATCTATATAGAGCACATGATGCCAAGAAGGCAGGAACTAGGTAGTGGGCTCAAATGCGGCTTGTTCGTGCCAGATACCGTTCAAGTTGGACTGCCAGAGTCTCACCAATCCATCAGTCCCTGTGGTTGCTAGAGTCATCCCGCTCATATCCCATTCCATTTGCCAAACCTACATGGGTAAAACGTTCACATGGTTTCAGTAAGACAAATGAGACCGAGAGGTATTTGCGTTGCTAGTTTCGAAACCACCGCGGTCATGGTACCTCTGCTTCATAGCCGGAGAGTAAAGCAGCCCTCTCCACTGAAAGTCTGCCATCGGTGTCGGGGTTCGATCCCAGATGCCATATGGCAATTCCCTTGTGAGTAGCAACAGCAATGACCTCATATGGCCTTACAAAAATAGGAAGACTTGGTTTAGTACATACGACCTTTTAGGCTTTTACAGATTTAAATGTTCTGGCATTTCAGATGCTTAAGTAATCACCTGCCGATGTTTGGTGCCCATGCAACAGAGAACACCTGATCTTTTCTGTCTTCAGGTAAAGCAAGCTCGGCCACTGGGACCCATCGTTGGTGGTCTAGATCGAACTCCCACACCTGTCAAATCCTGAACCTGATCAGCTAGATGAAACTTGACGATCATGAATTACTGTGGACATGAACCAGCCCACGTAAATGAAAACCTATTTTCCTAGAAGCTAAATTCTTTATCCAAGCAAGACAGGATGCCTGTCAAGAGACGCTTGTGACTCATCATGCCAAGGACTCTGAGTTATCAGGCATATCAGGTGTTTTTGGTGTGTTAGAATTGCAAATTGATGTTATTATTCCCAATAACATGCCATCCGTTTTGCATTGTATTATATGAGGTATATTTTCAGAGACATTATTTGATTCAGTGCAATTGTGCATGATATTGTGTCAAAAAGGTTAAAGGACAATAGCCGGCCTACTTTTCTAGATTGCATTTTCAAATACTTCCTACTTATCAAATATTTGAGATGCATGGGAAATTTCAAGTGCACTCAAATACATTTATATTGTCAAGCCGTCAAGGAAAATAATATATATGCCTAATACATGTTATTGAAGATATCACTCTTCCAAATACAGTCAATCAAACAACCTGCGACTTCAATTTCAGAATTCGTTTCACTACTAAGGATCTCAAACAATGAGGTCAAACTTATGTAAGCCACTTTATTTTGCCTTTCTATCATTTCATATGAATTATGTCCAAAATCGTCTCATTTCCTCTCCTCTTCTTTTCTTCATATATGATTACCATATCTTATTGAAGGATCTAAGTCAAGTTGATGTTCACAGTTCCTTTTGCCAATGGCAACAAAAAAAGACAAGAACTTAGGTTAAGTTTCCTATAACCTTGGAAGAGTTGAGTTGCGGTGTATCCGAATTGAAGCCTAAGACAAAGCTCATCTCCTGGCCATCGCCCCTTTGTGGATTCCAAGAAATGGAAGCAGAGAAGCATGAAGCCTTGGCTAATTTAGCTACTGAATCAGTCAAATTCTGAAACTCAGCCTGATGCATTGGGAAATAAAAGCACACATTAGCAGGAGAAATGAGCAAAATCTATCATCCCTGCTCTACTATAATGCTACAATTGACACAATCGAACATCTAAACCTGAAGCTGCCAGATCTTCAACTCTAATGGATTAGAGAGCTCGTACACTTTCACTTGACCGTCTGAATGTGCAACAACCTGCGAGCTACAAACAAAGACAATCACCAATTGAACATACTTTCCAACCATTAATACAACAGCGAAAAAACGAATGAATCACGAGAATTCACCATCTTCAAAATGGTCCGGAAAACTCCGAATTGAACATCCAACACTTTAGCAGAGTTGCTCTGAAAGCTTTTGCTGTGCTTCCATTCAACAGCTTGCGCATCTACACAAACAAAGGCCCAAAATAACACCATCAAACAACCTAATCTGAAACTCTCCATAAGGTATTTTATAACAGCAAAAAAAGCAGTTCAAACGGAGAAAAACCTTCAGCAAACTCTTCCCATAGAGACAAGCTTCCATTCCCGTCAATGCAAGCCACTGCATCGCCAAATAGCGGCGGAATCCATACTACCTTCACAACACCACTCTCACCCACCTAAACCAAATTTCAATTAACACGAAGAAAACACCAATCGGAAATCACATGGAGGCAGCTAAGAGCTCGCTGGAAAAGACTCAAATCTTCGGCGGAAATTTACTAACCCTAGCTTTGGAGGTACATTTGAAAGACGTAGAAGCAGGGTCGCCGGAATCGAAGATTGAAAGCGTCCCGTCTACGGAGCCGGTGGCCAACCTCTGGCCGGAGTAGTTCCACGAGGAGCACGTCGTGCCGTTGTCAAGCGTTGCCAGTGATTTCTCCATTAGTAAAGCTCTGATTGCAGCGATCTGAGCTCGTCTCGCTGACTGTGCCTGCTGACTTCTCCCGCCAAGGTTTTTTTCCCCTCAGTTACAGAGCTCGGTACTAGACTAAACGTCACACCTAAAAATTAAAAGGGCCGGGGTTTTAAAAGATCCACAAGGTTTGTGGGCTCTAAATATGGGCCCAGGAAATAGAGCCAATCTAATTTCAAGCACTCCAAGTCCACCAAGTCGGTACTCATCTCGGCTGGGTCATCCGACTCGAGCCGTGGTACTGGCTCGATAGGGTAAACCAAGAGGCCAGAACCGGTTTGACCTAGTAACTTAAATGCTTCTAATATATGTATCCGTGGAAAGTGTTAACAAAAGTAATTATTTGGCCTAGTGGGGCGTAGCCTACCTATTAATATTTTTTGCTATACTGTCCACTTTTTACATTTTCCATTTTTCTCTAATGATTTATCATATTTTTAATTAACGTACTTTTGTTTTTGTTACAGTCAGATAAACTTTTCTCCAATAAGTTTAAAACCAATTTTAATTTTGCTAGAAAATCAATTCTTTATTTGAAATTTATACTTTGATTAACTTTCCATTTGAACATATGAGTTTTTTAACTTATAAAATTATATCTTTAAGAATAATTTTATTATACATAAATGATCATTTTCTCGTTCAAATACTAATATTGAATAACATTCTACAAACTGAAAATCAATGATTTTTTTGGTATTTTACTCATTTATATTGAATCATAATAGATTATATCTAGAGCCAATCTGATTATTTGAAACAACATCTTGGTACGATTTGATAATTAAAATAATTGATATATTGTTATATAATTGTTATATAGTTTTTTGTATTATACGATAATATACTAACAAATCTGACCTCCTGAACCCAGAATCCTGACTCCATACTTGAAGGCACCATGACGACTCGGGGCTCTGGCCCGACGGCGGCAATGTGGACCATTCTGTGTTAAGTGTTTTGTTTAGGAGGTTCGGTTGGTTTGAGTAGACAACAATATTGTTGTTTGTGGTGTTTTAGATACAAGGAAAACGATGCTTTTTATAATGGCTCGTGTATACAACTAGAGGAATGGCTCATGTATACAACTAGAGGAACTAGGTAGGGAGGGAGTAGATTCTAATGAGGCACCATTTTGTACTGAACTGGCTCTCTCTAATGGTTTTGGTTAATTTTTATTTTCCACCGTCTAGAAGTTTTATCTTAATGTAACTGAAGAGACAAGGTTGGACGAAAGTAGTACCCATACGGCCATACCCCATCTTACACTATTAGAAATCGGATAAAACTCAACCTATGCAAATCGCGACAGATTGAATTGCATAGATCTTATCATAAATTTTCATAACGAATCATTCAAAATCAAAAGTAGTAAGTAAAGCGCATATCCTCCAAGGCTGGAGCTAGCTAGCTAGATGCAACAAGTACTAGGGCTCATCTGATGAGCTTCAAACCCCTGTAAATTGATTCTAAAAATTCATGTAAAGAAACGCCAATGTTCGTTCTAGAACTTGAAAATGGCAGCACCGCTGGAAGGCTTGGAAGCAAAGACATGGAGGTCAAGATCGTTCTTGCCAATTACACCCTTTTCGACTCTTGACTGATAAAATTTTTCCTGCAATAAAAATTGAATAATCAAACAATTAAGAAACCTTAATTGTTAAAATATAAAACGAGTATGCCACGACATTAATACGTAACATATGCAGATAATTAATTAATTAATTACCTTCAACGTTTGAATGAATTGTGGGACGGTGGCCTCCTCCAGCAGAGCAATCACACAACCGCCCCATCCACCGCCGGTGAGCCTTGCCCCCAATGCTCCATTGTCCCGGCAGACTTTCACTAGTTCTTCCAACTCCGGGCAACTATATATACACCGTGAAAAAATGTTCAAGTACTGTAAAATTAAAATTGGCTTCATGTTTGTTACCCGATCGTACTGAAATTCTGGAAAAGCTCACCTGGATTCGTATAAAGAAGTACAGCTTTTATGGCTGTCGTTCATTAGCTCGCCTAGCTTCTTCATTTTCTCCTCATCGCTGCAAAATAGTTCATCATCAGCTCACCAGGATTCAAATAGAGAAGTAAAGCTTTGATCTTTCTTAGCTGTCGACGTTCACCTGAGCTTTCCTGACGCTATGTCCCTAAACGCATGCACCCGCTTTGCTTCTGAGTAGACATGCGCAGCTCTCTGGTGTAACTTGTACTGCGTGGTTGAGTTGAGCACATCCAATATCGACGACGGCGAAGTACTAAACAAGGATGTCAATTTTTCTCCAACGATGTTCTCGATTTGTTCGGCTGTATAGGGTACCTCTTTCAAGAATTCCTGAAGCAACAATTAACAAGTGCAGTAAAGATTAATGATCTTAAAGTATGCAGTCACAGAATTGAACATGGAAAAAAGGTAAGTGATCATGGTGTGATACATACCTTAACAGAGGCAAGTGGGTCAGATTTACCCAATCCCTCTACATCAAACAGAGTTTGCATTCTTGATCTTGCCTCCTCTGGCTTCATTCCCAGGTTTATTCCAAGTACGATCTGCAGAAACAAATGTAGATTACAGAATGAAGTGTACACAGTAGACAGAGAGACTGCTGGATGTGATTGGTGTGATTCGAGAACTTGTTGATCCCAATAACACCAAAGTTTTGCGCACTTACAGATGCTAAACGACATTCGACAACTCTGGTATTGTATCCAGTTGCAGCCATCTGAGAGTGGTCGGCCAGAGAATGTGCAATCACGAAAGTGGCACCCTTCGGCAGCTGCACATGATCAGTTGCTCGAACAGGATTGAATTCTATCAGCTCAGCAAATCCTGCTTTAGCCACCATAGAGGCTGCATGCTAAATCAGAACAGGCCAGGCCAATTCATTAGCATCTAGCTAGCTAGCTAGCTAGTAGTTTCCATATATAACAATGAAGAACGTGAATCTCTCTCTGGTTACAAACCTGGTCCATTCCTGCAGATTGACCTTTCCCTATATGGCCTTCACATTCACGGGTCAGCTCAGCAACTTCTTTCTGCAGACAAATTTTGGAAGGTTATTGTTATTGACGATCTCCACCGAACTTCTAACGCTTAGTTGGGTTTGTGTTTACCTTGGGGAAGCTGACACCGAAAGCAGCCATGATCGCGACGGTAGCTGAACAAACGAATGCTGCAGAGCTCGACAGCCCCCAACCTGATTAATCGAACAAGACAACGAAACAAAAACAGCATTTCATTAGATTATGAAAGTGTTCTAGGGTTGCAGACCCAGTTGGTTCATTAGCAACGTTGCATATATACATACCAATTGGAACAGCTCCATCAACCATAACCTCAAGCCCAACCGATTCGTCGAAGAACCTAACCGAGTCTCCAACGTCTCTCCCTTTGGCTTTCGCATATTCATAGTAACCTTTGTACCTATAGACCAGAGTTTAGCAGTGTCCTGTATACAGATTCACATTCCAAAACTAGTTAATGGAAAACATGAGAGAATCATTTCATTCTCACCCACAGATGAAGTAATCACCCCAACTACGATTCTTCAAGTCCACTGCCTGCACCAATCACGAATTCCCCCGACGATAATTCGCGAAAATTTTAAACGATCATTGCGCGACATTTTCCCTCGTTTTCTATCGTTTCATCAGCGAGATTGTTATTGTTCGAAATGGAAGAAAGGGAGGAAACCTGATTAGGATCGGCAGGGTAACTGCACATCGCGTACTTCTTCTCGTCGACATTCGCAATCCGTAGCAGCTTTTCCCCTTCTTTTGGAGAATGCTTGGAGATTGCGACAATGGTGTCTCGTTGAATCGCCGTCGACAACACCGAGCAGCCTTCTCTAGCAGTATGCGCTCCCAACAAATTCACACGTCCTTCAATACGACATCGTATCAAAACATCAATTGATCTACAACGAAGAGAAAGACATACAAGAGAAAGAGAGAGAAGAATTCCGACCTGGACAGCGGGAATAGATGTCCGGCGGATGGCCGAACACTCGGGCGAACTCCGCCTTCAGATTGTCGAATCGGACGCGAGCTTGCTTGATCTCGTCGGCACCGCCGCCGTAGACGGGATCGAGGGAGGAGTGAATCGGGATGGTGAGCTCGTCGGCGTGCTCCGCCATCGGAAATCGCGAATGCAGCGGCGGCGATTAACTGTTGGTTGAACGGAATTTTTTTCTTCTTTCGAAGCGGAATTGATTTGATGAACTGGTTGCCCTTTTTCCTGATGGGATTGGAAGGGTTGCTCAGTTTTGCATTTGGGGTTTTCATTTCTGAATTTGATCCCAAGGTTCAGGGGTGATGGAGAGGAAATAGGATCTGAGTGATCGCTCTAAAAGGTCCACTTGTTCCGTCTGTGTATATTTTGTTCGTCACTCTGAACCTTCGATTGAGCCTACAAGAAAGGCTCTGCAAAGTATAAAAGGTCGCAGGTATTTTTTTTCTTTCTATTGATGAGTCGAGTTTGAACTCAATATCGTTTAACTTGTTAGGCTCGTGTCGTGAGTTCGTTCGTTCGTCTTGATGGTTTGTTGAGCTCCTTATGAACTTATGAGTTGCCTCAACAGAGTGGCTAGCTAACGAGCCAAATATACATGAGAATTGATGGTGCGAAGAAAGAAGAATATTATGGATCTCTACAATTATAGTCTCTAATTGCCTCGATCGGATATTAATACACTCCAGAATTAAAAGTCTTGGAAAATAAGAGTTCTCGTAATTGTGTGCTATCTATAAGATGGTAAGTTGAGCTAAAAAAACTCCACAGACATAACATATCAAGTAAAAAAAAATATCAACAACTCAATAAATTATCAAAAATAATGAGCACCGAAGAGATGTGTAAATAAAATTCGATATAATATTATCTACTCATGCATAAAATAAATAAAAGCTAACACAAGTAAATGTCATCAAGCTCACAATACTAGTAAGTAGTATTGTAGTAACATGAACACCATTTGACATGGACAAAAAGAAAGACATGCATCCCAACTTTATGCCAAATGAATACAAAATTCCCATCCCAACCACATACCAAATTATATTTGTACAAATAGCCACAAAAAGAAACAAAAAACGCAGAAGCCAAAAAGGAGAGAGAGAGAGAGAGAGAGGGCGTGGGGGACAAAGGAAACTAAACATTGCTATCTTAATCATAATGTTCATGTATAGGAAATCTAAAGCTACTTCTACTTATTTATCAAGGGATGAATTCTTCTGTAATCCTTACATGTAAGAGCCAAACATCGTCATATTATCAGACGACATCCAGCCCTATAAACGCGTATGAACTGTGAGCACCAAAATCGCGCGCTATCAATGGCCAATACCCGGACTTGGAACATCTCCGTACCTTCTGTAGTAATAGTCTTCGTAATCATCATACCCCGATGAATCCGAACCATCACCTTCCACATCTGGATGATACTGATCACCACCATCACCATCAACATCATCATGAAGCATCTTCTTATCACTACTGCTGTCACCTTTCTCATCAGTACTTCTTGCTCTCCCTCCATTGATGTCAACTTTCTCATCCTCCTCCTCCTTCTTCTTCTTCTCCACCTCCTTGTTCACACGACCATAGCTGCAGAAGGAGACATGAGAACATCCACCTACTCTGGAACCTCTGCCAACCCTCGCTGCAGCCATTTTGCAGTCAGGAAGCAACATCATCACCATCACTAACACCACCACCACCACCATTAAACAAACCTTGTCATCTCTCTTAAGACCCATTTTCCTCTTTCCTTTCTTTTACTGCAGAAAAAAAGAACCCTAGTAAGAAAGGAAGCAGGACCAATTTTGAAGGGGATTTGCAGGGGAGAGGCAAGAGGAAGAGAAGATCAGAGAGGTATATAATATAAGTGTGCTTTCCCATTTCAGTTTCTTCTTTGCATTATTTATGTATGTGCCCACTAGGGACACCCTTCTAAGAGCCATCATTATGTTCAAAGTTCTTTTTTACGTGGTTAAGAGATAGAATTTTGTTCATTTTTTTTCTGTAGGGTCATTTTACCATGATGATGATCCAACTTTAGTTTTTTTTCTACTGTCCCAGCATGATTGACACATACCAACAAACTCGAATTCTCCTTTTTCCTCCTTTGCTTGCCTGCTTTAAGGTTTGGTGGTGTAGTGACTTTGGGACGTGTAGAGTGTTGACATTTCGATCTGATCAAAAAACACGAACTTTACTTTCTATGGTTCAGAAAGCGTACCGAATAAAATGTTATTTATAACTGAAGAAGAAGCTGTATGAAAATCACTTTCAGCTTTGGAAGTCTTGATTCGTGAAGTTCTGTTATGGAGAGGTCAGAGGTCCCAGCAAATCATGATTAAAGATTGTCGAGCTAAAGAATGGAACTTAATAGGAATGGCTGACACATAAATGATGCCATCATTAGGGTTTGAACACCATCCCTGGTTCCTGCCCACGGAAATCAATTAATCATGATTGTTGTTTTTCTTTTATGAATGCTACTACTGTTGTAAGTGTGAAGAGATAAAAGTGTTCTTATCATTGTCTAAATTCACTTAGTTAAGGGTGTAGAGTTATTTAGAACGAGTAGATAAATCGGTACGTATCTAATTGGTGTATTTAATGAGTCTAAAAGGATACAAAGTGATGGAAATATAATACGTTTTTTATGGGTTATAAGTATAATATGCCCCTCTACTATGACGTTTTATCAAACATGCCCCTCTACTATTTTTTACATCAAATATGCCCTTGTACTTTGAAAAAATTATCAATCATGCCCTTCTGTTAAAATTCCCATTAAAAAATCGTCAATCATGGTTGAATTAAAATTTAGACGACCCGACATCGGCAAATGGGAGGGAAAATGTCAGTTTTGTCCCCTGTTTTATTTCCCTGGGTCTTTTCAAAGTGAAATTATTTGAATGATTTGATTATTAGGGATATTTTAGTCATTTGTGTCGCCCAAACTAAAGTTCGGCCTTGGTTAACGATTTTTTGATGAAAATTTTAACAAAAGAGCATGTTTGATCATTTTTACAAAGTAGAGGAGCATGTTTTATGTAAAAAATAGAAGAGGGCAATGTTTGATAATAGAGGGGACATATTATACCTATAACCCTTTTATATATAAAAAACGGGTGCGGAGCACCATTATCTCATAACATTACTACGAGAGGGCACTGAGGTTCTCAAAATGTCATAAAAAAGAAGTGAGCGAGAAAAGGAATAGAGAAACTCATATGAGCTAAACAATCCGCTAAAAATAATTCTCCCTCTATAAAAACCATGAGATAGTCTAATCTCCCGCTCCTTTGATTGGAGGTTGCGAAACGGGAGCACTAAGCTCGGTGAGATGAATCACGTGTCTCTTGCAAAATGGATAGCGTTGCTGTCGAAAAATCCATATGCAGTATGCAGCTCTGCAAGGCTATCCTTCATGGGCCATGGGCCGATTTCTCGTTTTAAGTCAAAACTTAAAAAAAAAATTCACAGATAAATCAGATTAAATGTGCTCTTTAAAATGATATGCACTTTGATATATTATTAATACAAAAGAAATTGAATAATTTTTACCAGTCGTTACCATATGGTATGCTCCTATTTAATACCATATGGTAAGAAGGTTGAATACATGATAGTAAGAGTATACTAACTGTCATTTACTGCTTTCATAATTGTTTACCACAAGTTACCACTCACATACCATAGTGGTAAAGTATGGTAATTTTTTATCCAGTATTTTTTTCACCCCGGAAATTTATTGACCTCGTTCTTTCTGAGCAAACGTTTTCAAAAACGACATAAAAACGAAGAAGTTACCATATGGTATGTAGTTGGTAAAAAAAATTTTCTCGAAATATATTGAAAATTGATCTCATTTTGTAGAGCACAACAAACTCATTCCATCTGTGCAAAAAAAAAAAATGAAATTCGAGTTAGAACGAAGAAGATAAGAGCCGATAAAGAAAACTAGGGAAAATAAAATGTCTTTCATTAACAACCATTAGATCTGAATTTTCTGGATCTACTTGGATCTAAAGGTCCAAATTTAGTTACTCATAGGTCATAACCAATGGTTACTGACCCTATCCTAAACCTATTCTGCCTACCAATTTGTGCAATGAATAATACGTTACGTTGTCGTCGTTGTGTACTTGGTTAACATGGATAATCGGATATTGTCCGGCGCAGCCGGGAGCTTTTGTTAGGCACCACTGCTCTGCTAGCCCACAGGCCACAACACAGCCATTTTAGCCTTTCGGCCGGTATAGAGTATTGGGCCTCGCAGGGTACTTTATGGGCCATGAGCCCATTTCTTTGTTTTTGTGGGCTCATTCCACAAAAAACGGATTCTCTTCCAAGGTTATTATTTATGAACACCGACAGCGTGTGCAGGAAGTTACATTCAATTCTCACCAACAAACGGGAACAAATGATTTGGGAGCTAGCTAGCTAAAAAAAGATGGAGTTGGTTTGAATTTTAAAATGGATTCATAGAAATGGCATAGATACGTCATATTTGAAGCAATGTTGTGGCAGTTCGTTTACCGGTTAACCGACTGGTTAAACTGATAATCGGCTGGTTATTCACTAACCGATAATCAAACTTTGGTAGGTTATCGAAGGTTGGAAGAAATGATTTCGGTCTTAAAAGTGGTTCGGTTAACCGATAACCGAGAAACCGAAGCCTATTTCGGACGGTTTTCAATAGAGGGAGTGGTTATTTTGGTTAACCGATAACCGGCTGATCGGGTACAGGTTATAACCAAAATGCCACCCCTAGTGCTGCTGCATGCATGCATGCAGAGACCAACATGTACGAGTGTTTGCAAAACCGTATCATACCGACGATTTGATCTGGAAACCTCCTACTATAGTATAAATTAAAAAGTGATTTTTAACGATACGAAATGACTGAACCACAATTTAAGTATAAAATACAATATTATATACCTTTCTAATAACAAGCTCAGGTATAATTTTTTACAATCCTTCTTCTATGTACATGTGAAATATAGGGCCCTAATATATACATGAATAAAAAAAAAATCGAAGAAAACAGGAAGGCAGGAGGATATTATTGTAAATTAATCAAGGAGTTGATTCATTCATTGCTCGATTTGACGTCTAGCGCTTGCTAATTCTAAGCTACCCCAATTTTCTTTGATTTACATAATATTTATTTATAGTACTCCATTAATTATATTAGAGCAAAGACTAATGTTGAATTAATGTTTGATGGATTCCGCTATGGCGATTCCTCCTGCCGGCACTTGAGCTACCGTACAAAAAATCATCAAAGCATGCAAATTAGTTAGAGTAACCAAAAGAAAGAGCATATCACTCAAAATTCAGCTCAATCAGCAAACAAATTTTAGTTTGATCAACTGGAAATGAAAATAAAATCTAAAAGATTGGAGACATTAAACATAACTAACCCACCACCTTGTAATTAACTCTTGTCATGACCTATGAAAGAAAGGCTTGATCGAGTCGCGAATATGAATTATAATTTTTTTGATCTGATTTGTTAAGTCTAACTTTGTTAATTCATTCCAAATCTATGTGGTAATTCTCGAAAAACGATTGTCACATCAGCAACATACCAACAAAGTGAAATTCTATTTTATTACCTTCTTCATCTTAGTAATCGTAGACAAAAAAAAAAAAAAAAAAGATCGCTCACCATTGAGATTTTAGTATCGTAAATCACCAATCAACGCAAAAGGAACTAGCAAAATATATCTACGAAAAATTAACCACAAGGCAATAAACACCAAAAACGTTAAAATTTACTACAAACGTATCAAAACTAGTGACAAGCATTGAATAAATCTCCAAATTACACACACAAACTACGTTTCTTAATTCATTTATTTATCATTTACACTAAAAAAAATTCCCTTTTTAATTACGCATCACAACTTTCCCTTTTTAATTACCACACACAAAAAAGGAAAAACATCAAAAGATGAAAGGGGAAAAAAAACACGAATTCATGGACATGAAACACCCACCGCCGCCGCCGTCGTCGCCGCCGTGAACCTCTCCGACAAACTCCTCTTCGCCAGCGAACTAATATTCGACAGCCCGAAATTTTTTTCGCTCTCCGGAACCTCCGGAATCGTGGAAAGCGCCCCGGTCTTGTCGTACACGAAGTAGACCTCGCCTCCGTTAAAGCTCCGTTTCTTATCCTCCTCCTTCCGATTGTAATTACCGCCGCCAGACGACGTCGCTTTAATGAACACCGACTTGAAGAACCGCCGCACGGACTTGGATATCCTCGACGACGACGACGACGCGCGCTTTTTAGCCTCGGGGATCGGATCGCTGATATTCTTATCGAGACTGTTGTTTTTCTTCGGGGGATGATGCAACGGCGCCGTATTGGACTGGGCCGGGTCGGGCGCGACCCGGCGGTCGGGTAAATGGGGCATGGAGAGGGTCCGGGAGTTGATGGCGGAGTAGAGCTGCTTCTCGAACGACCGGAGCTCGAAGGAGTCGTAGAGGGCGCTGCCGCAGTCCCACACGGCGGCGGCGGACGCCGGCTGCTGCTTCGTCGGGACGATGACGGAATTGCTGACGCTGCGTCGATGCGGATTCTTCTCCATCGGGTCGGGTCGGTTCGGTCTTGAGAGAAATGAAGAGGAAAGGTTGGAAGAAATTATTGATTAGTGTGAAGAGAGAAAGAGAGAGAGTGTGTGTTTTTTTTATTTATAAAGAAGGGGGAGGGTTGATTAGTAATTTCAGGGACGTCAGTTATGACTTATGAGTTATGACCAAGTGAGAAGAAAAGGGAAATGGATGCTGTCGGGTCGGCGATGGATAGTGAATATTCGTTTTCATATTCAAAGTAGTTTGGGTTTTTTTCTATTTCTATATTCATATAAGAAACGGGTAGAAAATTAAAATCATGTCCATACCCGTTCGGGTTTCCGGTATCCACGGTTATCCATGGATAATAATTTTTCTATATAAATCCAACCAATATGTTAACATTCACGCATATTTTTACATTATATATAAGACAAAAAGTACGACAACAATTCACTAGAATGAAGAAAATTAACTAAAACAACAAAATTTCGTGAAAAACATTATATTTATATGTTAAATATAAAATATGTTAGAAAACAATAATGATTATTTTTAGACAAATTACATATGTATGTGCATAATCGGTCGGGTTCGGGTTGGATAGTGAGAAAATCATGTCCACCCATTACCCGCAATATTTGGGTTTGGATTTTATCTATACTCGCTAAAAGTCATTCGCATTCGAGTTTTATCCTACCCGATTAGATTGGATTCGGACGGATACCCACAATTACGGGGTTTTTTTTTTTTGTTGCCATCGGATTGTGGAAGAGCAAGTTTGCCATTAAATGTAGGGATTGTAGTAAACAAACATCGTCTTCTTTCAATAACTAGTCCAAAATGTATGTTCTGTAGTAAATCTAAATGGTGAAATATTATATATTTTTTCCTGAGTTTGTGTTGGTGATTAGGCTTGCTCGTGCAATCTGGCGATGGAAAAAGATAGAGAACCCATTTTTCTGTGTGGTGTGTTGGCTATTGGAATTGCTCCACTGCCAAATGTGTGCGGTCTCTTTTGCTGCATACACCACCAGTACAGGCCAGCTAAAACGCGGTCCAAGTCCAACCATCATTGTGAATCATGAGATCTTGTATTAGTTTTAGAGTATGAAATTCCTCTTCTTCTTGATTAATAATAATTAGGTGCCTGTCAGCGTAATGAAAGAGATAATGACCACAATAACATATATAATTATAATAAAAATAATTAATATTAGCAAACAACAAATGAAGTTGCGACCTGGCGACTTGTCACTTTGTAAGCCAATAATTCATTCCCCTCTTGACTCTCTATTATTTCCAAATTCAGAGAGCTTAACATGAATAATCACATTATAATAGATAAACACAATTAGGGGCAAGAAACAGAAAAAAAAAAAAAAAAAGGGCTTCCAAAGAGCAAACGGGTTTGGACTGTTTTATCATCACCATTTTGGGCTTAAAAAGTTGATATAAAATGCTGGGCCCTATACGGCTAATTTTGAGCAACCAACGTTGAGGCCCAGTATCCCAATTGGGTCTAAAAAGTTAATAAAAAAATGCTAGGCCCTATACGGCTAATTTTGAGCAACCAACGTTCCACGCCCACCAAATAAACCGTGCATACTTCTTTCTTTTTTTTTTTTTGGGTAAAACGACAGACGTCGAGCGTCTAATTCATATTAATAATAGCTCTTTCATGGGAGATTCCCATTACATCATGGTTGATCCACCTAATCAAGTCCCTATCACACACATTGAAATGATGTGTGCCAAAATCAAAATCATGAGCCTTGTTGGCCAAGTAATCAGCCGCATAATTAGCTTCTCTATATACATGGGACACTCTAACCTCCCATTGTCGATCCAAAATACAGCTCAAGTGCCTGGCAGTTGAACCATGGCGATGCACATCATCATTCCTGTGTTTAATGATATTAATGGCAGTGGTAGAGTCGCTGTGCAGAGCGATCTTCCTGTAGCCTGCCTTCCAAGCAATCCTCAAACCCTCCAGGCTTCCTCGCAGCTCAGCAGCAGTGATTGAGCAACGTCCAAGGTTACACACATAGGCGCCCAAACATCTACCTAGGTGATCCCTGAACAAACCTCCTGCTGCTGCTTTTCCACTCTGAGCATGAAAGGAGCCATCAGAATGTAGTTGAATCCATCCTTCCTCTGGCGGTTTCCATCCAATATCACAGGGGGTTCTCTTCTTTAGGACAAAACCTGCTGTCTTCTGCTGGTTGGCCTGAGCTTGATTCACTATATTGAACCATGCTTTGATTTTAGCTGTGACACTCTCTTTCTTGAATGCACACCCTTCCATCACCTCTTCATTTCTCTGCTTCCAAAGTTGCCAACAGATGATCCCAAACTCTGTGGCAGTTTCTTCACACTTGATGTTGTGTAGCAGCCAATCAGTGAAGTTTAAGCTTCTGCTCACAGTAGACTCCTTGTTCTGGAACGTTTCCCAAATGCTCTTAGCTTTTCTGCACTTCCTGAGAATGTGCTCTATTGTTTCTTCTTCTTCATTGCAGTGGTTACACAAGTTGCAAGTTGTCAGCTTCCTTTTCTCCCTCTCTTTGTTGGTGAGGAGGCGCTCATGGGTTGCCAGCCAAAGGAAGTGTTTGATCCTGCTTGGCCCTTTCCACTTCCAAACAGCTTTCCACCTCCCATCATCCTCCTGTTCCTCAATGTCAGCCACCAGCCTGTATGCTGACTTCAGGCTGAACCTTCCATCCTTCTCCAAGCCCCAGATGGTGATATCCTCTCCCAGCTCAGGGTCAGGAGCATCAACTCCTGCAATAGTCAAGATAACATCATTAGGGAGATATTGTCCTAGTTTATTCCAGTCCCACTTACCCTCCTCAGTCACCCAGTCAGCAACAGTCGAGTCCAGATCCTCTTCATTGATGTCAGTGATGGCAAAATCAGCAAGGATTGTGCTGTGATCAATCCAAGGTTGCTTCCAGAAAAGGGTGTTCCTCCCATCCCTGATGCTCCAGCATGTGGCCTCTCTCATCAGCCTCATTCCTCTAACTATGGCTTTCCATAGATTAGAGTGATTGCTTTTTTTCATGGTGGTGATATCTCCCCCTTGGTGCTTGAAATATTTCCCCTGCAGGACCTGAACCCACAAGTCATAGGCATTATTAAGCATATGCCACCCAAGCTTGATCATATAAGCCATGTTCATATGCCTAGCAGATTTAAGACCTAAACCCCCTTGACTCTTAGGCTTACAGATATTGTCCCAGGCAACAAGATGAGTTTTCCTTTTGCCCTCAATGGAACCCCAAACGAAGGATCTGACCTTCCTATCAATAGCATCACAGATTGATAAAGGGAGGCAAGTGGTTTGCATAGCATAGGTTGGGAGTGCATTGAGCACTGAGACAGCAAGGGTAACCCTGCCAGCCAAGGAGAGGGTTCTTGCTTTCCAGCTAGTGAGCTTTTGGTCAATCCTATCCAGGATGAACTTATAGGTACTCTTAGTAATTCTACCATGTAACACAGGGACCCCCAGGTATCTGCCTAAGTCTGTAGTGGCTTGGATTCCCATTCTATTACAGATATCATTCCTATCCTTATTCTTGACATTTCTAGAGAAAAAAACCCTAGATTTCTCTTTACTGATCATTTCCCCAGAGGCCAGGCAGAAGTTATTCAGACATTCCATCACAATGTCAGCTTGAGCAATACTGGCTTCAGCAAAGAGGACCAGGTCATCAGCAAAGAAAAGGTGGGAGAGGGCAGGACCCCCAGGGGAAAGCCTAATTGGTTTCCAATTGTGCTTCTTAACTTCACTACCAATACAGTGACTCAATCTTTCAATACAAAGAGTAAAGAGGTAGGGAGAGAGAGGGCATCCCTGTCTGAGGCCTCTGGATGGAGTAAAGCTGTCAGTTTCCCCTCCATTCCACAGCACCTGGTAGCTTGTGGAGGTCACACACTCCATAATCCACTTGATACACAGGTCAGGTAACCTGGCAGCCTGCAGGGTTTCATGGAGAAACTCCCACCCAATCCTGTCATATGCTTTGGCCAAGTCCACCTTTAGCACCATAAACCCCTTCTTGCCACTTTTCCTTGCCATAGAGTGGATGGTTTCCTGCATGATAATGATATTGTCAGTAATATGTCTCTTAGGAATGAAACTGGACTGGTTTTTGTTAACCAGTTTGGCCATGAGTGGTTTAATTCTATTGGCAATCAGTTTAGCAATGACCTTATACCCTACATTACAAAGGCTAATGGGTCTAAACTGGTTCATAGAGGTAGGGTGCTCCACTTTGGGTATCAGGGTAATCAGGGTGTCATTGAGAACTCTAATTTTGCTAGGGCATTGGAAACATGAGATGATGAACCCAGCAAAGTCCTTCCCAACCACCTCCCAGCATTTCTGGTAGAAGATGGCCTGGAACCCATCCTTCCCAGGTGCTTTTAAACCATTCATATCCTTAATGACAAGTCTGACATCCTCCACAGTAGGCATGGATGAAAGAGTAACAAACAGGTTATCATCAAAGTATGGAAAATCAGCAGGAGTGGAACACCCCAGGAAGGAAGAAGGCTGAGTGAACAAGTGAAGAAAATACTCCCTGGCCATGGTGAGGAGGGTGTCAGCATCAGTGATCCAGTTTCCTTGGTCATTCTTCAGGCATGTGATTCTGTTCCTCTTTCTCCTGCTAAGTGTACTGGAGTGGAAGAATTTAGAGTTCAGGTCTCCAAAAACAACCCAGTTAGTTCTGGATTTCTGGATCCACAGCATCTCTTCTTGCCAGAGGGTGTCCTCCAGCTCTTCCCTGGTCTTTTGTTCCTGATTGAGAGAGTTAGTAGTAGCTTGTCTCTCATTAAGAGCTTCCAGGGATTTGAGCTCATTCAGTAGTTTTCTTTTCCTCTGAAAAATGTTCCCATAGATCTCTTTATTCCATTTCTGGAGATGGGTTGAGAGCCATCTAAGTGAGGAGGGGAAGTCTTCATTACTCTTCCATGTGGAGCACAGGAAATCAGGGAAGTTTTCATGAGCCAGCCACGAGGCAAGGAACTGAAACCTTCTTTCCAACCTCTTCTTAGTGTTTTGAGTCTCTGTGCAGGTCAATATAGGCCTGTGGTCAGACTTGATCTTGGGTAGGTGCAAGATGGAAGTGCCTGGAAACTTGTGGTGCCATCTCAGGTTGCAGATACTTCGATCAAGTCTCTCCTTAATACCTGAATGCCTTGTAAACCAAGTAAATTTTGGACCAGAGAAGCCAAGGTCCATCAGTCCACAGTCCTCCATACACTCATTGAAGGCTTTAACTTTGGCAAAATTAAACCCAGCCCCTCCTTGCTTCTCACATGCTCTAGAAATGGAGTTGAAGTCTCCTGTGAGAATCCATGGGAGATCAGTACATCTCTCAATTCTTCTCATAGCATCCCACAACTCTACTCTGTCATGTTCATTAGGGCTGGCATACACTGCAGTGATCTGGTACACATCAGCATTAAGGGAGGAGCACTTCAAGTTGATGTATTGTTTGTGGTTATCAACTTCCCTCATCAGGATCTCACTCCTGTTCCAAAGCACCCAAATCCCCCCACTGAACCCAGCAGCATCTGAGATGGCCCAAGTATCATATCCCATGGACTTGATCACTGAAAGAGCATCTCTCCCACTGATTCTGGGTTCCAGAATACAAACAATATCCGGTTTGTGATTCTCCTTGTACAAATTAAATGTAGGCAAGAACTTAGGGTGCTTAGCACCCCTGCAATTCCAGGAAAAGACTTTAACCATAAGTGAAGATGATTAAAGCGATCCTGCACAACCAAAGGTTGGAAATCAACAGGGCTTAGTGGTCATAGCCACCTCACCCTCCCCTGAAGCACACTCCATTGGCACTGCTGAGGGGGAACGTGCATTTTCTGGCACAGCAACTTCCTTCCCTTTGTCAGGGGAGAACTCAATTTTCCTTCCTTTGCTTGGGCCTTTTGGTGTAGTAACGACAGGAACTTTTCCCATAGAGACACTAGTTGACATGGATCCTGGAGTTTTCAACCTCTCCTTAGGTTTCCCATTGTCAATTCCTGGTGTTTTAGCTCCAGTGAGGGCCTTTCCTTCTCCTTTGCTCTTGCTGCTCCCTGCACCTTTGAGTGCTTTCCCATTCGTGCCCTGTTGGACTTGCTTCTTTGTTACCTTTTCTGTTATGCCTCGCTGGTCTGTGGGTTTAGCAGTAGGGTTAGAAGTTCTGCTCTCCTGTTTAGAGGTATCTGGGGACGCTTTTTGATGCTCTTTCTTGTTGTTGTTAACTTTCTTGTCCATTGTCCCTTTGTTGTTCTTGCTCTGGCCCTGTGGCTGGCTCTTTTCTTTCTCAGTACTGATTTCCTTTTGGGTATTCTCCTTATTACTTTGATTTTCTGCAGTCTGAATCTTCTCAATGGTAGCTTCAGCTTCCATGCTCTCCCCCCCCCCCCCCTTCTGCTTCTTTCTCTTCAGTTTCCAATATTGTGAACCTCGATCCAGAATTTCCACCTTCCCCTCTATTTTCCTTCTTCTTGGCTGTTTCCTCATTTCCCCGAATTTTCCTCTGACTTTTCATCCGCTTTGGTCTCGCTGCAAGCATCCAAGGACCAAAGTCCTCCACCACCTCCGGCCTGATAGTCTGCGACGGCTGGGACGTACTCGATGTGCTCTGCTCTGCATTGGGGGAGTCTGTTCCTCTGGCCACAGGGCACTTGTCTTCGAGGTGGCCATAGAGCCCGCAGCTAAAGCAAACCACGTGAAGTCCTTCATATTCCACTCTGCGAACTCTCCTTTTCAATCTATACTTCGAGACCAGTCTTTTGGTTAGATCAATCTCAACACAGATTCTCGCTTAATTACCTCGGAAGCCATTGGTCGTGTTGTAATCGATTTTCTGCACCCTGCCCAGCCTATTACCGATGTCGGTGAGGATCTCCTCGTCGAAGTAGGCAAGAGGAAGCCGCGACAGTCTGACCCAGGCCGAGATGTGATTGATGGTGTCGAAGTCCGGATCGAAATCAAGCCTCCAGGGTTCAGCAACAATGTAATGATCGTCGATGGTCCAGGGACCTCCAAAGAGCGCGCGGTCATGGTCCAATTGGGAATCGAACACCGCCTGACAGTAACCGTTGCCAATGTCCCCAATCTTAACTCCGCCAGTCTTTGCCCACATTTTTTGCACCCGACGATGAACAAAAGCAAAGGGGAAATGTTTCCCGAGAACTCGAAACGTGATGGCTCGATTCCATCGACTCTGGATTCTGGCGTTGGTTCTTTTCTTGATGCGGATGGTTGGGCAATCTGGGTCGTCTTCCCCGTATTCACCATCAGATTCATCTGACATTAAGTCATCCCCTGCAGCATCGTCTACAACGGGTTTGTTGCCGAGGACGGAGTCTTTGTACGAGCACTGTTGCCCCCCTCCCCAGAAAGGCTTCTCCGATGTGGCAGTAGAGGTATCGGCCGTCCTCTGTATCTCATTAGCTCCTTCCCCCTGTTTGGCAGTGGACTCAGTCTGCATTTCTTCAGCTGCCTCCTCAAATGCTTTTGAGGAATCAACTCTCGCTGTGACGACAGCGAAGTCCATACCACCTTCACCAGTGAAACCATTGCTAGCAGAGGCTTTGGCTTTTTTGCTGGGTTGTGTAGGGGTTGCCGCCGGCGAAGAGTCCGGCGGTTTGGGGTCAGGTCCGTTGGAATCGTTGGGCGGTTCCATTCAAACCCCAGAAGAGACAAAAAAACGGCTATCCAGAACAGGGAAAGGGGAGGAGAGAGGGGAGAGCGATTCTCTCTCTAGTCTCTCTCTTTTTTTAGCTTTGCATACTTCTTTCTAAACTACTAAAAATACACAACAAAACAAATATGCAGGTTACAAATTTACATTTCTCGATCAAAAGTACCCGTTTGGTGAAGAACGTTGAAAGAGTCAACAAAATAATGGAGGAAAAACAGTGAATTATGTGTCATGGCAGGACAAACTCGATCCAATCTCTTATCAGTCTTCCCATTGCAGACAAAGAAGAATTGCATCAGTAATTACCCATCTTCGTCGAGCAGGTGAACAAAAGCAAGTAAACGATCTATACCATTATCGCTGCTGCTGCTGCTGCTACTCGGTCATTGCAACGATTGGCAGTCCCCTGCAACGATCGGTGAAAAAACATTCAAATGCCAAACAACTGATATACGCCACTATTGAGTAAAGAGCAATCAACACAAATCAATCCAGCAACAGCTTACCATCCACCATGCCTCGAGAAGTAGTCATTGTCCAGCGAAATGGCGAGGGCTAGAGTTATGGCTCTTTCAGAGAGACTCAGAGGACGGGCAACTTCCAGTTCTTGAACCTACTCAAAGAGGGGGGAAAGCTTAAAATTAATTTCATAGGTCAGAGTGAAAAGGAAGGGAAAAGACCTTGTCTTTAATGTCGCGAGATTCGCTTACCGGACTAGAACGGTTAATGTCCTGACTTCCAAACCGTATCACGTACTGCCCAGCATCTGTAAATATCTGTGTTGCATCACAGTAAGAATAATAAACTCAGCTACTTCATTTCGTTTCCACCAATGGCAACAGGCACTAGAAACGACGAAAGAAAACGCATCTCGCTTTGTTCATCTAAAGATCTCAATGAAAACACATAATCCTTATTCAGCAACATTGGCCACGGGACTAATGAACAACGAAAAATAAACCCTTCTCAATGTAAATATCTGCATTGCATCACAGGAAGAATAAACTCGGCTACTTCGCTTCATTTCCGCCAACGGTAACAGAAAGAAAACAACAAGCATATTAACCACTTGTCATACAATAAAGTTTCGGATCAAACAATAATCTCTTTGAAACAACTAGTAACAGGAATAAAATAGTAGCGTAGAGAACATTTTATGTTAATAGATCAATTATAACGAAGCTAACCTCAAACCCGAAGCCCCTCCAATCACGATCAATCTGAGCCAGCACTTGATCATCAATGTCTTTCAAAGTGAAAGTCCAATTCCAAAGCCCAGGATTTTCAACCACTGCAAATTGCTTATTTCTGCAAAGGACATCGTGTCAGTTCCGAAAAGCCACAACTGGAGCAAAAATTAAGGTGTCTATGGGTTTTTAAAAACACAGTAAGCTTCTACCACACACACACACACACACACACACACACACACACACACACACACACAAAAACACAGTAAGCTAGCACAACAAAATTTTACTAATCTTTTAATAGAAACATAATGTGAGCTCCCAGCTTATGACCTCACACGTGATTTAGAAGTAAAAAAATGTTTCAGACATACTGTTAGCTTATGAAAAGTTTCAGACCAGTTACAAAAGCTTAAGGTGACAATTTATTGATCTAACTTCCTAGCTGACGTTCAAGCTCAAACAACATACAGCAACAAAACATCCAAGTTCGTAAGGTCAAAACTGTTGTATGGCCCAAAATCCCAATTGGTGCAACCTTGATTGCAAGGTGAGTAACTGAATAAGGAAACTCATGCTAATTCAAGATTACCCAAGGTACAAGTCATAGATCCTCCTCCATAGGTGCCACCGTCTATGAACCACGCCGATCTCCTAGAAGAGGAACAAGGACCAAAAATTAACCAGGCTGCAACCATCAGTCAAAAGGTCTCAGATGTATAGCAAACTATGGTAATATTACCTTGCCATTGATCTCTACATATATTGAGCTAGTTAACCACCAAAAAGGCCTCCGGACCTAAATAAACCAAAGTAGGCAACTCTATGACACTGAGCTGAGCCAAATTTTAAGCAGCCAGCAACAGCAGCATAGTTCAATGGAATTCATTATCTGAAGTGCTCACCCTGAACAACTCATTTGCCATGGCATCAGATACCAAGGCAACAAAAGGACGTCTGGTACGAAGAAACTGCAATGATAAGCGATAAGTTCATAAATTATATTCTCACACTTGAAAAAATGACATGCAAGGGAAGGGACAAAAGAAACTATGAAGCTTCAGACACAAATATAATACCTGCCTAGCTAACAGGTTACTCTGTTCACGAATGAGGCCTACAGGCTGCAAAACAAACAAAACATTGCATAAAAATGCATGAAAATCTGTATATCAAAATTGTTTTTATCTCATAGATTAAAAGCAAGAAAGCATATATCTGCAACTGCATGGAAGAATACTCACTGCTTGGGGGTAACAAACATCTACGACTGCATAACGATTCTCCTGCAACAACAAAAGAGCTTAAGAATATTGATACAAGCCAAAGTACAATTGAGCAATGAGTATCACCAAAGCAAACAGTACCTATTAACAGGGGTCAAGTGGTGCATCGGAAAAGCATAATACAATTTTAACTATACACTAATAATATATAAGCAAAATAACTAGTTGTTAAGAGCTTGATGCTCAAGAACTATTAGAAACAACTATTTGATAACCGAGTTGCACACAAGTGCAGATATGTGCTTTACTATGTAGCAAATACCTGCTCAAAACCTAACATAAGATTTGCCCACTCAATATCTCTGGTGATCAGTAAATTGGACCGTGCAAGAAGAGGCGCAACCTGAGCCTGCAGAACAAATCAAGGCCAGTTACCAAGACGGTAAGTGTGAAACTATCGGGAGGCGCCCTTACCGCTGGACAATAGTTCTTCTCCAACCAATGAAATGAACTCATCAAACTCACCTCCTCTGGGGATGTTGGCTTGAGATAACCAGACAACGGCTGGCTGGGAGGAGGCTGTTCTAGAACTACTGTACCATCATGGTCAGAACTTTGTGAAAAGCATCTGTCTTCTACCCGCAAACCGCGATACTTATTGTTCTGCAACCTTTTCTTAGCAGATTTTTCGGCCTTCTTATCTAAAACCCATAGCTCAGCAAGGAAATTCCTACTCAAACGACTATTATTTGCTGCAGCACCGTGTTTCAACCGGTAAGAAATGGCTTCCGCCCCATGTTTTACTACTTCCATACGGGAGAAGTTTCCTCCAGTTTCAGGCGGCATTGCATATCTACCAAACACATTCCTTGCAACGATCGCTCCTTTCACAGAATGTAAATGTCGAGCAGCCGAGTAATTAAATGGAGACGCCGAGTCTGGACACACCCTCATCGGAGATTGAACATCTTTACTTAGAGCACTTGAACAGGACGAATTAGACCCACCGAATTGAGAAACCAAAGACCTATTACTACTCCTGAGAAACAAGTGGGAACCCTTGGTCCAATTCATCGTTCACCAAAGTTCCTGCAGAAGAGGATAAAAGGCAAAGACACTGAATCAAGAATCACAAATGAATAATGGACTTTCGAACTGATCGATTGATATCGCCAAGAATGCCAAAGATAGGCAACAGAAAGCACATGGATGCAGCAACAACAAGAAGATCGTCCGATCAAAGACTGTTTGATTTAATTTTCCTGGTAACAAACAGAAAAGTTGGGCGAGAAATCGCCGAAGAAGAAGAAACTCACACGAACTCGATTCTCTTTTTATTCCAGGGTAAGACGCAGGGAGAAGTCGCTTCTGAAACGAAAACCGAACTCCAGAAAGCAGCTTCCGGTTTGCGCCGACACTGCTACTCCGAAGTCTGAAAATGCCGAAAAATCATTCTGCACTCCAATGGCGCAAAAAACAAATTTAGGCGCGCTGATTTAGGGGTTGTTTAGGTTTCCGGTGGAGAGTTCGATAAATCTGGGGACGGCGGCGGCGGCGATGGCCAGCTGGAACTGAAGAAGTCTGCGGTGAGGAGGAGGAGGAGGAGGTAGGAATGGAAGGAAGAACAGATGAATTCTGGCGAAGGAGAGGGGCTGCAGAAGAGAAGACGATGCGACTTATGTACGATACGACTACGGCCCAGATAAATTTGGGCCAAGTTACTAACACGGACTAAAACAAGCCCTACTCAGATGGGCCCTTGGTGAGGCCTAATATAAAAACAACATGACTCATGTGTCCACAGAATGAAAAAAGATGGGCCCTTGAATTGAATACCAGGTCATTTGATTCACTAATTTGCATCATCAGAACAATAACCACAGAATGAAAAAAGTCGGAGCCCTAAAATTAAACCAGTTACAGCCTTTTGCAGTCCTAATCCCACTACCCAGTTGACGTTCAACCCGACACTTTGAACATTCACCCTCTGTTATGGTCAACTACCACTTCTGCTGATTGATTGGTTCTAGGCTGAGGTCCCGGCGGCAGCGGCAGCGGCAGCACAGGACTTGTTGTACTCTTCCATTTCCTTCTTGTAAGCATCCATGGCTTCTGCGGCTTTCGCATTCCAGACTTGCCTCTCCACCTCGCTCAGTTCCTACAATATAACAACGAAAGCCGGATTCATATTTTCCATCCAGCTGGCTAAACATTGACTGAGCTTCGGTTAGAGAAAGGACGACTGTTGTTACCTTCCACTTCACGGAGATCAGTGCAGTGATGGTGGAGTTGTTGGTTCCCGGGCGCTCGGCCATCAAGCTTTTCCTTGTTTCCTTGCTGCAGCAAAACCAAGGGGGGGAGGGTGCATTCAACATTTTATAATTCCTTGATTTTCCATCCATGGAGGGAAATATTGTGTTGAGAATTGTTCACCTGAACAATAAGAAAGAGGATGCAGGCTTCTTTGGCTTGTTAGGATCTGCAGCCTGGTCCTTCTTCTTCTTCTTCTGTTTAATCTCTTTAGTTTTCTACATAATCACCACCAAACAGATTTGGCTAAGATATATGAACTCAATCAAGCACATATAGGTGTTATAGAGTAGCAAACCTTGATTACGTTGTCTGTCTTCTCCTTCTTCTTCAACAGCTGCATGGCTTCCTGCTTCTGAAGTTTCAACAGTTCTTCCTCTTCCTTCTTGACATGCGAGGCTTCATCCTCCTTTTTCAGCTTGTAAGCCTCCATCTCAATCAAGTAATTCTCCTTGTTCTTCTTTGCCATCTGCACAAAAACCAGAAGGGTGTATAAGACAACCTGCAACGCTACTAGCATAGTAAAAGGGCTGGTTTCGATAGGGTCTCTGGCCATGAACAGACCTCCTCATAAGGAACTTTCTTTTTCTCAGACATGTTTTTCCACTCTTCACCAGTGATCTTTGCAACCTGCCAATCAGACCCAACTCCAGCCATGAGAAAAATGAAAGTGGGCCAGCTAAGAAGCCAAAGTGAAGAAAAAGCAGGAGATTCTTCTCCAGCTACCTCAGTAACATTCTTGTTCTCAGCAACCAGTGCAGCCCTTCTCTCATTAGTGTAGATGAAGAAAGCTGACATTGGTTGCTTTGGCTTCAATGGGTCTTTCTCTTTCCTACGATAGAAACAACAACACTATGATATCAGTAATTCTGCTACAGGATGATGTATGATCAAAATTCATAAACAAAGCAAGAAAGAACGTTAATAAGGGGATTGTAATTACTTGGTTTTCTTGTTCCCTTGATCATCAGCTTCATGCTTGAATTGAAGGTACTGCTCAAGCAACTCCATGGCTGTCTTCTGCTTCTGATCCTCTTCCAGGAGCTTCATGGCTTCAGTCTCGCGCTTCTCCTTTGCCATCACCTGCAAGTAGACTTCCTTCTCAGCCTGATACTTCTCCTCGTACGGCTTCTTTTCCTCTGCACTCACTGTCTTCCACTTAGCTCCCAGAATGACGGAGACTTCTTTGAAATCAGCATTTGGATTCTCCTTCTTCATCTACACACACAAAATAGACAAACAAGAAACAGAGATCATCACCACTATTTCCAGATATTTCCACGGTAGCAAGCAGAAAACCACCAATTCCTATCGCACTATCTTACCTCAGCCCATTGATCTTTGTACCAGAGGATATAAGGCGGAGACGGCCTTTTCTTTTCAGCCCCGCCCTTCTTTTTCTTCTTCTTGTCTTTGTCATCTTGTTCATTGTCTTTCAATATCAGGAAGTTCTGTGAGGAAAATCAACAAACACCTTGATTGCAAAATATAGATGCCGAGGATGAACACATAAACATCCAGATGGAAAATCAATAAACACATTGAGAGTAACCAATATAAACCGACTATGATCACATCAATATACAGATATATGCTTCTAAGAAGAAAAAGTAATCAAATACAAGCGATGGCACTTACGAGATTCGGCTTGAACTCCTTCAGCTTCTGCAATTTCTTGAGCTCCGCCTGCAACTTCTCCTGCTCTTTCCCCTTGTTCTCGAGCTCCTCTTCTCTCGCTCTCAGCATCTCGTCTTTCTCCTTCAACATCTCCTCCGTCTTCTCCTTCTCCAGTGTCAGTTTCTGAAGCATTTCCTGCATCTGCTCCATCTCTTTGTCGAAGGACGACGACTGCTGCTGCTTGGCTGCAGCGGCGGCTTGCTGCTTCCCGCCTCTGGCCGCCTTCCCCTTGACCTTCTTCGCCGATGACAGAATCTCGCTGTTCTCCTTCATCGGATCGGTCTCAGACGGCGGAGGAAGAACAGCAGCAGGAGAGGACTCGGTGAGAGCCTGAGCCAGGACGTTCGCCTCGCTCGTCGACTCCTTCTTCTGTTTCAGGACTTTCCTGCTGTTCTTCTTCTTCGCCGGGATCGGAGAGGAAGGAACTGCGACTTCCGCCATTGCTGAAGCTGGAGCCTGTTGCGAGATACAGTGAGAGAGAGAGAGCGGGAGAGAGTGGACGGAAAATTTGACGAAGCTCGGAAATGGGGATTGGATTGAATGAGCAGACGAATGAATTCAATTTATATGGGAGGGAAAATCGGCAGAGCGCTGCAGCGGCTGCTCAACGGGAAAGCAATTTCAAAATTCAAATGACCATGAGCGTAGGCCATTGACTGTCAAAACATCAACCAAGGCCCAATGGGCTGCCAAACAAGAGTCCGGCTCGACAAGGAATAGACTCCAGAAGCCCATGGACCAAACAGGCCCTAAAGCTGCCTTGTTTGCTTGAAGAATCAAAATCTGCTTGGAATGTAACAATGCAGGCATCTTGTTCAAAAAGTCAAAAGCATTACATTCAAAGTAACAGCCACTGTCAAGAAGATTACAACCATATAACTATACTTTCCTCTATAATTAATCACAAAAAAGCTGAAGCCTGTGCAAAAAAAAATGCGAACTTTGAACACCCAGAACAGACAACTTCTGGGCAGCAGCTATACATTTGAAAACTGGATCTTGAATGAAGCTGCTCTTCATCTTTGATTATACAAATGAAACAGCTCCCAGAAAGAATAGTTGTCAAAAAATGAAAACTCAATAAAGAATCGTTCATTCAACCATTTACCACCATCTCCATGAGCACATCGTTCAAGTAATCGATCGGACCAGGCAAGCACCAGTGCAGGCAGTCATTCTGAACCGTCGCGTTCTTGTCTTTAGCAAATGGTTGGAAATTTCTGTATGCATCTGGGTGGCCATCAGGCCTCGTCAACAACAGATTAGTGAAGTCGACGAGCTTGAGGTTCACCCCGGATTCAGCTGCTTTGGCGGAGGCCTTCTCGAACTCGGTCAACTCCACCTTTCGCAGGATCTTGTTCACTTCCTTCAACTCAAACTCCCCTTCTTTCGCCGGTGCAGTCTGTTGGCACGTCCCTCCGTTGTGCCACTCCCCCTCCTGGAAATGGTCCGGAGTGGATGTCCTGAAGAATATCTGTCCCTTGTGCTTCGACTTCAAAATGGTGCTCATCGCGAAGCTGAGGGCTTTCTCGTATGCGAAGACGAATCCTGTCTCGGTCAGGTTCTTACCAGCCGGGCAGAAATGGCAGCCGACCACGGTGTTGTTCTCGTGGTAGACTGCAGCTTTGAGGAACCATTTCCCAGTCGAGATTATGGCATAGTCGAAGCTCGGGTAAGCATCTACCCAGCTCTTGTCGAGTTTGTCGAGCTGCAACTGGACTTCTTTTGTTGAGACGCCGTTGTAGTCTTCGAATATCGCTGCCTCTACCAGGAAGGGCGCCCAAATGTTTGCTAGGGTGAAGTTGTAGGTAGGGAATTTCCATGTCTTGGATCGGAATTCCTTGTCATGGTAAACTTCCACAGCTTCTTCAACCTGAAGGGTAATATTCTTTCAGTCTGTCAAAAAAGAAACAAAGCAGAAACAAACACTAGAGGTGGTGGAATTCATAAGGCACTAAGAAAACACCCAGCAGATAAACAAATCAAATCGTGCAATCAGAAATTCAGAATGTCCAAAGAGTGGCTACAAGAAATGTAACATGGAATGCCAGTCAAGGAAATGAGCTGACTATATGAAGCTGATATTTGGGAAGGAAAAGCATTTCGCAGTAAAATGTAATAGTTGCCGATGAGCCATAATATCAGAGTTCTTAACAATTCATGGTATCCGATATGAAGCCACCCGTCATCTATGTGGCAGCCACAAGGAGCATTAATGTCACTTGCCAGTAAGACTACAAAATTGCAGTTTTTTTTTAACAAACTATACAAACAGCGAGGATTGCGAACATAACCCCAACAAGGACATCAACGGACCTTCTTGAAACATTAAAAGTACAATTCCCTAAAGAGCAAATGCAAGGCCAAGCTAGAAACTAGCAAGCAGATCACAAGTTAGACACATAATCCCATATTATCAACTGTGATACCATAAGCATGCCAACTTGCTTAAACGAAGAGGCTTTAAAGGGAAATTGGAGATAGATTATTGGAGCACATTTTCACAGAAGTTACTCGAACCAGTTTGTGATCAAGGAAATTCATTATTCTACACCGTAACAGCACAAGCATTACAAGAACTAGGAAATACCACCACTGCATTATGACATTATCACTTCATGGCTTAACTACTAAATTTTGGATAGGTGCACCAAATGAGGATTGAGGATCACAACGAAACAAGGCCAGAAGCGCAATTAGCCAAACAACTGCTGAATCAAACCACAAAAGGTAAAAGGCTACAAGTTAAAAGATGCAATGCATCCATCGCTATTTCCCTAAGGATTGAAAAGCTGGAGGGTTATAGCTAGAATGAAGCTTTATAATGATGGATCAAATTCAACATCAGCGGAATACAGAAATAGACAATTGAGCACGGAAACAAGGCAAGACTATGTGCAGTAGCCAGAGCAAAAACACATCAAATTAACATTTAGCAACCTAAAGGACATACCGTTGAAAGCATGCACAGCAGTGATTCGGCATGGTTGCGTGAAATTGAATCACCAATCACCCCCCAAGATTTATTCCTCATCAACTCCAGGAATCTCTGTGCATCAAACGCAGGTAACTCACAGCGGCGGGGTTTCCACTTCCAATACAGATAACCAGAATCAGGGCGTCCATTCTTCATACAGTTCTGGTGCCCATCCATCAAGCGGCAGGTAGCATTTGTGTACATTGGACCAGATGGTTCAGGAACCCAATCACCAACAAGCAGATTGCATTTTCCTGCATTATAAGTTTTCAACTTCCATGAGACCAGAACCCAATAGCTATCAAGTATCAAGAACCAAAAGCTACAGATTGCCCCATTTCTAAAAGATCATAAAATTCCACTCAACGTGACATGTCAAACAAACTGAAAATCTCGAGTGTGCTCAATACAGACACTTCATAGGTTAGCCAAACATAGCCTCCCAGCCTATCTGAGCTACAAATTTCATGTTCATCAATCCATGAGCAGTACGAAACTGAAGACCCACAAAATCATTCCCACCAATTCCTCACATCCATGGCAAGCCTAGCAAAAAAGTTGCAGTCTTTGCATATCCCCAACACACAGAAACATGGGACGCAAAAAGGGCAAAAACTCAAGAGCAGCTATACAAAGAAATTATCATTGTACCATCATCAGGCGCCTCATTCTCATCTGGATCCGGCCGTCCATCCACAGACATAGTTGAATTGGAAACTTCAGCAGCAGCGGCAGCAGAAGAAGAAGAAGAAGGCTGTGGAGCCGGCGGCGGGCCCGGCAAATAATCTACGGCGACATCTGACGGCGTCTCCAACATTTCAACTGGTGGAGGGGACACCAGCAAATCAGGTGGAGGGGAAACCAGCGAAGCAGGTGACACCGGCAAATAAGTCCTAGCAGTAATGTAGGAAGAAGAAGAAGAAGAAGCTGCCTCCAATTCAGGATCAAATCTGGTGGATTGATTGAAGAGGAGGTGGAAAGCAAGACCCACCACGAGGACCGAGATTCCGAATTTCAGTATCCACTGGTTCTGCTTGTTCAGCGACCATAGTTTCAAGAATTGCTTCATGGTTTGCCCCCAGAAGAGGAAACGAGATCTTCCTCCTTTCCGATTATGGCCGGGACAGTGATGACCGAAAAAGGATGGGAGACAGAGGAGGAGGAGGAGACTGTGGTCTGGAATGAATGTGTTCATTAAACCATATCACCATTTCGAGTAAGGAATGAACGGAAGGAGACAAAGATTCATTCCGATTTCTCTCCTTTTTTTTTTTAATCTGGAAAATACATTCAATAATTCATCTTCTCTCCGCATTTATTCATGAAGATTATATTATATTAATCAGAAGGAGATATGGTTCAATGTCGGTGTTCACGGGGGGAAATGACATTGGATGTGAAAAGTGACCTTAATTAGGTGATCATTTGCTTTTCTTTAATGGTGAATTAGGTCATGATTTGTTGTTGGATGGTCTTTTGTTGTTTCAATGCTGGGATTATAGAGTCTTTTAGGTGAATGATTAGTATATTTGAACAACTAACTCATCCACTCATTATTTCTTAAATGAGTTCTAACTGAATAATTGGTAAAATATATGAATGAGATAAATGATTTAATTAAGTTACTTTGTACCAAAATGGTATTGCCCTACAAACACAGACATAATGAGAAAGAGGCATGTGAGCTGATCATAGCGTATATGGCGAGATTAGTCAGGTATGCTAAAGAATCAATAGACCCTTGTTTGAAGGTCCAAATATAAAAGTACATGCAAACATAAACGACATGCATGAAATCACATGGCGTACAACCGTAAGATCGCACGCTGGGCATTCCATGAAGAAATGTGCTCATCGATTGATCTTCATCTTCTTTAACAACCAAATTCATGGAAGAAGAAATGCGTTGTAGGACAACCTGTTTCGTTGATACTTTCCTCTTAGTAAGAAGAATCTGAAGGACTGCAAAACGATGAAGATGAAGCATGGCTCTTCCTCTTGTCACATTCAACAACATTTAAAACCTGCACTTCAGACTAACTGTGGGGTCGTTTATGGATGGATTATTTGGTGAGTTATTTGGACACATAATTTGTTTGGTAGCATTTTACTAAAATGAGTTATTTGGGCAGTGAGTTATTTGAAACAACTCCTACCCCCGTGTTATTTCGAAATAACTCGGTTTACCACTCTGTTTTTTTCAAATACCACATGTTAAATATTGGTTCAACCAAACGAGATACGATAATCCTATTAACATTGAAATAACACATTCACAATTAATGAGTTATTTTGACTCTACAAATACCACATTCACAATGAATCCATCCAAACGACCCCGAGTGGTTCCTACTTTCTTGTAAACTGGTTGCTTGTTGGGCCTCACAAACATAGGCCCCAAAAGTCAAACGGGTTAATGTGGAGCTGGCCCTAGTCCAAAGTCCCAATACAGAGAGTACACTAGTTTTCTCCTTTTGACTTGTTGCGAACGTGTGAACATATGGGCCGGAGCTCAACTTTCCTCGCAGGGATGGCTGGGCTACTTTCTATTTCGTAAACGCGGCCCAACTATTAATTTCTCCATTTAGCAGCTGCACTGGACACTGGACAGCACCTTATTCTTTTGTGTGTTAGAGGTGGGTACGTGGTTAATTAATATGCAATTTGACATCGATCCATCCGTAAATAATCTGAATTACGATACATTAGCGACACTTTAATATACGAGTGATGTTTATTATTACAACATTTGAGAAAGATATTAGTATTCACATGTACAATTCAATTTATCACACAATCCCGTACATTCTACAACTGATTGAATTAAGTAAGTCACTCGATGGTCCATCTAATTTTTAGTAGACGCCGAACGCTAATCCCTCGTTGACATAAATTTTGCAGCCCCGAAGGTGTGTGAGAAGCCTTCTGTACATTTTCAAATCGTCGAATTGAACGAGTACTCGAAGTCTGAATACACTTTTAAAGATTGTAATATTATCGGATAAAACTCAATCCAACTATATCAACCTCAAATTAAACGTGGAAGCAGTTACTTTGACTAAAGAAATTACACTAGAAAAAAAAGTTTTACAACATGTCAATGACATCGACGGAAGAATTCGGCTTGCAGAAGCCGGCGGCGAAGCAACTCATCTTGACAAGCCAAAACGCAGTCGTTTTAGCTGCCGCCGCCGCTGCCGCCCTACTGTTCTCGCTACTGCTGCTCTTACTCTCCCGCCTCCTCCTCACCAGATTCGCCGCCAATGATCTCACCGTGCTCGGCCGCCGGGCCGCGTCGGGTCCGGTGGGTGCAGACGGCGGCGGATTAATGATCCAGCGGCCGGAGTACCACGGCAGGGACATGGTCCGGCGGTCGATGAGGTGGCCAAGCGACGCGACCTCGTGGGAGTCGTACAACGGGCTGCCACAGTCCCACACGAACAGCTCGCGACCTTCGCTGCTCGCCATGATCACATCATATATGTTCTTCCTCCATCATTTTACTTAATTTGAGCTTTTTGATCGGTGTAAGTAAGTGCTTTGTGAAAGAGGAGATCGTATTATATAGGGTTATAGGTATAATATGCCCTCTATTATGACGTTTTATCAAACATGTCCTTACTATTTTTTACATCAAACATGCCCTTGTACTTTGGAAAACTTATCAAACATGTCATTTTGTTAAAATTTCCATCCAAAAATCGTTAACCAAGACCGAACTTTGGTTTGGGCGACCCAAATATCTAAAATCTCTCTAATAATTTCACTTTAGAGTTTTTTTTGTTCTTTTGTACAACCAAATAATTCTAATAATTTCACTTTGATGAGACCTAGAGAAATAAAGCAAGGGTCAAAACAGACATTTCACCTCCCATTTATCGATGTCAGGTCGTCTAAATCTCGGTTCAACCATGATTGACGATTTTTTCAATGAAAATTTTAACTGAAGGGCATGTTTGATAGTTTTTCCAAATTACAGAGGCAAGTTTGATATAAAAAATAGTAGAGAGGCATGTTTGATAAAACGTCATAGTAGAGAGGCATATTATACCTATAACCATATTATATATACATGAGAATAGCTGGCTAATTAAAGGATTCTTGTTTGTTTAGGAGATTAAGACATTGATTAATGTAAGTAAATTATAAACAAAACCATGGCTGCCGCCTTTATTTTGTTGTATTATGTGGACGGTATTTTTTGTGCGAGTGTGCTTATGGAAATCAAATTAAGGAATGGATTTGCAATACGACATTTTTCATTTGATTGTATTTTGTCGGGTTTCTGAAGAAAGAAAGCATCTGGAGAATTGGGTAGGTCACTTGTCAAATGTGGTTTGCTTGCTTCTCGTGGGTAAAATTGACATCATTTGGGCCTTAAATATGGGCCCATTGGCGTTGCAGAACTGAACCCATGGATCAATATTTGCCAACCAAAATTAGAAAAGATTAGGATCAAACAATAAACAAATCCTTTTTGATAATGTTCTCTTATTTCCCTCTTTTGGGTCTGACTTTTGAAGTTAACCAATGAAGAAATGCATCATAGGTTTAGGTTAGGTGGCTAAACAAAATTGTGGCGAATCGAATGATCGACCGGCCTGACCAGTCAGTTGCTCGAAAAAGGAAACAGAAGAAGAAGAGATGTCATTGTCACTATCTGATCTCTATGTGATTTTTTTTCTGGTCAGAATTCATTCATGGCATAACCAAAGCCAATTGCCACTCCCCAAAAACGATTCCTTCATCACAGAGGTTTAGGTTCAACTAAATGTGCAACATTTGACTGTTTGGTTTTTAGCTTGGTATATAGTCCAGCAGAATCTACGATTTTATAAAATTGTCATCACGTACATCTAACGATTATGTCGGCGTCCTATCTGATTGTGCCATATGTACGTGAGATTCTTCAATCATAGATGAGCAAAACAGGGTTGCAATGAGCGAGTGATGTAACACTGTTTTTTTTTTGTGCGCTCGTTTGTAAGTTGAACTTCGTATAGGCCAGAATGCTAAACATGGTACAAGATGAATGGGTTTAACGAGCTCATGTTGTGTCAGCCTAAATACGACCCATCGCCCAAGTACAACCACCTCACTATCCACCAAAAGTATTAAATACTGGTGTACAACAGTTTTAGTCCGCACCGGATCGAATCAGCATCGTAAACGAACCATACCAGATCAAATATAATGTGGTTCGATCCTTCGACCAATCAACCTTATAAAATAATAACCCAATCAAATTTAATATTTGGACTGAACCCAAGATGGAATTTAATATTTGTTCATAAAATTTTATTGGTTCTTAATTTTTCACTTTACCCAAGTAACTATTAACAATTAAAAACCCTATTTAGCTTTGTAAGTGTTTGCTTTTTTCTTTCTGATTAATTCCTTTAGTTTTTTTAATATTTTTTCTCTAGCCCTTTCTTTCACTTTGTCTCTCACTCTGTCCATCTCCAAAACGCCTCCCCTTTGCCTTTTTTGTTTTCTCTCCTCCCTGTCGCAACGAACCCTGAATCTGGCGTAAGCAGCAGACTCTCACACGCTCTCATCGCCGCCGCCGCCGCCGCACATTGGGCCGCCGTGAACAATTCGCGGGTCGCTAAAAAGGGTTCCCCTTTTTGTGTCTCCAATCAGACTATGGCGTCCGAGGATGTGAAGACTAGTGGGGAGGCTGCTGTTTCGACGATCGTGAATCTAGCCGAGGAGGCTAAGCTAGCTCGCGAAGGCGTTAAGACGCAAAGCCCCGCTTTCCTCAGTATCTGCAAGTCCCTCGTCGCCGGTGGAGTTGCCGGAGGAGTGTGAGTCCCTTTTCCCTGTTCCTGGCGGCTGCTCTGTGTGTCATGGGAGAAATCTTTGTTGGGTTTCGCCTGGAATCATCGATCTTACTGTTATTACCATCAAATCCCTTGTTCTTAGCTCATGTTTATCGGTTTTGTATAGCATCTGGTTCGTCCCACCGATCTTTCGTCGTGAATTATTTGTAGTTGTTGTAGTACGGCTAATTTCTGGGTTTAACTTATAGCTAGCTTCTCTGCTTTTGAGTCAGATTGATTTTTCCCTTTTTCGTTCGGCTAAGTGGTGATTGAATCAGGATGGAGCTCTGTGAAATTGCTTTCAATGCTCACTAGCTAGTGGCCCTTTTGGCTTTATAGTTGGCTCGCGAGGGTTTAGCTGGTTGGTGTTCACTGTAGACTGACCGAGGGTCGTGAAGAATCACAAATTGAGGTGTTTCTATGCATTTAGATTTAGGTTTTGATCCAATTGATGTGTGAAGGAAATTGGTTGTGATGGAATGTTGGGTAGCGAAGTCTTCGTTTCAGTGATCTTCTTAAACCCTACTTGGTGCTGGTGGTGGTGGAGAATAGATTTTCAGTCTGGTTGATTGTTAAATCGTCCGTAATTCGTTGGAGAATGATGGTAGATGTAATTTTATGTTTTTGTCATGTAAAGATTATACTTTCAGCACTTGCGAAGTTTCTTTCTTTCCTTCTATATTGCTTCAGAGAAAAGGAATTATCCCTTTCTGTTGGCTGCATACATCATGGGTATGGTTATCCATCACCCTTGAGAGAAGTTGTATAACTTAAATGTTGTTATCATGTATGTGTTGCAGGTCCCGCACAGCTGTTGCTCCACTAGAAAGACTAAAAATTCTACTCCAGGTATTAATTTCATGTTATTGTTCCGGGATTAAACTTTAGCTCGGTGGTAAATGTTGATTGAAAGCTGGTGGATATGTCTGATTTTAGTCATGCTCATGCCGTTCTGCTTTGGGATTATGAACTCTGTGCTTAACTCGATAAAGGTTTTGATTTATGATATATATGCAGGTCCAAAATCCACACAGCATAAAATACAATGGTACAATTCAGGGCTTGAAGTACATTTGGAGGACGGAGGGTTTCAGAGGGCTGTTTAAAGGAAATGGCACAAATTGTGCTCGCATCGTGCCAAATTCAGCCGTCAAGTTCTTTAGTTACGAGGAAGCCTCAAAGTGCGTTCCTCTGCTTCTTTGGTCTTTTTGATTTGTTGTTTTCTTGACTGGTTTAGCTGGTTGGCTGCCATAAAAATACATCCTACAGGTTCCTGTTTTCCTTACCTCAAGTTTGCTATAAATATGCCTTACAAAGCATCTTCTGTCTTCCTCTTGTGTGATGAACAGGGGTATTTTATGGTTGTACAGGCGCCAAACTGGGAACGGTACGATATTCATTGCTATCTCGTTCATGTTTCAATCTTTCATGGATAATTTGATGTTTTGCTGAAGTCAAATCTTGTCATACAGATGACGCACAGCTTACTCCTGTTTTACGTCTCGGTGCTGGTGCATGTGCTGGTATAATCGCCATGTCTGCAACTTATCCAATGGACTTGGTTAGAGGTCGCCTAACTGTCCAGGTAAGAGTTCATGACTTGTCTACCAGAGAAACTTTTTTTTGTCTCACCTCATTCTTTCGGTTGCTTCAAACGTTGTTCATTCAATTGCTGTTTTTCTTTTTTCAGACAGATAAGTCTCCTAGTCAGTACAGAGGCATCGCCCATGCTCTTAAAACTGTTCTAAAGGAAGAAGGCCCCCGTGCGCTATACAAAGGTTGGCTTCCATCGGTCATTGGAGTTGTAAGTCTACTGTTGCTTTCCTCATCAGTTTTTTACATTATTTCAAGGGCCACTGTTACCAAACACATAACAACAACGCAGCATTACTGTTTGACCAAGTGCTATTCTGAATTTCTCATGTGTAAACTTCCATATTCGTCGGGTGTATTTTCGTTATAATTATGCTGAACTAGATACAAGATACTAAAACATTCCAGATGTATTTGATAGAGAATTAGTTAGCAGATAACAAAAGACACCTACAGGGATCAAATCAATCGAATCAAACTGTAGTTAAGGATTTTAACAATTGAATCAAACTTATCCATTATCATATTGAACTACTGAGTGCTGTGGGGATCCACTCCCTATTTCAGAACCTTCATGAACTATGTTTTCCTCGCTTTCTCATATTGTTAGGTACCATATGTGGGTCTCAACTTTGCGGTGTATGAATCTCTGAAAGACTGGTTGCTGAAATCCAATACATTTAACCTGGTTGAAAACAACGAACTGAGCGTAACAACGAGGCTAGCATGTGGAGCTGCTGCTGGAACTGTTGGCCAGACAGTAGCTTACCCACTCGATGTCATTCGACGGAGAATGCAAATGGTAGGGTGGAAGGATGCTGCTTCGATTGTCACTGGGGATGGAAGGGGCAAGGCACCACTTGAATACACCGGTATGGTCGACGCCTTCAGGAAAACTGTTCGCTACGAGGGGTTCGGTGCCTTGTACAAGGGTTTGGTCCCTAATTCAGTAAAGGTCAGTCAATATACTCAATTTCCTTGATCGAATCTGAGTCGCTTTTACTTACTTTAACCATGGTTCACTTCTGTAACGTACAAACTTTATCTGCAATGTTCTCGTTCAGGTGGTCCCATCCATAGCCATTGCGTTTGTGACTTACGAGATGGTGAAGGATGTTCTTGGGGTCGAGATGAGGATTTCCGACTGAACACAGTAGAAGAGGTGGACAAGGTAGACTTCTCGTTATCCAGCGGAGAGCGTATTCGGAGGAGAAGGGTGGATCGGCTGTCCGTGATGAATGAACCTGATTTTTGGTGATAGTGGAGTGAGTCAGATTAGTAGAGAATGAACACAACTTGTAGCGCTGTGTTTTTAATAACCCCGTCCGTCGCCTGCTCTGTGATCTCCACCTGAACCCATATTTGTCTCTCTAGATTTCTTATAACTTGGCTGTGGCAATAAGGTACGACGGAAAATTTTAGGCTCCATCTACGTAGGGCGAAATTTTACTAGTGAATTCAGTGAGTCGGATGATGTGATGTTTTACAGAAAGCTTTCTGCTGAACATCTTTCGATACGATTATCGAGTGATATTCCGCTGTTTTAAGATGATTTGCAAGCAAGCAATCGACCCACTTTCATTATGTACTGATCATATTGTGTTCCAGAAACAAACCCTATAGGCGAAACCTTTTGTTCAAGATCGACACTGCCATTTCAGAGGCCAAAAAGAATCAAAAAATGAACGTCTCAGATTGTGCAGCATATGAACAAAAGAACTCTGAAGAATCTGTACTCTGATTGGTGATGATTGATGCAGAGACACACTAAGGTGCAGTCACCCTGTGGCGTCTGATTGAATCGGATTGTGCTGCGTATGAACAAAAGAAACTGAGAAGAATCTGTACTCAGATTGGTGACGATTGATGCAGCGCCGCACTAAGGTGCAGGCGCCCTCTAGCGTCTGATTGGCATCTTGGAGAGAATGCCAGCGAGATAGTCACATGTGCTGCGGTAGTACTCAATCGAGATGCAGAGCTGTCGTATGGCTTCTCGTTTCTTGTCTCCCAAGTATGATATCCAGTCATCTTTCTCCTTCAAGCTCGCTCCCATGGCTGCCACCTTACTCTCCAGTTGGCTGATGGCTTTGGTGAGATTCAGCTTCTCAGCTTCCTCTTTGCTCGCCATGTCCAGCAACTCCAACACCTTGTTCTTCAGTGCAGATTCCTCTTCTCTCGAGTGTTGCAGTTGTAGAGCTAAGCTGTTCACTTGTTCGTTCAACTTTTGCTTCTCTTCATTCATGTTCATTACTCTCTCGTTCAGCTCCTGCTCTGTGACCCGGCTCTTCTGGCTCGACATTGTAAGCTGAAATTCGATCTCTTTGTTCTTCACAGATAAACTGCGCAGCTCTTCATCTTTGAATTCGAGTTGTCTCTCCTGGCTCTCGATTTTCTCTCTCAGTTCAGCTACAGCTTCATCCATGGAACGCACTTGCTTGTTCAGATCCTCCGCCTTCTTTTCAACTTGCTGATGTTGCTCGTTGAGTTGCTTGCACATCTCGGCCTGTTCATCCAGCAACCTCTGCAGATCAGTAACTTGAGTCAGTAGCTCCGCCTTCTCATTTTCCATCTCTGCAATTCTCCTTGAAAACTCATTCCGATCTCTCGCGTTATCCTCCGAGAGAGATGATATCTCTTTTTTCTTCTCTTCTACTTTCTCCTCTAGTTGGCTTGATTCGGCTGTGAGTTCATCTATGATCGTCTGAATTTTGCCATATTGAGCCACAGTTTCAGAAAAATGGGAGGTTAGAGCAGCCTTCTCTTCCTCGGCGACACTGAGTTTCTTGGCCAAATCTGAAACCTTTTGCTTGGCAGATACTAATTGCTTCTTCGTGTCAGCAAGTTCATCTCTAATGTCTTCTATTTCACTGTTAAGGTCGGAATTCTCACCTTGGTACTCGAATACCGACTTTCTTAAAATCCCAGCAGTTTTCGTTTCGTCCAGGATTCTCTGCACTGCAGTCTCCTTCCATGAAACTAGGCTATCTTTCTCTGTTTGCACCTCTTCCAACTTCTGGTTTAATACAGAAATCTCGGCCACCAGAGAATTCCTCTCCTCTTCTGCAACCTTCGAATCCTGTGTCAAATTGGATGCCAACAGCTCTGAAGATTTCAGTTGCTCGCGTACGCTGGAGATTTCGGCCCTGAGACTTTCGAGTTCCTGGGAAAGAACTAGTTTATCATCCTCCAGCCTATGACTCGCCATTTTCATTTCTTCTTTGATCTTCTCTTCTTCTTGAATCCTGCCCAGAAGCGCCTCTTTCTCCACGATCAAGCCATCTTTCTCAATGGCTATGCCCTCTAATCTTGGATTCAGCTCTGCTTCAGCCTTGCCTGCCTCGTCGAGCTTTTGCTTCAGTTCCCCATCCTCTGCGAGAATCTTCTCCTCGTCGGCATTTACCGTTTCTAATTCAAGCTTCAGGCTTCGGACGATCTCTTCAGTTTCCTGTAACTTGCTCAACGCTGTTTGATGCTCAAGAAACAACACGTCTTTTTCTACGGTTGCAGCAGTGCACTTATCCTTCAGCTGGGTCACTTCAAGATTGGCGGTTTCAAGTTCTTGCTTTGTGCCGTCTATTAATTTGCCACCTTTAAGTCGTCCATTTTTGCCGGTTTGGTCCTTGGATCCGTCATCAGAATCCGAGTCTGAGCATGAAGATGAGGAATCTGATACCCACTTGCCCTGGAAGTCTCTCCTCAGTTCTCCCTTCAGATGGTCGTACTGTGAATACAGCGATTCATACTGTTTTCGGAACTTCTCGATCAAATCCACAATAGGCTTTCTTTTCGAACCTTCTATAGGGACTCCACCGTTTTCTTCAGAACCTTCTTCGTTGATAAGCTCCAAGATCCTTTTGAGACTATATTCGAATTCTGCAGGATCAGGAAAGTTTATTTAAGCATCACATTGGAATAACGAGTTTATGAATCAATGCATAAGAAGTCAATTAACAAGAAGGCAGAGTTTCAAAAGTAACTGCTTATCGGAGTTTGAAGGAATGAAATAAGAAGACGAAGAACCTTCTTTATTGCCTTTCAACTGCTCATCTTTCTCTTGATCGATGTGTCTCCGGACAAAGGATTCGAAAGACTTCTTCCAATCATGATTCGTCATTTGCTCTCCTCGGGGTTTCAGTCAGCTTTCTTCAATCTGCTTCCAGGATTCTAATTGTGTAAGCCAGGACAAATTAGGGGTTAATCACTCAATTATTATTTAATAAACAAATATGGTAATCACACAAGCCAGGACAATTTCAACCTGATTACATGTAAGCGTCAACGTGCAATTAGATCTGGCGGCACCTCATTAACAAACACTGAAGAAGTCTCGCAGAAACCAAAATCTATTTTAAGCGGAGAAAAGGACAGCCATTGTAGTCAAAATTGAGCAGTTCCGTTTATGTCAACGCTTAATTATCGGCGGAGATAAGACAATTTAAGCAGCTTAAAAAGGTTGACTAATGCGAATCTACAGAAACAAAAAGCAAATATCAAATTATCAAAGAAAAATCACTAAATATTGTCTTGTTGCGGGCTTCAGAGTTCAGGCAGTAGAACGCAGTGAATTTAGGAAATTTACCTGGGAAAATCGGTATTTCCTATCGCCGCCGTCTTCCAAACTGAGCTGGAATCAAATCGATCAGAATCTGCAAAAACACCAGAACGAATAAGTAACTCTTAATTGCTTCGATTGAAATGCCGCCGGAAGTAATTACTGAACAACGAAGAATTATATTAGAAGAGGATCGACGACGGAACCTACTGATAGCGATCAACACATCCACCGCAGAAAGAAGAAAAAGACCGAGAAGTCGAGTTCCGATCACTAATTAGATTACTGTAATCGCTACTCGAAACTTCGTCTCTCTAAGCGGGGTGAAAATCAAGTCGAGGCAGAGAGAAGAATCAAGAACAGTCAATTTTCCAAACCGAGAAGACAGATTCCAGTTTCCTCATCAGACTCCGATAGCCTCTAGACCAGACTCCAATCATACATAAAGAACAGTCAACCGGCAAACAGAAAACCGGAGGCAAGAAATCGCGGCGGCGAGTGAAACGAACTCGAATAGTCACACAGCGCGTTAACCGAAGGAATCGAAATCCTTCAATTGCGAACTCGGAAATCAGATAACCATCACAAGATTTGGACGGAAGTGCAGAATCTGACCTCGAATTCGGCGAGCGCACAAGAGAAGAGAAGCTGTAGGCGACGGGGGGACTGAAGCGGAACGCCGGAACCGTCCTTCCACGGCGAAGCTCTTTCAGAGAAGACGAACAGTAGTACGGAGTGAGACGAGAATGTATGAGGCGAGATTCGGAATTCAGAAGAAAGGAAAAGAGATGGAAAAGAAAGGAAAATGTGATTTTGCTCCGGTCACGTGTGGATTGAGAGAAACTAGAGAGAGAATTTCTGCCGATCACTCTCTCTCCCTCTATTCCATTCTATTTTGGTCAGAGCGAGCGGTAATTGGAATTTGGAAGGAGGGGAAAGGTGGAGGAATTTTTCTGGAAAGGACAAATAAGCCCCCGAGAAAACTGATTATTACAGAAAATGCCACCGCGCTAGGCGCGTTCATTCCTCTGCGGGAGTTGGGCAGTTAGTGGTTCCCGCGCTCGCTTGTGTGGAGTTTTACAATTGTACCCTTCAGAGTTTTTTTTTTTATTTACTGTAGAGCTAAAAATTGTACGTGTGTATCATGAAGAATGCATCAAATTTCAATTATATTCTTCAAATGCGTCATAAACTTTTGTGCACCCGCTCATATGGGCATACAAGGGATGAAAATAATATATAAGTTCAATTAAAATTGTACATCTACTTGGGTGTAATTGTTGTTTTTGGACTAGTTGTGGATATGGTTCGCTTAAGCTGAGTATATCGATTTCGATGGTAATCTGTTAGCATACAAAGTTGTCTTATGGCTTCCTTCTTCTCTTCTGCGAAGTTTGTTATGGTCTCTTCTTTCTCTCGCAACTCTTGCTCCAGTGCTCTCACTTTACTCTCCAATGCATCGATCTCCTTCTCTTCTTCACTTGCTAATGTCATCGCCATGGTCAGCCTTGCTTCTAGTTCTAGCACTTTCCCTTCCTTGTCACTCAATTGTAGTGTCAAATCGTCCATATTATCTTTCAACTGTTTGATCTCCCCTTTCTTTCCAGCCATCCAATTTCGAGCGACTTGAAGTTCATCTGATATCCTGGACATCTTGTTTAATGGATGCTTGCTCTCATCTAACTTCCTAATCAGCACATCCAATCCAGTTAGCAAGCTTCCCCCTGGTTCAATCAATGTCCCTTTCATTTTTCTCAACGCGTCTTGAAATGCCACTACTTTATCTTGAAGCTCTTTGTTTTCATTCTGAAGCTCTTCTTTTATTTGCTTGTAACTATCCTTAGTTTCGTTGTGGATTTGTTCTGCAACTTTGACTCTCTGACGCAGTAAACGAATATGGTTCTCCATGCTCATTTGGTACTGCTCTGCTAGTTCTTCAACCTTCCTCTCTATTGTTTGGCAAATCAACTTAGTGGACTCAACTGGCTTCACCTTGGGAGACTCCATAGAAAGATGTCTAATTGGTTTAAGTGTAGGCTCTTCATTGATCTTCTTGAGCACATCCTCTCGTTCTTTTAAGATTCTTTCTTTCTGAACCTCCAAATGAGATTTTTCCGATAATGAAATTTCTAGCTCTTGTTGCACGTTAGTTATTTGTTCCTTCAAATTTGCAATCTCCATTGAAGCCTCATTGTCCATGTCATTGATTTTATTTTGAAGCACCCCAATATCGCCTTCTTTAGTTGATATCACTTGTTCTAGTTCATGAATTGTAGCATTCATCTTATCATTAGACTCCCTTAATTGTGTTGATTCTTGTGTCTGTTTTCTCATATCCTCTTCCAACTTGCTTTTCTCATTTCGTAATGCTTGTAGCTCTAACCCTTGTTTCTTGCTTAAATAGTCCATCTTCCGTAGCTCCTCCTCAACCATAGACTTTGCTGTTAATTCATCTCTTAACTTCTGCATTTGAATCGAATTATCAGTAAGTTCTTTGGACTTTGCATCCAGTTGAAGTTCCAACTCAACCTTTTGATGGCCAGCTAAATCCAATTCCTGCTGTATTACATTCAAATGGTTTTGCATTTCGTGCATTTGACGTGATTCATCCGCTTTCTTTTCCAAAATTTCTTCAAGCTCTGAAACACGAGTATTGAGTTGTGTGTTCACTTCCCCAAATTGTGCTACTTCAATAGCTTTCTCCTCTAGTTTTGCCTCAAGATCTTTCTTTATGTTATGTAGTGATGCCAACTCCATCTGTAAGCTACTCACCTCTGATGTCAATTCCCCAATCCTAAAAGAAAATGTTTCTTCACTATCCTTCATATGTTGCAATGTCAAAGGAGCTTCCTCGTCATCTGTTTTTGTGGTGGGGTATTGTTGTGATTCAAGCTCTATGACCCGTGCTTGCAATTCTTGATTCCTCTTTTCAACCTCACTAACCTCACTTGCTTTCTCTGCAAGCAACCTTTCCATCTCTCGTTTCCCTTTCCTCAATGTCTCCATCTCAAACTTATTTGCAATCAATTGTCCCTCCAGCTCCTTCACTTGAGCACCTCCTCCCTCCCCGTCACGATTGTCTTGAACTTTTACTAAATTCGGGGTTTCCTCTGTATGTTGTTCCGCGCTCTCGCTGTCATCCAGATGCTCCTGATCATCGCTCTGCTCCCCAGTTCTGCTCATATTCGTGGCTCCCGTTGCTTTCCTTTCCCTCGGTGCCTCCATAGGAGAGTAATACTCGGAATCCGAAGTTGATGTAGATCCAGAGCCCGCCCTTTTCTTTCTTACACGAGCCTTCTTCGCGGTGACGCCTCGAAGATTGGCGTACTTCGAGTATAGTGACTGGTATTGTTTGTGTACATCCTCAACTAACGTGACGAGTTCTGATTTCTTCTTTGGGTCGTCTGGAGGCGGGAGCTTTCCTTTCTTATCTGGACCGTTGTTCCTTACAAGCTTCAGGATTTGTCCTATTTTGTGCTCTATCTCTGAAACATGTTACAATAGAAGAGCATGTAAAGTACTCGTGACAAACAATCCAATGACCACTACCACCAGAGATGAAGACGTTCATGGACGCATATTATGTTGCACCTTTTTTACTATCTTTCGTCAGTTGGCCTTTGTCCGACTCCATGGCAAGCTCCATTGCAACAGACAAATCAAATCTGCACAAAGAAGAAGAAGATATCAGAGAAGCAACCATGAACTAATTTTGTTCGAATTTCATTGCAAGAAGACAACCCAGTTGATGATATGCAGAAAGCACAATAAAAATCTTGCCTTTTGGGATGAAAACCAAGACAATTATTGTATAAATATAAAATACAAAAATGATAAGTACAAAAAGGGCGAGGAATTCAACAACATGATGAAAAATATTAGAAAATAACACAACTAAATTTTGGTAGATAATACTAATTTCTGGTGATGCAATTAGGAGCACAAATAATGATGTATATTACTTTACACGTGAAAAAGAAAATAATGAACAGAACAAGAATATATGGATTATTCAAATTAATCGTATCATTCTTATCATCGTTTTAACACTGTATCACTAAATTAATTATAATTTGTTGGTTGGTGTTCGAATTCTTATTTAGCAAATTCTATACGATATAGAAAACAAATTCTAGAGATTGATTATCAAGATTCCTTGATCAAAGCAACCAAATCTCTGTAGATGGAGTATCAATCCAAAGGCCACATGACTGCATGAGGAACTCATACAAACAAAACCTGATTATAATCTTATATGAATGTCCTATTGCAAATAAGCGTCACATTCTTTTTTGCGAATTTCCTTCTTTTCAATTTTTCGAGAAACAAACAAACGAATATAACAAAGCAATTAATTGTTTTCATTGAGGATAAACTGAAGAACAAAATGAGATCGTACATAAAAACAAAGAGAGAGAGAGAGTCAATTACCTGCGGGAGGAATTCCACAAAGCTTGCTGCAGCCTCTTGACGGGGAGACCAAGATTGAAATAATTTTGATTGGAAAATTGATTTTGATTTTTGTCAACAGGTAATGGTTAATACTGGGAAATTAAAGGCAGCCTGTCATTCTTCTCTGGTCTTTTAAAAGGGGATTTAGTTTTTTTTTTTTTTTGGTGAAATGAAATTTTAGGAAAACAAATGCAAACGAAAAACTGATTATTTATTTATTTATAAAAATACATAAATCAAATATTTTTCTCGTCTGGTTGCCTGGTTTCCACAAGCCCACAACGTAGGCTCCGTTAAGACAGCTGTGGGCTTCAGTTCAATTGGGCCTGGACTTTTGGCTCTGAGTAGGCTAGGCCCACGGAGGCTGGGGAGCTTCACAATAGATGGAGTAAGAAAAAAAAAAAGATTAAATTCGCTAGAAGGAGGGCTTGAACCTCCGACCTTGTGGTTAACAGCCACACGCTCTAGCCAACTGAGCTATTCCAGCTAGTTGAAATTTAATCACGTTTCATAACTATATATATCTCTTTTGTTGTTGACATTTGATCAAGAACCGCATCGACATGATTATTGATTAATCCCCAAATGCGGCAAAACATTTTTTTTTGCCCGCTTAAACACCTTTCGTAAAGCATGCTACAACGACTAATGAATTCTGTTTCTATATAGAGGACAAAAAGAATCTCTAATTCACTTCCGTCGCTTCCCGGTGCCCGCCCTAACTCTATAAGCAAGGGAATTCCCGGCGAAGGAATGGGATACGAACCGGCGAAAGTCGATTCCGGTGGCAGAGTCGACAATCGGAGCACAAAGGAGTTGGTAATGTCTCTGAAGTCGGAGTTCCAGACGTCGAGTTTCGAGTTTGTGGCGTCCATCTTGGCCTCTAGAGAAGAGAAGCTGAAGCGGGAGATTGCGACCAAGGCGGAGGAGAATCAAGGACTCTGGCTGGAGAATGAGCAGTCCAGGTTGTTCATTATGAAATTGGAGGAAGAACGGGAAAGATGGAGAACGGAAGCTGAAAAGACGAAGAGAGAGATTCACGGGCTCCGGCTGGAGAAAAAGCAGGCCAGGTTGGAGAAGATGAGATTGGAAGATGAACTGAAAAGCTGCAGAATGGAAGCTGAAAAGGCCAAGGATTTCGAGGATCGTGTCAATAGGTTGGGGGAGGAGATGAAGAAGTTGCAAGCCGTACGGCTTGCTGGATCTGAAGACGTCGGGAGAGGGGGAGTCCAAGAACCGCCGGAGAATCTTGGAGAGGGTGTTCGTTTGACAAAGGAGGGGAACAGGATTTCCAGTGCTTCAGGTTGTTTTGAGTTCAATTTTGTGCTTTTTTTTTTGGATTGTTGATTTCGTATAGCTTCTTTTTGAATCTGATGTTGTTGGGTTGGTGTTTCTTGGAGGGGCAGGTTTGAAGAAGGTTGATGACAACAAGCAATTGAACGTGGAAATGAATGTGAAGAAGGAGAAGGAAGATTTGGTGAGTGGAGGAGGGATTGAGGTCTGTAAGAGGGTAGAACTTGGCATGGAGTTGAATGTGAAGGAGAATGAAGGAGGTGGCAAGATTGGATTGAACAGAAGTGTCGATCTGAAGTCCCATCAAGCTGATAGTAGCTCTGGTAATCCCGGTGAGGGTTTCAAGTTTATTGTAGGCATTTACATCATTAGTGAGTCACTTAACAGTGAAATCATTAGCAGTTAGTTGAAGATTTGGTTTGCCATAACCATAAGGGTTCCGTGGCAGTCAATAAGGGAAGTTTCAGGCTTTCCTTGCCTGCATTCTTCTTGACAGTGCATGAGAAGGAGACCTAAAACTACACTAGAAAAATCCATGTTTAGGGTTAAGGATATCTGAATGAGTTCTGCCCTAAAGGGGGGTTGAGGCTCCTCTTACTTGCATTTTTTTCCACGAACTTCCAAAGCTGAATCGATACCGTTTAGGTTCCATTTTACTGCATCCTTTTACTTGCAAATGAGGCTTTGGATTTCACCATTTTCTTGGATATTAGAACTGACTTCACTTTTTTCTGTAAGAGCCTTTAGATTGATTGGAGTTTATTTGATTTCTCAGGATGTTCCCTGAGTTTATGCGTTTTCTTCCGTGACAAGGACGTGAGTTGATTTATTATTCTTATGTGGGCAATGCTAGATCGCTCCTCAGTGGTGACATCAAAGAAATCTCTGTTGCCAAGTGCTGAATGAGAGAGAGAGAGAGAGAGCTGTTAGCAGTTTTCTGAATTGCAGAGAGAATATAAAATATCCCATATTTGAATGCTGAAACCTCCATGTTTTCAAACTGCAGGAAACGCAAGACCAGCACCAGCTGGAGGCATTTTTGTTGAGATCAGTGATAGTGATGATGAACCTACTCCTTCAAAGGCTCCAAAGGAAACAACTTCTAAGCAGCCACCTGCGGGAGCTGGTCACTCAGGAAAAACAGCTGCTGAAGATGGGACCGGGGTGCTGAAGAGGAAGTGCTCCAGCTTCGGTGCAAGTGATCACTCTGATCAGCATCCCAAAAAGCTGACAAAACACCACGACATGATTCATATTAGTAGAACTGTTGCGGCACCAGCAAAGCTGGGACCAAAACAAGCATTAGCTGCCGTGCCCAGCCCCAGCTCCAGCTCTAGCTCCAGCGCCAGCTCTGACGATGATGTATTAGTAGAACTGTTGCAGGACCAGCAAAGCTGGGACCAAAACTAGCATTCGCTGCCGTGTCCAACTCCAGCTCCAGCTCAGACGATGAGTTCGATCCGTCGACTGATATTGCCTACAAACCGAGTGAGTCTATGCTAACTGTTACAAGTAATCTCTTAACCCTTTCACATGTAGTATGCTTAGTCCAGGGCTTACTCTCTAGATATCTAACTGTCCCTGAAGTGAAGATTGGCCTTTTTTCTGGCCACCCTCGACTCTCTGTAGGATACAGCAAAGTTTGAATGAAGTGGGTAGGATCAGAATTGGTCCAGGAACTAGGAACTGAGTTGACCAAGCTGATAGTGTTATGGGGGCCCTTAAATCTTTTTGCCTGGGTATTGTTTGCTCATTTCTCTTGTGTGGTGTCAATGTGGTTCGCACATGAATGGGCCACAGCCGCACTAAGAGAATTGGAAATTGAATCTTCCACTGTGCAGATACGTGCAACTATACGCAGTTCTCCATTTCCCACTCATTGATTAAGAACTAGTTGGTACCAGTAACTCGATCTATCTGGAGATGTTTAATTACGAATCGTATTAATATCGTAACACATCCATCCCGTTTTTCGGGGTCTAGGGCTCTAGGCTGGTTGGTTGATGCCAATTTTGGCAAAGCCCAATGAAGTATACCAATTCCCAGGTGATGAGGTGACGTGGGAGGCAGATGGGCCAACGGTTTAGGGGAGGACGGCGTGTGGCCACGTGATGCTTTCCCGCCAAGCCAGCCAGCCTTGCCTCTACGGTTTCGCCATGCGCCATTTGAACCTTTGTGCTTCTCCAACAGCTAGTTTCCGGGTTTGGGTTTCGGCCCGACGACGCGTTCTATTAGATCAGGCTGGATATCTCAATATCTATACTCGTTCCCTGAGTCGTGACAAGTCGAATTTAAATAGGATATTTTATCATGAGATGTATTGAAGCACATTAGATCCAGAATGTTGCTCATACTCTTCCCACCTAATAGACGAATTTTACGCGTCCTAAACAAATTGGATAAAATAAGTCAATCCGAAACTGCCATTGCTGATTTTTTTTTCTGGTTAACTGTCAATTCTTGAAGTTTCGATGATGATTCTGTGGATCCAAAGGCAAACACACAGTGCCACGGAAATTTGTTTATAACGTCGAATTTAATTTACGGTGCTCAATAATTAATTACAGGAAAAGAAACATCAAATCATAAGGTCCAAAATTTCCCTGAAATGCCAAAACGACACGATTGTAAGAAGCGACGCAATTAAACGTCTCAACGAAGCTACACAGCAGCAGCTCAAGAGAGAGAGAGAGAGAGAGAATTGATAACACTCGTTGTTGGCGTTGCTGCTGTCAAGCGATTTCCTCCATTTCCGTTTTGGGCGTAAGTTCCTCCAGAAACTCCCTCCTCCCCCTTCTTTCCTCTTTCACGAATTCTAGGGTTTTCTTCTTCCTCTCGGTATCTCCTTCCGTGGATTCCCTGGACTAGACTCTCTCTCAACTCAAGCGGCGCCTTTGCTCTGTTCCCGCTGTCTCCTGCTTCTTCTGCAACTCCGGGAAGAAAAAATGGTGATCGCTCGCTCAATTGCTTGCTCCCTGCTAGCTTCTCCGTGATTTCCTCGTTCAGGTTTTCTGAACCTTTTTATCTGCGAGAAATTCAATGCTGCTTCCTGTTGCCTGAAACGTTGCCGTGGTAGCTTCCTTGAGGTGCTAATAAGCTTCCGCCGGCGGAATATTTGGTTTTAGTTTCCACGCATTTTTGGTTTCATTGAGGGGACACGGAGCAGGAGTAGAGGAGGTGGGGTGGCTGACTGGCTGTTGAATTAATGAATTCTTCTTTCTGTTTAGACTCTTGAGCTCCTTTTTAACTCCTCTGGAGTAGAGGATTTAGAGACAATTGATTGAATCAGGACTGGCAACTCGGCGAGGTGAACTGTTGGGTGAACGAGCAATTGGTTGGTAATGGACGGAGAGCTAGGGAATGAGTTGGCTCAAGGTGATTTGGTGGAGGAGGTGGTGCATTTCCGTGGTAAGGAGAGTGAGTATTCCTTGAGACAGCCTGAAGCCTCCAATGTGGTGCTGGAGCAGTCCGAGGAGGCTGTTCTTGGACACGGTGACTATCTAAATAGTTCGTTTGATGGGATTTCTGATATTTTGGAGGGCAGGACCTCCGGTGCAAACTTAGGCCCGGAGGATCCTTCTGAGCAGCCGCGTGCAAGGCCTCGATATATGGATGATGCAGGGAACATGGTGGAGGAGTTGATGGTGAAGAATTATGATGGTGGTTCTAATTTGGCTATAGTCGGCACATCAAACCACAGGGAGAAAATGGAGTCCAGGTGGGGTCAGTGGCAGCAGCCTTATCATCCTGGAGTAAGGTTGGGAAGCGGGTGTTCTCGCAGCAGTGTTTGGCGTAGCGGAGATAATCAGGCTGTGAGGCTGTGTGAGAGTGGTCCACAGAATGCATCATCTTCTGAGTTTTTGGGTAAGGGAATTTCAAATGTTATCTCCAACGAGGCTGCCGGACAATTGGCAGATGCTGAACACACAGAGGTTAGGGATATGGTTTCCCATGGTGGTATACGGACAAAGATTCTGTCAAAGTCGGGGTTTACTGATTTTTTTATAAAGAATACTTTGAAGGGTAAGGGGGTTGTTTTCAGAGGTTCTCCCCAAAATGTAATGAGACCTGAGCCAGTAGATCAGGACAATGGAAAGACTGCAACTGTTAACTTGAAAACTAGCAGTGCTTCAACGAGTATGGGTGAGAAACCTGTTGGTGTTGTCAGGCCAAGGAATAGCGGTAGTGATGATGAAGGAGTCAGTTTGAGGGAATGGCTAAACGTTGGACGCCATGGGGTAGATAAAGTTGAATGCTTGCATATCTTTAGGCAGATTGTGGATCTGGTTGATAGCTACCATTCTCAAGGAGTTGTCTTGTGTCAGTTAATGCCCTCTTGCTTCAAGTTGTTGTCATCAAAGCTGGTAAGTTACCTGGGATCAGTTGACAAAAGAAGTGATCTAGGGAGTGGAATGGATCAAGATGTGCCTTGGTCAGGTAATCATGCAATTAAAAGGAGGCTAACAGATCATGGAATGTTTTCTTCTGCTGGTTTGCATGTGAAGAAACAAAAGTTAAGCGAGACCATGAAGTCTGGTGATAGGTGGCCTCAGTTCAGCTCGAAATTTGGCGTCAAACTCAAAACTGGAGAAGTTGGCTTATCAAGCAAACATCAGTCCCTTTATGAGCCTAGTGGAGGCAATCCAAATGCAGGAGATGGATCTACGAGCAATCTTAGCTTCCCTCGGCTATCTAATGCAGTCCAAAAACAACTGTTAACAAGTGAAACTGACCCATTGGAAGCGAAGTGGTATGCGAGTCCTGAGGAGCTGAGTGAAGGAATATGCACACTGTCGTCAAATATTTATGCTTTGGGTATACTGCTGTTTGAGGTGCGCTATCTGCTCCTCATTTATCTAAAAACATCTGACCGGCCCTACTCTTAAATCGTGTGCCAACATTCACCTGTAAAAGTATCCCATTTCATTCCCCCCATTTGCATGTGAATATCTCAGTTTCAGTGTCGTTGGTTCTGCAAACTGTGGATGATTTCCCTAATAAGAATATGCAATTAGCAAGGCTTAGTTTCTTGATCACGATCTTATGTGTTTCTGTAGTTGCTTAGTCATTTTGACTCTGAAGGAGCGCGTGCTATGGCCATGTTGGACTTGTGTAACAGAATCCTTCCTCCTTATTTTCTGTCCGAGAATCTGAAGGAAGCTGCATTTTGTCTTCTGCTACTTCATCCTGAACCTTTCTCACGTCCAACAACCAGGTATTATTCTTTCATCAGCTGAAGGTCCAAAACATTTAATGCGTTTAAATTGTATAAGAAAACCTTCAAGATTGACTTTCACCTAGGCCCTTGCAATTGAGAGTTAAGCTGAACTGTTAGACAAGGTCCATATGCCAAGTTATTAGGTCTTGACCCAATTGAATTTGCTTCTTCTTCCGGCACTTGTATACTACTGTTGTTGATGCGCATGGGAAATTTAATGCTTGTCAAACACTTTCTTAGGTAATTAATTGTGCTCTCCCGACAGGCCTCAATGTTCATATGGCCTGTTTTTTACTCTATGTCATGATGTGGAGGACAAGTAGAGTGTTAATAGGCCTCCCTATCTATCTTCCACTGTGTTATCATTCTATCTTGACTCTACTCTATATGAGGTCCATGCGTTTGGTTAATCTCTAAACCACGTTTGGCGGTCCCTTTAAGGCCATTTCTCATTATATGACAGGGAGATTCTTCAATCTGATGTGATTAATGGATTGCCTGAAGCGTCTGTGGAAGAATTGTCATGCTCGATTGAAAAAGATGATGCGGAATCGGAGCTCTTGTCATATTTTCTTGCATCACTGAGAGAGCATAAGCAGAGTAATGCCTCCAAGTTAGGGAACGACATTAGGTGCCTAGAAGCAGATATTAAGGAGATCGAGAAGCGGAATTGCTTAGAGAGATCAGCAACACCTGATCGCTTAGACTTTGACATCCATAATGCAAAGGAACAGACTTCCCAGCTAAATGACAGTTTAAGTGCTGAAAGAGTCGCTCCAATGTTATCAAATTCTGATACAAAGGAGATGAGGTTGATGAGAAATATCAGTCAGCTCGAGAGTGCTTATTTCTCCACGAGAGGCAAAGTCCAAGTTCCCGAGGCTCATGCTACATTACGCCAAGACAAGAGTTTGTTGCGAAACCGTGAAAACTGGCAATCAGAAAAAGAAGCTGACGAAAAATATAACTCAGCTGATTGCCTTGGGGAATTCTTCGATGGTCTATGCAAATATGCTAGATATAGTAAGTTTCAAGTCCGTGGATCATTAAGAACTGGGGAGTTCAACAATTCTGCGAATGTGATATTCTCTTTAGGTTTTGACCGGGACATGGACTACTTCGCTGCTGCTGGAGCTTCCAAAAAAATTAAGATATATGAATTTAATTCTCTCTTCAATGATTCTGTTGATATTCATTATCCGGCTGTTGAAATGGCAAACAAATCAAGGCTTAGCTGCATCTGTTGGAACAGCTACATTAAGAATTATCTGGCTTCAACCGACTATGACGGTGTGGTGAAGGTATGTCTTCCCTTGCACATTTGAGTATTATTTCTAACCCCTCTGAGATGAGCTTCAGTTACCTTATCTCTCAATATGAAAGAATAAAACTACCTTACATGTTCATGTTGTGCTATTTTATTATTTCTGCAGATAGTTTGGATGTGCAGGTCAAATTGCTATCATATTAAGCTATACCTGTTTCTTTTTCTTTTTTCCAAAAAAGACGCCGTACATTAGCAAGGTTATAGAAAAAAGTTAATATCTGAATAAAATTATTTATGTATCTACCTTGATTCTTCTGCATTTGTGAACATTGATAACATGCATAAAATTCTGCTCGGCGAGTTCTCTCTTCATATTATCCAAATTTCTACTATGTATTTGCTTATAAATGTTAACTTCTTGGTATGACATCATCCATGCTTGGGTGGGACTTGGGAGACAGTTATGGGATGCAAGCACCGGTCAAGGGGTTTCTCAATATAATGAGCATCAAAGGAGGGCTTGGTCTGTTGACTTTTCTCCAGTATGTCCAACAAAATTGGCTACTGGAAGTGATGATTTTACAGCGAAATTATGGAGCATCAATGAGGTATGTTCTTCCTCTGATAGTCTTAAAGATGTATTGCTACTGTGTTTTGTTTATTTGATTGATTGAACGATCTATTGTCCGTAAACTTTAATATGGATCATGTGCACAATTTTTTATTTCTGAAGCTTGCATGCATGATCATGTGTATTGTTCATTCTGATATTGTTTAGAAACATGGATTGAAGTTCATGGCATGGAGTTCTGCAACTTGAGATAGAAAGATATGGTAAAATGTCTAAAATCAATTTGATGTTACTTTTACAGTGCTCATTGGAGTTTAGACCCTAATATTTGATATTTTTATCTCAATGAAGTTGGTATCATCACTCTTGTCTGGGACATGTGCAACATTATGGTTTGCGATTCTGGCTTAAGTAGCATATAGGGTGATGATGGTCCTGGTCCAGGAATATTTTGTTGATGTTATCATGCTTGTACATTTTGCCAATAATTTACTGCTTGTTGCTGGATTAAGGGCTTATATGCAGTCAATGCTTCATGCAGAAAAATAGTTTAAGCACGATCAAGAATATCGCCAATGTCTGCTGTGTTCAGTTCTCCTCTCACTCCACTAATTTGCTGGCTTTTGGATCTGCGGATTTCAGAACCTACTGCTATGATATTCGAAATGTTAGAATGCCCTGGTGTATACTAAATGGCCACGAGAAAGCAGTGAGCTATGTAAAATTTGTGGATGCAGAGACTATTGTTACTGCATCAACTGACAATTCACTGAAGGTATGGGATCTGAAAAGGACCAATAGCAGTGGCCAATCCATGAACGCTTGCAACTTAACTCTTCGAGGGCATACAAACGAGAAGGTTGTTTCCTTTAGCATATACTAGAACTTTCTGCTGGATAATATTTTCGTTTTCCCCCATTTATGTGATTGCTCTTAATAGCTTATATCTTCTTTCCAGCTGGGTCTTGTTCTCACTTTGCCCTTCTTTGTGATTGCAGAATTTTGTTGGCCTATCAGCTTCTGATGGTTACATCTCATGTGGTTCCGAAACAAACGAGGTATGATCTCAAATGTAGTGCCTTTGGTCATCTCTATGGGAAAGGGATGCTAAGTTATCTGCCGGGAATGTCTATTTTTGCAGGTTTATGCTTACCATCGATCTCTACCCATGCCGATGGCATCTCACAAGTTTGGTTCCTTGGATCCTATATCTGGGAAAGAAACAGATGATGACAATGGACAGTTTGTTTCTAGTGTCTGCTGGAGGGGGAACTCAGACATGGTCTTAGCCGCCAATTCGAGTGGCGGCATTAAAGTATTACAAATGTCTTAAAGAGATATGGATGAATGCCAAAACTTTCTCCCCAACTGGCTTCCTTATGCTTCTTCAAGTTCAATATTCTCCTTTGGAGGCCCGATCGGCTTCTGGAAAACGGTCATAGACCATCTTCCTTTTCTGTATCTTCAGGCAAGTTCGAATCCCTCCAACGTCAACCGATCTTTGAATATATCACTATTGGGACACACAGATGATTGAAGGTGAAAGTTTCCGGCACCATGATGAACATAAGCACAGACATAGCTTGTATATACAGTAGTATTTGGGGGAAAACAAGTGAATCTGGTTGAAGATGAGAATCTCTGAGTAATCTGCAGACCATTGGGGAGAGAGTTGGTTGCATACAGCCTCAGTACAGAATGCTGACTCCCTTTTTCTTTATGGTATCCATAATTTGGGACCAGAATTTCACTACCGAAATGAGCCTTGTATTGAGTTTGTACCTAAAAGAATATCACCACTGACATGAGCCTTGTATTTGAGTTTGATATTTTGCTTTGTTTTTCTAGTTTGTGTAAATGTCTCAAAGAAGAGTGCAAAATAATGTACACTGGTGACTGGACATGTCTTGTCCTGATAAAGAATGACAAGCAAGTTTTGGAACAATCTCTGTTGGCTTTAGATTTTGTTTTCCTCAACTTTTTTGCTCTTCATATTAGCTTACTGAAATCCTGAAATGACAAGGAATCAAATCCAGGTAACACTGCTACAGAGAAAGTCAGGTAACACTTGCTGAGGCACTTCTATCGTGAAGAAATCAAATTACACTGCTACAGGGAAAGTCAGGTAACACTCACTGAGGCACTTCTATCTCCTTTCTGACAAATTTGATTGACTCATTCATATTCTTCCTACAGAAACAAAAACCAAGGAGAGGGATGGAAAAATGGTGAACCAGAGAAAGGTAGCACTATTGATCAATCCTCTGCGCATTCATCATCTTTCTTCATAATACCCCTTTCCCTGGATTTTGTGAACTCATTGTTGTTCTCTTAGGACTGTCTTTTGCAGCATTCATCCTCAATTTCCGGCCAGTTGGACTCCACGTCGCTGACGATCTCACTGGCGATGACCTCACCGGAGTTTTCACTTTCGGTTTAACACCTGCATCAAACACTGCGCAACAAACATCAAAATACATCGCAGTTTCGGAGTTCGATAAAACCAGGGAATGGATCCAGAAAGACACCCACCTGGAGCTTTCTTCACCTTAACATTGGCTGGTTTTCTTGCCACGGCAGCAGCAGCAGAAGCAGCAGGGACTGTTTCATTGTTCAGCGGCTCCGATATCACTGACCTCGCATCTGACGTGGTCATCTTCTCCGGATTCACAACACAAACGGACTTCGCATCAAAATTTACGATCTTCGGTTCATCCGCTGCTGGCAACACAATTGGATCCTCACCTGCTGCAAGGGTAAGAGGCTCTTCATTCCCTGCCTCAGTCGACTTGAACTTCACACCACATGACGACGTCATCTTCTCCCTCTCTGCTAGCCTGTAAGCGAACATCTGAAATGGAATCTGAGAAACCGAGCTCGAATCGCAGGTCGGTTCGGCAGGGAACTTCTTCAGAAACCCAGTTTCCAGTTCGGTGTAGTCGACAGGCGGCATCTGCATATCCGGCTGCCCATCACTAGGATTCATCACCAGGAACTTCTTCACGTATCGAAGAACCCTACAAATCGAGGAGAAGCTCGGCCTGCAGCTTGGATCTCTATGCCAGCACTTCTTTGTTAAGTTCACAAGGTATTTCGGTGTGTGAAATGGGAACAACGGTCTCTCCCCAGCTCGAATGTTCTTGATCATCTGATCACCGTGGAGATGCCCATCCTCGAATGGAAGCTTCCCTGTTAACAGGCCGAAACACAGCATTCCAAAGCTATAGACATCGGCCTTCTCCGTGTACTTGCTATTCAACCTTGAATTGTTCCCTGCTGCAGCAGCGGTGGCCTCTTGTTCCGCTAGCACCTCTGGCGCATACCAGATGGTTGGATCGATTGCATCTGAGGTCGCAGAAGCATGCCTCAGAGGTTGGCTTTCCACTCTCGCGAGTCCAAAGCCTGAAACTTTGACCATGAAATACCCCTCTGTGGCTTTCCTCGGCTTGAGAAATATGTTGGTGATGTTCAGATCTCCATGGTAGACCTTCTTCGAATGGAGGTACTCCATCCCTCTAGCAACCTGAAGCATGATATCCACAACAATGGGGAGAGGCAAAAGAACCCTTTTCCTCGGACTGCTGTTCTCCTTCATGTAAGAATGCAAATCCTTGCTCATCAACTCCATTACTAAAAAGCATTCCTTTTTATCCTCGTCGTAGAATCCACAGAAGTACTGGACTATGTTGGGATGAGCTAAGGACATTAGATCATATATCTCAGAGCTCAAAGGCTCAATCTCGTGCTGCAAATGTCTCATTGCAAATCCTTCCCCTAGCCATTGGATCTCCTTGTACTGGCTTCCTTCCCCTAGCCTTCTCCTCACTTTGTAATCTTCAGCTCCTAATAAGATCGAGCTCGGTGGGAGCTTTCCGTTAACTTTCTCGACGCTATTGAGCTTCTTCAGCAGCAGATCGGCAACACGATGCTCGTTCTTGGTAATCAAGCCGGAAGCTTTCTTCTCCTTCAGCTTCTCGATGAGATGCCACTTGTCTTCTCTCAGGGCAGCTTTGAACTGGCAGCATATCTCTTTTGGGATCAAGTACTGCCTCCCGAATCTCCACTGGAACAGCTTGGGGTCGTACCAGCTTCGGTCGTATTTTTTCGACATCATCACTCGTTTCCTCTTCATGTCTGCCTCATCCAGTCCAGAGATCTCTCCCGCGCTCTCGATGGCCTCGACGACAGCATGGAAGCAGGTGAGCAGGTTGTGGACGTGGAACTCGACGGAGTCTTTGTTTTGGTGGAGGGAGAGGGATTTCCCCCACCAGTCCTTGTTGTTGTCCATACAATGGCGGATGTAGAGCTCTCCTTCTTTGAACACCCTGTGCAGCTCCCTCAGCGGCTCCTCCAATGGCTTCCACTTCGTGTTCTTCTCTTCCAGGGTCAGGTTGTGCCTGATCTCCTCGGCGATCGTGTCGAATGCCGAGGTGAACATCTGGTGCAGGAGAACGCACTGGCGCGGGTTGATTTGAATGTCGTCCTGGAGCACCATTAGTGCTTTCAAGCTTCCCAGGACTTCCCCTACGTGCCTGAACTGCTCCATTTCTTTGCTCGATGGGTGCTTCTTCGTCGATCTATCTCTCCGTCTGCCCTCTCTAAACGAAGAAGCAATGAGGGTTTGCTTCAAAGTTTAGAGAGATCGTTCTTTCAACAAGGATTCTCAAAAGAGCGTCACGGCCTGGGCAATAGGAATATCAGGATTCAGGAAGAAGTTTATACAAGCATTTTTTATAGCAAAAAACAGAGTGGGGCAATCAATCTTCAGGGGATCAGAATCGCAGAAGAAGAACAGGAATCGCAGAAGCCGTGAAGGAAAACGTAAAGCACAAGCTAATCAACAAGAACGTAGTTCTCCATGTTTGATCTTCAGCTATATCGAAAAATCAGAGGAAGGAAACAGGAAATTGGCAACATCCATACCTGAAGTCAAAAAGCTCTGCTTCTTTATGAATCAGCACAGAGCAGCAGCCGCCATGAATGAAGGTGCCCACCCTCTTCCTCTTCTTCTTCTCTCTTTCTCTCTCTCTAATCCTCCTTTCCCTCTCTATTTACCTGATGATGATCAGAAATGAATGAGAAGCAAGCCTTCTCCAACCTCTAACCCATGGTGGAAAACAAACAAAATCGAAGATAGATTGAGGAATAGGGAACCTGAGAAACAATCCAAAACCGAGAATATTGACGGAGAATTCAAAGCTTCTCCTCTTCTTCTTTCGTTTTCTGACGTCAGGATTCTTAAAAAAAACACCAAACTGTTTTTGTCCTGTCTGGTTTTCCCCCTCTGCCAATGGTTGTGGCGGAATTTGACCAACGGAATCACAGAATCTGAGATTGATCGCCGGAAAGTTTTCAAATTTTGAATTGGGTAGTTTGATTTCAGGTGCTTTGTGTTGATCTCAGGTGGGAATTCAGGGCGGCAGAGAGAGAGAGAATGAAGAGAGAGAGAGAGAGGCAGGAAGGAAGGACCGAGGTCTATAGGACTTTTCCCTTTTCTTTTCTCTCTCTAAATTTCCCACGATTTCATATCACTGAGGAAAAATATTCAGCGAGAGAGAGAGAGAAAGAGGAGGAAAGCCTTTCCCGCGGGTTTCGGTTTCATTTTGGCAGTTACGACGGACCTTTCGTCTTCTTCATTCCCCAGCAATTGTTACTAGTGATAGTGATTGCAATTTCAACCCGCCCCGCGGGTATTACTCGATTTGACCCGCGATGGAGCGGATATTACCCAATCGGCAGTAGCGTGAGACGGGGCATGGGTATCTACTTCCGACCTGCTCTGTTCCGCTCCGCCCTGTTTTAGACTCATTTCATCTCAATTTCTTACAATATTTATACATATTTCTCCTATTTTGATTTTTTTTCAATTAGTTAGAGTCAATCTTTCAACCTGTTAGGCTCAATTATTCATTCTATTATCAATATTTTTCATTCTTAAAGAGTTTTTCCCTACGTTGTATTGTAAAAAGTAAAATTTAGTTGTATTTTTTTTTATACAACATGTAAGAGTGGGTCGACCCGTCCCTCTCCGTACCCGCCCGGGTTTTACCCGCCCCGACCAGTAGTAGCGTGGGGCGGGGCATGGGAATTGAGGTACCCGCCCCGCCCCATTGCCATCGCTAATTGTTACTTCTCCGATGCGTGCCAGTGAACGGCGGCGTTTTGGAGAACGGCGGCGAACGTGGGGCCGTTATCACACGTATTTGTGGTGGTGGTTTGCTATTTGGACGTGACCCCGGTTAAAAGGGACGGCGGGGCGGCCACGGTTGCTTTATTTTATTATTTTATGTGGAGAACGACCGCTAATAAGGATTTTTAAAAAAGACCGGAGATAATTAGTTTCTTGTTAATAACTTAGAACATCAAGTTTCCTCTTCCGTAAATAACTGAATATCATTCATAAATAATCTGGATGGCTAAATAATTAAGGGGATTGCTAATCGTCGCCCTAAAAATTCTTATTTATCGTCCTAATTATATTAAATTTACTATAATGTCCTTAGTTTATTTTTTTTTTTTTTTTAAAAATAAAAAAAATTTTTTTTTTTTAATTTTTTTTAAAATTTTTTTTTAATTTTTTTTTTTTTAAAAAAAAATTTTTTTTTTTTTTTTTTTTTTTTTTAATTTTTTTTTTTTTTTATAAAAAAAAAAAAAAAATAAAATTATTTTTTTTTAAAAAAAAAAATTTTTTTTTTTTTTTTTATTTTAAAAAAATTTTTTTTTTTTTTTTTAAAAAAAAAAAAAAAAAAAAAAAAAAAAAAAAAACAAAAAGAAAAAAACAAAAAAAAAAACCAAATTTTTTTTTATTAAAGGAGCCAGCTTTTGCATTGCTCTGAATTTTGATAGGCGATAGCTTGGGGATTTGGAATTTTTTGTTTTTTGTTTTTTTGTCCAGTGGGTTGCAGGAACAAGACTTGTTTCACCACCGAGATCGGAGCCTATCTGCTGTACTTAGTTGCCAACTTGCCGTGACGAAAACGAGCTGGACATGTTCAATGCGGCGCGGGTGGAATACAACATGGCGGGGAGCGAATCCGGCAGCAGGACATCGTGGCGGGAGAAGTTATGTTCAATGCGACGCGGGTGGAATACAACATGGCGGGGAGCGAATCCGGCAGCAGGACATTGTTGCTAGGTTTTAGTTTGTTTGAAGTTAGGGGTATAAGTGTCAATTTAGTGTGGTTTAGGGCGATTTATTTTGAATATTAGGGCGACGAATAGCAATTCAGATAATTAATAGGTAAAATTGTGTATTTTAGGCTGACAGGTAATAACATTATTGGTTTCGATTTTGAAGTCACTTATTGAAATTTCATGACTTATTTTGCTAACCCTTTTAACTATGAGGTCACATATTTGAATTTCAGGTTCGTTTTGCTAATCCTCTTTCCGTACCATGTTAACAATAGGTAGGAATTCTTTGGGCCATAAATACTAAACTATAGGATGGTTAATCTAGTATGTTGGATGTATTATAATGAATCAAAACCGTTGCGAATTAAGTTTATCCTAGGTATAGGATTTAAAGAATTAGAATCTAGGTTTTACTTTTTAGTTTTTAGACTTTAAGGTATACTATCATTGCTCTGACATTCAATTAACTTAAGATATAAAGAGCAATTTCTTACTAAGAGTACCTGATATTGAGCACTTCTACTATACTCTAAAGTATTGGTGATTTAATGTACAACTTAAAGTTGTACCATTATGTTAAATGTATAAATTCAGGTTGTACCATAAAGCAACTTGTACCATTATGTTATGGAACAAGTTCACAACTTGAAGTTGTACCACAACATAAAGATACAAGTTCAAGTTGTACCATAAAAAAATTTGTACAAAAAGTATATGTGCAATCTGAAGTTTTACCATAACATTGAAGGTACAATTTCAAGTTATACCATATTTATCAAAGTAAGAGAAAGCCCCTCGATTTTGATTCTTCCAAAGTTTGAAATATGAATTTCGGTCTCTTTCTTTTGCCCCTCGATTTTGGTTCTTTCAAAGTTGAAACATAATATCAGGTGAGGAATTTTACAATGCGACGCATTGTAAAATTCCTCACCTGATATTATGTTTCAACTTTGAAAGAACCAAAATCGAGGGGCAAAAGAAAGAGACCGAAATTCATATTTCAAACTTTGGAAGAATCAAAATCGAGGGGCTTTCTCTTACTTTGATAAATATGATCACTACTTGTAGTCTGTAGAAAAGGAAAAAGGAAGAAATCAAAGTGGAAACCCCACCATAGTGTAGAGGGATAAAGAATCACAGGCAAAACTACTAGTAAGTTGAACTAAATAAAGCCCAACAATTCTGGCTGAGGAGCCCAAATCGAAAACACAGGGCTCAGAGATAGAACATTGGTCTTAACCAACCCAAGCCCATTTTAATTTTATCGACTTCCCAAAAAAAAAAAAAAAAATTACTCCGGTTCTTGGAGATCTGGCGGTGAAAACCAAAGCTTTGCTACCTGCTACTAGCGCCTAGCGGAAAGGCAGAACTGTAAAGCAGCAGACGTTAATGGCGGACTGACTAGTACTGAAGGAGTGCGATAGAGTGACAGAAACAGCAAACCGCAAAGACTGATCTCCCTCGCTGTAGCACGATGAAATGGTACTTCGTCGCCGTGCTTCTCACCGTTCTAACTAGCTCTCAGGTCAGTCGCTCGAGCTCGGTCCTCCGTCCGCCCTTCTTTCCCTTTCAATCTCCGTCGTGGATCGGCGGCATTCAAATTCGCCGATTCGCTTTCCTTCCTCTTAACTTTCCCGCTAGAAGTAGAGCTGAATTGCTCTTAGCGTTCCTGTTTTCACTCCGATTTCATGAGATTTCATTTGGCGACTGTTGGAATGTGGATCCCTATTGCATATGGTACTATCGATCGTGATCTCAAGAAATGAGTCTGTTCAGCAGACGTGGTTGAGTAAAGAGATTCTGCCATAGCAATGTCAGGCGCCAGTAGAGCTTGTGATAATTGAACTTCTCAAGTATGGGGGGCGGAATTCGTGAACTGATTGAATGTGTTTGGTTTATAATGTTATAGGGAATCTTGACTACTCTGTCTCAAACTAAGGGAAGCTATCTCTATGATTATGCAACCGTTCCATTTCTAGCAGAATTCTTCAAGGTAGGCTCTTGACACTTTTAATTAACCTTTCGTTCGTTGTATTTGTAACCTTCCTTATTACTCCAGAGCTGGTTCTGCAATATGTTCTTCTTCAAGTTAGGGTTCTTGTCTTGCTTAACTGCAGCTGCTGGTATCTGGTTTACTTCTGTGGCGGGAATTTCGGGTAACACCGTCGATGCGAATAACCACTGAATGGAAGACTGTGCGGTTGTATCCAATCCCGTCCATCATATACCTGATTCATAACAATGTTCAGTTTGCTACACTCACCTATGTAGACACCTCCACGTATCAGATAATGGGCAATTTGAAGATTGTTACCACTGGGATATTATTCAGGTGCTTACTTTACTTATGTTTTTCTGGTTACATCTGGGAAGCATTCCTTTATGATTCAGAACTTACCAGAGCTAATTTCCGCATCTCTCCTTATTTTTCCATTTAAGGTTGTTCCTTAAGAGGAAGCTCTCTAATCTCCAATGGATGGCAATTATTCTGTTGGCTGTTGGAACAACCACTAGCCAGGTAGCTCTCCTTTACTTGTACCAAATATGCTGTCTCTAGAATGTTGTTTAGGACAGTTTTTGCGAGGTGGATTATGATTCATGGGCTCAAACATAATAGGTTAAGGGTTGTGGAGCAGCTTCCTGTGAATCTCTGTTTTCAGCTCCAATTCCAGGTTACATGCTGGGTGCTCTCTCTGCTTGCCTCTCAGCGTTGGCTGGTGTTTACACAGAGTTCCTAATGAAGAAGAACAATGACAGCTTGTACTGGCAGAATGTGCAATTGTATACGTAGGTATCTTTCCTCTTCTAGAATTATGTTTGGGCATTGATGCATAGTGTCATACTTTCCTGCAGTAGAAGCTGTCCATAGGAAAAACTTGTTGCGATATCTCTCCTGCTTTTAAATCTGTGTTCTAAAACCATTTACGGTGACATGATTGTTGCATCCCAGAACTTATCTCCATACCCTTTGCCTTCAATAGCTAACTTAATGGCATCGTCGTCTGTTTCCAGATTTGGAGTGTTATTCAACATGGCAAAGCTTATAGTAGATGATTTCCAAAGTGGGTTTGAAAAGGGGCCCTGGTGGCAGCGTCTCTTTAATGGATACAGCGTAACCACGTTTCTAGTTGTTTTGAATCTTGGCTCGACTGGTTTGTTGGTATCATGGTTGATGAAGTATGCTGATAATATTGTGAAGGTAATACTTCCGAACTGATTGTCTGTTCATCTCTGCTTCTCCATTTTGAATAGCTGACTGCCATATGCTATTCTTGTTTAGGTCTATTCCACATCCATGGCAATGCTGCTGACGATGGTTTTATCAGTACTCCTATTTTCATTCAAGCCTACTCTTCAGGTACTCCCAAATGAAGTTATTATCTTCTACTGAATTTTCTTTCTCATTTCCTAGTGTTGTGACTATAGATATATGGTCTGGTTTCTGTTGTGTCATTTTTGCAGCTCTTCTTGGGTATCATCATATGTATGATGTCACTCCACATGTATTTTGCCCCTCCACACGTTCTTGTGGATTCGCCACCCAAACTCAAACCTGTTCCTGAGGCCCTACAAGAAGTTTCTATCGATCGAAGGACCGATTCCTGAAAGACTCTGGCCTAGGTAGCAACTACTGGTTTTTGTGACCATGTCATTTCAAGTACCATCCAAACTGGCGACATGTTCCATCGAGAGATGAGAAGCAATATTGTTCTTCAGAATTTGGCAAAATCCTCTGAAATTTACAAGCCCATCTGGAGAGCAATTCGGGGGATAAGATCCAAGCAAAGCGAGAGATTCATCACGAACAGAGTACCATACTAGTCTATACGTCGGTGAACATTGTTGATATAGTCATCAAAACTAACTGTAATTGCTAATGGCACACCTCTTTGTTTTGGCTTTCTTTCTTTGCTGCAATTAGGCGAAAGAAAGTGTACAGTGACTTGCAAAGGAAACCCAAGGAATGTAATACGCAGTTGTACTTGAGCTCTCCATTTCCAGCTGCCTGACTGTTCTTTTTATTCTGATCAAGGGCAACCCAGAATTGCCAGTCGCAAGACAGCAATGATTTGTGATTCAGCTTTTACTGCTTTACTGGGCCATTTCACCCCTTTCTACAGTAGTGTTTCTTTCATCTTTCGTAGCAATCAATTTGAATGTCGAAAGGAATCAGTATTACAGTTGTTCGTTCAGCTCAGCCTGCCTTTTTGCGATTCGATGACTGGTGTATGCAAAAGGCAAAGACACAACAATCACTTGTTCATTTCCGAGTCTCGTGTACCACACGATAAGAAATCGGATGACTGAAGAAATCATCAAGACCTAGCTAGAGTACAGTTGCCCCAAGTCCAAGTCAAGAGTTGATATGAATGCTAGGTCCCTTATCTATACTGCAACTGATAATGCAGACATCAACTCATCAGATCAAAAAACTGTTTTCAGCCATAGAAACAGAATACAATTCCAGAACCATGACGTCCGATTTAATTCCCGGATCGTGACAACTGACTTGTGTGTCAAGTAACTCCAGATTCAAAGCATGGTGGTGGAAGTAAACATGTCATCAGATCCTCCTAGCTCAACCCCTTTCATTTTCAGGTGCATTAAATTTCCCCTTCTTTAGCAGCCTTGCTTTCTCTGCTTGTGCAGTTGCATCTCGAATTCTCGATTACCCTCCAATCTTCCTACCTAGCTAGCCCCCTTTATAAAAGGACAGAAGGGACCGAGAACTAAATCAAGCAAGCAAGTGCTGTAATCAGAACTGATCATCTCCAGCGAGAGAAGATGTTGTTGGACATGAATGCAATCAGAAGTTTCTCCAGTTTCGATTTCGGTATGGTATCAAGGAAGGGAGCTGGTCAAAAGGGTTCATCAGCATCGTCAGGATTTCAGATGCCACTCCACTATCCGAGGTTCAAGAAGAACGACTACGCAACGATGCCCGGGTGGAGGCTGGACTGCTTGTTGAAGGAATACGGCCTGCCTGTTGTTGGAGGTGTTGATGAGAAGAGGAAGTTTGCCATGGGAGCTTTTCTTTGGCCTTCAGAGCAGTGAAAATTACCAGAGATATAGAAGTAAATTACCTGTGGCATTTGGTCATAATGATCATACATGAACATGATAAACTCTGTTAAAACAGTTCCATAAGTAGTAATCATATCACTTTGATTCATTTCCCCCCCATCATTATAAAATCCAATATCGATATATATGTGATCTGTAATCCACCTACCTTTGCAAAATCCAGTTTCCACCTGTGCAATGCAACCTTCCAGGCAGGAACAGCTAATCCTGCTCCAAAATCTGCAGAATATGACTCATATTAATGAGTGAATTATTCAAGTACTCATCACCAAAGAGCTACTCACTCCATTTATCTTATTACTATTCCAAAATTCAAAGTAGAACCCTACTTATTTGCCATACCATATCCAAATTATTAGAACCTTGCTAATTTTTTTGTAACCTTTCTGACTCATTTCTCTCGTAAATCTCTACCGAAACAAAACCTCTTTGAATATTAATGTTACGTGGTAAAAAAGAACAAATTTTGTAGAATAATTAGGAAATATGGAATATTATATAATATATTTTTTTACTATTGATTCAATATTGTACCCTTGCCTAGTCAATTATTATATATAGTAATTAACAATACCCATAAGTTGACATTGCTAAGTTATCAGTCACCTTCTTAGTTCTTTCTCTAAACCGTTTCAACAAGAACAAAATCAAACACAAATTTGAACCATCTTGGGAATGTTTTGTTGGCATTGGCAGTCCAAATTTTCATTCTTACGTTATATAGGTGTCATAATATAATCTTCTTCTTATTAGCTAACCTGCCAAAAATTTATCACTTTCTCTGTACATCAAAATCTCGTCATTTAATAAACGGTACACTCTCTTTTTTTCATCCAGATCTATTTTAAAACGACTCGAACCATCCACAATTTCAAGAACAAAGAGCAAGACAAAGTATATATTAACAAACTTTAATCCCCATTATCAAAATCCCTTCTTTCGTGACTTCTAGTATCCTTGAATCATTCAAACCCATCCAAAACAATTTTCAGTTTGGAGATGAATAACCCATCATGAACAAGCTTTCTTTGGTTCCCAAATTCAATCCTCTTCTCCTTAACCTACACATTAACATCACTTCCTTATTCAGTCAAACCTCGTATCCCATGTAATGTCCATTCACGAAGAACATCTCATATTCCTCAGGTTGTCTAGCTTCTTAAAGAATTCGAGGAAAGTAGGGATGGCAATTTGAACCCGTCCTGTTGGGTAATACACGACCTGACCCGCGATGGGGCGGCAGGGTCGTCCCATGATATTTGGAGACCCTGTTCGAAAATTTAAAATGTGGCCCTAATTTTTTCCCCATAAATTTATCAAAATTAAAAATTAGTAAATAATTGTAAAAAAATACTTAAGTTCAGAAAAAGATTACATCAGGAATAAACGATCTCGTTTCCAGTTTGACCAAGAAACCAAAACTGAATTCCCAGCCCTAGTAGGGAGGAAAGTAAAGCTGGAAGGAAGAGAAAATGGATATAGCGCAAAAATTGAATGGAGAAATGAAAATAGTCTAAATTGATCGAGAGTTGGGTGCAGGGTTGTCTATTAGATCGTGGAGGCCCTATTTCAAAATCTAGACGTGGTCCAAATCGACCTTTAACTATAATAAAACTAAAATGATTATAATAACATTATATGTAATATCTTTCTATATTGTTTAAATTAAAATTATCTATTATTTTTCATATTTTCGTATTCTCCATGAGATCCTTTTCAATTGTTATTATAGCTAAAATTATCTATTAAACACATCATCATACTCATAATCAATCAATCATACACTAAAAATACAACCTACAATATACGATCGATAACTAACGAATCTAAGTAGAGGCCCCTAATATTCTGAGGCCCTGTGCCGGAGGGCGGGCCAGCACACCCTCTTGGCCGGCCCTGTGGGGCGGGTATTACCCGACCCGCATTAGCGTGGGGCGGGGCATGGATATCAACTTCCGACCCGCCCTGCCCCGCCCCGCCCCATTCTTACCCCGTTCTATGTCAATTTTTTACCCCATCCATTCATATATCTCCTATTTTGACTTTTATTCAACTATTTAGATTTGATCTTTCAACTAAATAGACTCAATTACTTATTATATTATCACTATTATTCATTCATCAAGTATTTTTCCCTTCGTTTTATCATAAAAAGTAAAATTGTGCGTGTATTTTTCTCAAATAATATGTAAAAGTAGGTCGACTCGCTCCGCCCCGTTCCCGCGCGGGTATTATCCGCCTCTACCCGTACTAACGTGGGACGGGTCATGGGTATTGAGGTACCCGCCCTGACCCATTCACTGGAGGAAAGTTCCATATACATACAATTACAGCGCAAACAAACAAACAAACAAATACAGGTTTAGAAAAAAGGAAATACTTCAGGTAGTGAAAGCTAACACAAGTTAAATTAAGGAACTGGACAGTAACTTAATCCATATTCATGACGTGGACCAATCAGAACGCCAGCATATGGCGCGAGAAAGGGACGAAGGACAGACTGTCCTTCGGCAGGGCGGGAATCCCATACCCTTAAAAAAAGGCAACCAGAAGAAGAAGAAAAAAAAGTGCCCGGCTGTGAGAACGGTCACATGGGCAGCGGGCCCCACCATTTAACGAGAAAATAAAAACGAACAAAAAAAAAGAAGTACTGAAATTTAAATTTTGTACCAGGCGACGACAAACCTGCTGTACCGTTTTCGGTTTTTCATCAATCAGCAAAACAGAGCTGCGGTATAAATCTCGACGCCGCGGCTTGTGTCCAGCTTCGTCTCCTCAACAACATCGAAGAAAAAGAAGGCCGACGCGATCCTCCGGTGGTTTTGGCTTCGTTTTAGGAAGGAAGGAGACCTTGGCTTCTCTCTCTCTCTCTCTCTCTCTCTCTGCGCGGCTCTCCAGAGCACAAAAAAGTGTCAGTTTGGTTTCCGCAGAGAGAGGAGAAGAAAAAAAAAACCCCAAGAAAGCAGAAAACATAAAATGGCAGTTTCAAGAGTCGCCGTTACCGCTGTCGCCGTCGCACTCATCTTCGCCATTGCCTTGCCTGCAGCAGTTCAGGCTCAGGGCATGGCTCCGGCTCCGGCCCCTGCCGCCATCAGCGATGGTGAGTGGAAATTTCTCTTCATTGTTTTCTCCGACGCTTTCAGTCGTAGATCTGAGATGGGTTTTTCCAAAGTTAAGATCTTTGATGAATTCGACAATGTGGGTTCTGATTTTTGGGGTTTTGTTGTATTTGGGTGGTTTTCTCAGGGACGTCGATTGACCAAGGAATCGCTTACGTGCTGATGCTGCTGGCTTTGGTGTTGACTTACCTGATTCATGCGGCAGATGTGACTCCCAGCTTCTAAATTAGACGAGGAGATGATGATGAAGAGCAGGAAGGAATTGATTTCGTGATTCATTTCTTTGTCAATTGGGTTTTGGAACCTTGGTCTTCTGTATTAAAGGTGGTCCTCTGGTTTGCCTGTGTATTTATTGTTTTGATCATGGAGGACGAGTTGGGATCTCTTTCGTATTTGGTGAAGAAGTAGAAGAAGAACAAATGTGGGGTGTGTTAAGTGGGGATTCCAGTGGCAATTGCTAATGTTATCATCTTGTTTGGTGGGCTTATCTTTCTTTCCTGCTCCCGTCCCTTTCATTATTCTCTTCAAAGTTTAGCAGCATAGTCATGGCATTACTTTGAAGAATCAAATCATTGCAGCAGTGCAACTCAGACGCCAATGAAACCCGGAGCAACGATTTCATTTGTTGAGAAACAGAAAGTATCTGGCATTTGGATGACACAGTGTAGGTAGCAACAGTATATAAGAACAAAGATTAAATTGGTCTTTCAAAGTTTTACATCTTTGTGTGAGGAAACAGCAAAAGAGCAAAAACAATCTGAGAGAGTCGGGTTCGAGATCGAAGAATGTCAGAATCTTCACTCTCCTCCAGATAATCACAAGCTAGGATTCTTCAGACATCTAGCGACTAGCAAGTGAAGTCCTTGAATTGAAAAGACATGAACTTCACACACCCTAAGAGGAAGATGGATCGGACAAGGGCCAAGAGTATGCTAACTCAAACCTTTCTTGGGTGATACCCCTGCTTCTTTGTTGGCCTCATCTGCGAGGGAGAACTTCTTCACATTCTGCAGATGAAACAATGGCATATACCAAAACCCAAAAGAGGAAATATCAGTAGCATACAAATGGACCAAGAGAACTCCATTCAATCCAAGGACCAAGAGAACTCATCAATTATCAGATCACTGATCACCAAATGTTCCAACTTCACAGAAGCACAGTTTTTGCCTCAAATCTCTTAGCATTCCCCGAGTGCAGGCCGCGAATTTCAGACCAGACTGGTGCACTTGACTAGTGCTGCAGATTGTACTAATTCTTCCCCTAATGCTCTCTTTTAACAACATTGCAGATTGTACTAATTCTCAAACACAGGGCACCTTCGACTATACAAGCTGCCAAAGCAGCAGAGGACCCAATTTTACAGGCACCAAAACATCCAACGACGGCAGAGAAAAATATCGCACAACAATGGGCAAAATCGAATCGATTTTTGTTTCGTTTACCTGCTTCACGGCACAATCTCGCAAGGCCTGCAAGAGGCGGAGGCATTTGTCATTGTCGTATGGCGATTCAGCCACGCAGTTGAGCAGATCCACCGCTTCTTGGCCGCACACCGCCACCGCCTTCTCCATCGTTCGTTTGCCGCCGCCGCCGCTGCTGCTGCTTCCTAGAACTGACGAAGATAAACCCTTGTGCAAGAAGAAAGGGGGTTTAGCGGGTTTTTTTAATCTCTCTAGCGAGCGAGTTCGGTTCTTGTGCGCCACCGCCCGCTGTTTTTCACGGCTCGCACAGCGACTTAGGTAGGGAAGTCAAGCCACGCGCTAAGTCTGCGATTTCTTTTCTTCGTCGCCGAGTTTGACTCAGCCTTCCTCTCAGTTGGAATTGGGTTGGGCCAGAGTACACGTTGTCTGGGCTTCTCCGAATAAGGATTGCTTATTCGGCCAACTTCGGAAAGGGCCCAACTAATGAAGCAGAGCCCAGAAAGTCGGCCTACCTGTTTCATTTTTGCTGAAGAGAGGCAGGCCCGGTGTCTCACATGGGACTACTTGTGGAAAATGTTTTGCTGGGGCGGTGGGTGCAAAGCAAAAAATTCAATAAGGACATCTATTTTTTCAAGTTGAAATTTAATGACTTTTTTTAACACGGTTAACGGTTTCTTATCAATTCCTCTGTTTAAAAAATCCCGCTAGAACTTTATGGTTTCGAAAATAATACCAGAAATTAATTACAAGTTTAACTTCCTTACTTTAACCGAAAACCGAATCTGATATGCCAACCTGATCTCATTAATCCTAATCGATAAAAGGAATTCATTTTAAAAAACGAAACGGTTTTCCGCATAAGCAATGACTTCTTTTAACGACTTAACAAGTTTTCCGACCACCATCAAATCCATCATAGATATGCATTGATACAGAGAGAGAGAGGACCCAATGGCCTCACGAGTTAGGTAATGTGAGATGGCAGTTGCCATTATTTTAGGTTATTAGGTAAGGGTATTTGAGAAAGCTGCTGCTGCAGCGAGAAGCGCTTGCCGGAGGAAATGGAGATTGCAGAGAGTGCAGCCATTATTATGATTGTTGTATAATGAAAGCCACAAGAGGTGCGTGTCCCGGCTGTATCTGCAATCTTAAGGTGTGGGCGGCGGGGACATAATAATTCATTGTACATTCTTCTAGGTAGCCATTAGTGATCCAAAATACCAACTACTCTTTCCCATTAGGATTGATTGGAGCCTTGGAAAAGATCAAATTTTGTAATTGAGTTGGGCATCTCATTAGTAAATCGGCTTGGGTTGATTCATCTGATTCAGATATTATTGATCGATTTCTCTGTATATGCAAAAATCTTTCTCGTTATTATAGTGGATCCTAAAAAAAAAAATTGTATCGAATAAAATATATGCTTCGACTTTCTTGATAGTGGAAAAGTTGACAGATAGGTCACCCATACTGCCACTCTACAGAACCGTACATGAGATTTTCACCTCATACGGCTCCTCGTTCAATTCTTTCGAAGTCGTTGGATCATTTTCCTCGTTGATGGCAATTTTGCTGATACCCATAGGTATTTTACTATCCAAATGGATGGATATGGGTAGAGTTTAATGGATTTATACTCGTACCCATTTATTTGGGTTGAGTTGGGTTTATAACAAATGGATTTGGGTTTGTACCCATGCCCAAAAGCAAATTACATTTTGGTTCCTAAACTCAATAGATATGCATATTTAATACCTAAATTTAATTTTTTTTTTTTTTCATATAAGTCCTCAAAACATCGATGGAAAATTACATTTTGGCACCTAAATTTTTCAAGTTTTACAAATAGATTCAATTTTTGCATGTGTAGTTAAAACACCATCAAGTAAATGGATATCCATATCCAACTCATACTCATTTAGATTATGAAAACAATATCCATACCTTACCCAAACTCATCTACAAACCCCCAAATCGATATACGCACTTCACTCATACCCAACTCGTTATGAATGGGTCTACTTGGGGTTTTGGGTATAATTACCCATGAATGGGTAATTGACATCCCTATTTCCCATGTCCACACATATATATACCACGGAACATCGAACCCATAGAGTATACAACATGTATTCCGAGTATGAATGGGAATGGTGAGGTGAGTGCGGGGTACTCGATATTCATATTCGTTCGCGAATCTGATATGTTATTATAGGGTATGGGTCGGTGTATTGTCTGTCACACATTGAGTATGTTTATTTGTAAGTTCTCAAATGTCTCTTAACTTTATGGTAGCAAAAAATATTATGTGATAAATTGTAATTATATAGGAATAATTTCAAGAAGCTTAAGACATCTCTTCTCTTTGTGCTGTTTTAAGGAAGGCCGGGCAATTATTATTCAGTCGCACAAAAGCCAGCTCCATGAATCGCTGTATCCTCGTCCTCCAACAACACTTCAGTTATTAGTTATTACCATGCTTAATTATTTGCCTAGCTTGTTCCCCTTTTCCCACCATCTTACATTTGTTACCTTGCCAATAGATTTACAATAATGGTGGACAGGATGTAAAAGAAAGATATCCCCTGCAAAATGTCATGGCAGGGAGGTTGAGGCGTGGCAGGTTCAATCACACAACGTTTCTCGTTGATCGTGGGTCATGTCGGGTAATTTTTTTGGTAAAAAAAAAAATAAAGGTGGATTAGATTGGATCATTAAACCTAATTATGTATCATATACGTTACGTTACTAAATCAAACGGGAAGCGCGGTCAAAAGGTCTGAGGCGTGGCAGGTTCAATCACACAACGTTTCTCGTTGATTGTGGGTCATGTCCGGTAATTTTTTTGGTAAAAAAAAATGAAGTTGGATTAGATTGGATCATTTAACCTAATTATGTATCATATACGTTACGTTACTAAATCAAACGGGAAGCGCGGTCAAAAGCTCTGATCACAAAATTTGTATCTGTCTAAGATACACATCAATATATAGAGAAAGTCACAAATTAAATTATAAACAACCTCTCATAACTTAGGATACAAAAATCAAATGAAAACCATTCCAGAAAAAATAGAGAAAGGGCTTTGCGTGTCACTACACGGAGACAGTCCAATTAGCCGTCCTAATTAAAAACGGTTACATATATTTTCTGAACGCTAGATCCAGAGCTGACACCGTACGAATGCAATATCGAAGAAGGACGAGCCATCACTTTTGAGTGAGTCGCCTTCAACAATGTGACGCATCGGATGGGCAAAAAGATTGGACGCCATGAGCTATATCCACCCCCCCCAAGCAGTGACCAATTCAGCAAAACAAGAATACATGTTGCTTCCTCTACTCAATGTGACAATGATTGTGCCATATATATATGATGATATAGCAAAGCTAAATCGTCTCTTTCACCGGTCGATTCTCATAGCAAACACATGCAATTTATGCACACTGATGATGTCTCCATCGCCCTTAGCAGATCAGTACTGCCTGCCCCCACTGGCCCAATTGTAGGTTTGCATTGAATTGTGTAGAGCAAGCATATGGACATCAATGCCCAAATGTTCACTTCCATATTGAGAGTGGAAGAGGTTGCGATCAGATGTTCTTGCACACATGTTATCGGAATATTCGATTGAGAGATCTCGTGTTTGAACCCTCAAGATCAACCGTTGATATAAGTACGCGAGATGGTAGCAAGTTCGCGTGTAAGTTTGCAAGTTCATGCACGTTGGTTGACCAATTGCTCCTTTGTGAAAGAATAATTCGCCAAGAAATGAGCTAAACGTTTCCGATTATCCGCGCGAAGTTGATGGAAGGCCACCTGTATATTAAAGATGTATCGGGATGGGAAAACCGAGATTCTCATCCTCATCACTCACACGTCGGATGTTCCATCTAAAGTGATATGAAACTAGCGAGGAAGAGCATTTTCCAATATGTACAGAGATTAACATCAGATGTTGTGGTAGTTCGAAAGTGTTCGAGGACGAAGATTTTATGATACATTTCGACGTAGTGTGAAATTCGGATTTGGCCCGGTAGGATAATATTAAGCTCATAAGGAATAGATACGTATGGTCATCAACTGACTCAACTTGTCTACTGCATGTGCCTAAACTGCCGCAACTAATTTATAGCTTAGCCTCCCCCCCGCTCCAAGAAAATAGAAATGAATGCTAAATTTAGGTATGTTTGACGTGGATTTTTTCAGCCTCTGACTCAGACCACACGGAGTCCACGTAAGCAATATACACACAGCTTTGGGTTGCGGATCAGTGACGTGGAAGCCCAATGAGGTGGGAATAGGAATTTGAATTTCCATTCATACCCTTTTTCACTCACACCATATCCACTTGGGCTTTGCGGCGGGCCCACATCACGGCAGGGAGTGGGGGGGGAGGAGTCCAAATCAGCAGACGCAAATTAATGCAGTATAATCAGGTGGGGCCCACGTATCTGGAAAACAGTGATGGGCTGAGCTGGGTTAAGATGTGGACCACCGGCCGCTTCATCGCCCCATTTGCATAAATGGGACCAGGCCCGATTTTGGCCCAATCAGGATCCGCCGCGGGCTTCCCAGCTGCTGATGCGCAGAGCCGTTAGTCTGACAAATCGACGTGTACGGCCCAGATTGATTGTAGAGTTACAAGGAAGATCCTCCGAGATTTTCTTCCTCTAGGCTCTTTTTCTTTTGCCTCGTTTCTTTTTTTTTATTTTTTATTTTGAACTTTTTTTTTAGGTTCGTCCAGAGATATTTACAGGGTTTTGCAGCTCAGAAACAACGATATCGGCCTGAATCAGGACCGGATCGGATTCTCGATCCCTGTCGTTTGTAGCATGGTGGAATCAGACCGGAATAATAGTGGATAAAACTCGAAAATTTTATTTTTTCCAGTCAATCAAATGAATGTAACTCTAAATTTTACAGTTCACAAATGAAAAGATAAGAACAAGGGGATGGGAGACAGACACAATCATGCGTAGAATCACAAATGACAAGAGCATGCATGTACGTTTTGTCATGTTTCATGTTTGGCGGACGAGAATAGAAAGAATGGGATGGAAGGGAGTCTAGGGGACCGGCACACACGCAATGATGTATGGATGATAATTTCGGTCTGATTCGTCGTGTTTGATTTATTTTGAACGAATATTAGATAATGTTTTGTAGGCAGGAAGGGACACGTCACACGAGTACTTGCTTTGACATAGCATGTTTCGATACGCTCCATTCTCGACTAATTTTATCCAACTTATATGTAATTTTACTCAAACTAATTAAGATTTTGTTTTTATCATCACATCATGTACTTCATTTTTTTTTATCATGTCATAGTTAGTTTCTCAAACTTTTAATGGAAAAACAAAACGAATGTCAAATGTTTTTCCTTAAAAACTTCATGTGTATGTATTTTACCTACTTCGACTATATAAGAATTTTATCTGCTTCGACTGTGTAGCTGAATAAAATACTCAACGTGTCACGAATGTCATCGATGAAGTATTAATACCGAAATACCCGTTCCCGACTTGCCCGTTGCCATTTCTTAGCGTAGTTTGCAGGGATTTTGGTTGGTTGTGTTATTAATGGCCGTTTTGGCTTTGTTAGGAGGTGTGTTTCAGTTTTGCAGTTTGTATTGCAGCCGGCCGTGAGTGGAAAGCGATAGAACCAAAACCAAAAAACTGGCGGCTTCCTCTTCCGCCCTGCAAACTCCAGCTCATGAAAAAAAGGGGGACCATTTGATATTATTGGTCTCATGATCTCAACCGTTCAAAATCCTGCTTTCTTTAGGGGAAACTAGTGCCCAATCAGTGTCTAATGTAGTTATCCAGGTTGTTAAACCCCTATCGAACCACCAGTTGAACCTGATTCGACCTAAGTCGGGCTTAAAAATGACCTATAGAAAGTCCACCGGTCTGACCCCTAAAGAGTGAGAAGAAGAGAGGGGGAAGAGAGAAAGAGGAACAAATGAAATGAGATGATGAGTGGATTATGGAGGTTAGGTAGATTTATTTTGTGGAAAATAAGTTTTTAATATATATTATATACATGTAAGATAAAGTTCATTTCAGTTATTAAATCTTTAAGTACTACATCATTTGTATACATATTTAGAAAAAGTCTAAACCGGCTGGACCCCGATCAGACCATTAAACCTCAAACCCCTTGCTTGATCGGCTCAATGGCTTAACCCGGTTTGACAACATTGGTAGTTACTTATGCACGAAACATAAAGTTGAACACTGGAAAAGGTTTGTACGAAATTCATTATAATGATAACTCGAGTTATTGGGATCAACTGATTCTTGACATGATATCAGATAGAGTCTTTTGATTGTTGACCGGGATGATAAATTCTACCAACAAACAAGTTTCAGGGAGGCCTGAATTGGGACTGGTGCCAGTCTGCCCTGTCATCCCCTGCCTACCTTTCCTCTGTATCTAACCTTATAAAAAAAATGGTACTAAAAAAGAGCAGATAAGTAAGCAATGCGTGCTTGAAGAAGGAAGAAGCAGGCTTTTTGTCTGGTCTGGTTTGGTTGTTGCCTTGCCCAACTACTGGTCTGGTCTCAGACATCATTATTATGCCCTTTTACGTGCAGAATACAGAGAGATTGGAAAAAAAAACTTATCCTTCTTTGGAGCGCACTCTGCTCATCTGGGGAAAAGGAAAAGGAAGAAGAAGGTGTTCATCACACTAATACACTGTGAATTTCTCTTAATGGGTAGCAGTAATCTTGATTCTTGACTTCTTCTAGAGAGAACAGAGTTTGCGTCGATGTGTTGCTGTTCATCAAGACAAAAGCAATCGACTGTGGTTTTTTTTACCCCCGTTTCATGGCGTAGAGGGCAGAGGCAGAGCATGTGCAAAGCAAAAGCAAAGCAAAGGGAGAATGATACGTGTAAACACCAGAATCGATCTCTCCCATCACTCTCTCCGATGTTGCCATGTTTTCCTTCCTTCTCTTTTTCCTCAAATTGCTGCAGTGCTATTACAATGATTCCGACCACAAACGTGATGTGTTTTAGCTACGTTTATTATTAGTAGGAGAAATCAGTTTTCACTTGATGAAATACAAAGTACAAAAAAAAATTGAGAATTGATGTTGAGCACCTGATCTCCAGATCGCGGCCTAATCTCAATCCAATCTTGAAAAGATCGCGCGTGACTCCCAGTCGAGAACAGACGAATCTATCTATCTTCAAATCATAGCAACAATTTGGATCGTAGTTCTGATGCCACTGAGTCTCGATCACGGTGGTCGCGACTAACTAGTTGATCATATGTTTTCTGTTCGCGGAACATCGTATATGATTCTCAATGTCTTTTTAGGACCCTAATTGATTATATGATCAAACAAAATACCAGATTTTGTTTTCGGAACATCGTTGGACGTTGAATCGTTCCTTTTCTGATCGCATTTTCAATTGGAATCATTCTAATGATAGTAAAAAGATGTGGGTGTTGGGTTGGAGGGTTAAGTTAGTGAGTCACTCTGCACACTCACTCTGAGGCTTCCACATATCTCCCTGCTGCGAGCTTTCTCTGCACTCATTCAATCACACACCAGTGCCGCCACTTGCTGCTGCTGCTGCCAAATATAATGGAGGGAAACTGGCTTTGCCTTTCCAAAACAACCGACGCATGTAAAACTGTCTTTCTCTCCCCATCTTATTCTCTTCTTTAGCCTCTTCCCTTCCCCTTTGTGACAAATCGCACTGAGAGGTAACAACCCATTTCGCCACGCGTCCCCTCCCAGATGAGATTCTTGCCCACCAATAATCTCGTACAACAGCTGCTGCACATGGATTCTGTGTTCTGGATAAGCACGACTGCAGTCAGTCAGTCAGTCAAGTCAGTCTTCCCATACCGGTTTTCTTTAAGCTAATTGTGGGATCGGTTAGGGTCGTTAAAGGGAGAGAGATTAATCACTAATATAATTGGTTTCTGGATTCATGTTTTAAAAAATACGACTCTGTTTCGTTGATTGGTTGTTATGGGGAGTTAAGTTGCTTGCTGTGTGGTTTAAGTTGAACTAATCAACCTTTTGGGTAGGTAAAATCACTAATAATTCACTATTAGCTAGCGAGAAACATGTCATAGACCAACTATAGTCTCAACAATTTGAGTTCGTTAGTGAGAAATTTTATGAGTGGATGTTAATTAATTAACCACTTTCTTAAATACCCACTCAAACGGAATATTGGGTGTTTTAAAACAATGATTAGTATTGGAGGTCGTGAAAGGGGGTTAGAATACGCTGATTTCATCAATGCAAACCAGATTAAAATATCATGTCGTAAATCAACTGATCTCAATAATTCGAGTAATTAAAAGAGATTTGTGTATGAGCATCTTGGAAATCACTGTCTTCCTCTTCTCTAATTCGATCCTAACAAACCACTTTAGACCGAATCAAGTTTGTATTACTTGGACTTGATCTAAACCCAACTCGTTAATCTACCTTTATATATATATATATAAACTCAAGTCAATGCAAACTCAAGTCTCATTTTCTAGAAACCCCAAAAAAGATTAGACTATTGCATTTTCTAGAGATTTGGTATACGTAAACTATTTGAATTAACCTAGCTATTGTGTAGTTCTCTCTAAAGAACCATTTCGTCCGAATAACTCAAGAGTTTCGTAAGAGGAGGTCAGTTACTGTTAGAAAACACATCCCGCGATCTTCCTCATTTATGTTAAATTCAATTGATTGGTATACTCAACCCTCATATCACCTAGCTAGGAAACTAGAGCATTCACATTAAATCCGTTTCCTCCCTATTCTTTATGTTACTCAAGATTCGTGTATCACTCTCGTTATAAATCCGTCTAGATTTATCCACGAAAACGAGTTCTCAATCATTTGTAAAAAAAATTTACAGTTCTATATTGAATCTTTTATCATTTAGTAGCTGGTATCTTAAATGCAATATATGAATCACGTGGATTATTCCATGAGCAAAGAAACCGAGTCTTGACATTTAGCAAAAAAAATTAAGGCGCATGCATGCAGCTGGACTCTGTGAACAACAGTTACTTACGTCCTTTTTTTCACTATTGGATTTGCTCGATCTACCGGGAAATCAATGCCTATTAATATAAGCAGCTGCAGTAATAAATATCCTCATTCAAGTCACCACTCACCGCATTTAACACTTCCGTTTTCTCCATTTTATGTTTTTTTTTTTGGGTATATCCTGAAAAATCTTGAAAAATATATAGACACATATAAGTTGGTCCAAAAATACGAGATATTAATAATAAATATTAGTCACGTAGTTTTCATGACCATGGTTCTTCCCCGTAAATTTTTTTTTTTCACCTTTCAATTTCATGGTATAAATTTTTAACAGTTTCTAGACCGTTACTAAATGTGCAGGGAAACAGACAGCTAAACCCAGTTCAGAGAGCAATTAATATTCCCCGATTTAGTACACATATACATAGTAAAAGTAATTAATTACTCCAACTCACTCATTCACTCGGATTGGGATTAGGTGCTAACCCTTATAGGAGTTAGCACCGTGATAACTAGCAAAAAACACTACTAAAAATAACAAAATCACTATGGATTATTATAAAATCAATACTACATCTAAGCTAAATCACAACTAATTCAAACTAGTAGTAGTTTTCCCTTGGTTAGGACGGTGCTAACTATTGTACAATTAGCACCGTAGCCGTTCCCCATTCACTCGCCTGACCCGGCGACGGTATACATTATGCGGCAATAAATCTAAGGGGTCGTTTGGAAGTTGGGAGTCTATAAATGTGTATTCTTGCAATGTATGTATTCTAAGTGTAGTGATTGTAAGAAATAGATGATTGTAAGAATATGTTGTTTGATAGTTGTGATTCTCATTTTTTGAAGAGTATAAGGATTCTCACTTTAATGACAAAAAAATTTATATAACCTTAAAGTTATGTTTATATAGTCAATTAAAGAAGGGGCACATATGAAATATATAAAAAAATAATAAGGATAAGAGCTGGAAAAAAGCAATTACAAAGTAAAGCAAGAGAATCTCACCTTTTAGTAGAGATTCTGAAATGAATGATTCTAGTCATTTGAGATTCTAAAGTACCAATCAAATACATGCATTCTGGATAAGTTTATGTCAAAAGAATGATAGATTGTAAAGAATACCCACATTTACAGAATCACTAAACTCATAACTTCCAAACGACCCTAAAGTAATTTAATTCCCACGTTGACCGGAGAACATTTCTAAATTCTAACTGTCACTATAAAGCTGGTGGTAGATGAGGTGACTAAACCCCAAAAGGGTAAAAGTCAATCCTAACTTTCCAATGTTGTTATTCAAAAAAAAAATGATTTCGTGGGTCAAAAATAGAAAGGGGTATTTCAGGAAATTAAATTTTGGATAGGGAGTCGAATACTCAAATAGTAAAGTCTCTTGACTAGATTCGCAAACATATAGTAAACATTCTTTCAAGCAATTTCTAAATCGTCGTTTTGCTCTTAGTAGTTAAGTGATGAATCTCTCACATGCACTCAATCAAGCTATCTTATGCGCCTCTTGAGTTTTTAACTACACAGGAAAGAGGATGAGTAATGTGTGTATGCAGTGGCGAAGTCAGTAATTTGAATGGAGGCTGATTTGCACTGTGATAATTGGAGGAGAGGGGACTACCGACCCTCTGACTTCAACTTAGTTCCTCCACTGTGTATAGGCATTGTTAAACTGGTTTCTTAATTCATCATATTCGACACAAGATGAAACTATCTGCAAAAATTATCATTTTGCAAGATCAACGATATTCATTGGTGCTAATTTCCCAACGTCAACATAATAGTCAAATTTACTTGCGCTTGGAACTCCATAATCCAAGTTACACTCTATGTATTATGCTAAATCTGGTATATGAACCTCTGCTAATAAATAGTTGGGTTCCAACAACTCGAGTTGTTAGAATAGGTTTAATTATGGGTTTTGGTACCATTTACTAACACGCTTCGCAAATGAAAACCAACTCATATGAGTTTGAAATTTGCACATGTATGAATATCATGTGTACGAAATTAAAGATCGTCGAGGTTCACATACAAATTCTCGATCATCAAAGACTCGATTACTATGTAATAAATAACCAATTGATCCCAATAATCAAACTGTTAGGAGAAATTCAATTATAAATATATACAATTATTTACAAAATCTCATTCACATCTTCAATGAATGAAATTTATCAATCTTAACCTAAAATCCGACAGTTGTTGTGGTGGATTATAAATCTGATGGAAACTTTTGTGATGTAAAATGCAAGATATCTATCTGGACTGCCCATAGATTTCATCCCATAATAAAATCCAACATACACCTCTAAATTTTCTACTGTCGTTTCCATTTGTTGTTTGCCAAACAAGTTAAGTGACAATTGACAATAATGTGTAACATTTGACCTCTGCTTTCTCAAATTGTACTCCAACTAGTATCGGCTTAAATACATATTAGTTCTCTTTGGACCCCTCCTCTTAATAGGACAAAGAAATTTACAACATAATTTTCATTTATAAGAAGCCAAACAAATATAAATAATTCACTGTTTCCTAATTTATAAATCTTCGTTTCGAATGTTTTTTTATTGAAGATATTGTTATTCTTGTGTGCAGTGGATGAAAAATATCGGTTTGACTATTATAATATAGTTACACAACTTTAGCGTCCTTATTTTATAATATGACATTCCCTTTAGTAACAGACCGACACAAGGGATCCATTTATGTAATCCATCAGAGGTGGGTAAATGATGGATATGTAAGCGAGATATCGTCTGTGTGAAATGTCGATTTCTTCGCATGTCAACCATTGTATTAATGAATCAGACACCGGATACTCTTATAAACTGTTATGGAATGTAAACATCCCTCGTCTAAATAGAGAATTTAATAACTCAACTATTGAGTCACTTTATTAACAAGGTAACTCCTTGATCCAGGTCATTCCAAGTTTGACCTTTTCACATAATTTGGAATACAATGCAAATGCCCTAAAAAAAACATATCTACTTTCCAAAATAATGGATATAATCGAAACGTTTCTTCTTGGCCTTTTGCTCTTGTTGTAGCACGGAAAGAGAAAAGTGGGACTCTTCTATTTGAACTTCCTAGTCAAGGTTGTTCCTTCTCCCCTTCGTTCAAATTCCCCTCCTTTTTGAGCCGTCCGATTCTCAGCACGTGTACCTTTGTACCACCCTATCCCACCGTCCACTTTTCCTTTTTTACAAAAATAATTATTTATATCTTAATTAGCGTTCATGCGTTATTAATCTTTTTATTATATTTCCAAAAATAGTCGCGGTCACGTGACGAGAACACGTGCCCCTTCCAAATACTAGCCCAGTAAAAACTATAAAAAAAAGGCCTGATAACACGTAGCCCAAACTTAGACCGTCACCGTTACTGTGACAGACGGCTCAATTTTTTTCATTTCCATTCATCAGTTTCAAAATATTAAATAATATTCATATAATATATTCTGCTAATAACAATTCACATCTTTCATTCAAAATAAAAAAACAAAATATTAAACAGAAAAGAACGAAAAAAGGGGACAAAATTGATACTAGGAAGGAAGGAAAGAGAAAACGGAAACATAACAACCCAAAGATTCTTCGTCGGATTTTGTTTTCTTCCCTTCCCGCCGGTGACACTCTGCCGGCAACAAAAAGGCTGAAGTCTGGTCCGACGAGCTCAGACTCGCTGCTGTCCTCTTCTCATACGGAAAGCATAGGATCCGACCCGAAAAGATCGCCGATGTCTTGAAAGCACTCGTCCGGGTTCCAGCTGGAGAATCCGATCCCAAAATCGTCGCCCGACCCGACCGCACCGGTGAAAAACTCCCCGCCGATGAAATCCTGGCTCAGGAGGCCCTCCACCGCCAGATTGGTCTCGTCGAAGATGTCCCGCATCGAGCTCTTGAAATCGTAGGCCTCGTCGGCGAAGAGCGCCTCCATGGAAGAGAACTCGGAGATCTCGGAGGACTCCTCTTTCGCCGCCGTGAAAGTGGTGCTCTGCGACTGTGATTGTGACTGCGATTCGGCCTCTTCTTGCGACGACGGAGAGGGAAAACGGAGGGTTGAAGTGGGGGAGCGGCTGCCGCCGCCGGCGGGCTTGCTGTCGTTGCGCGACTCCTCGGCGGAGTTGTATTCTGAGCTGGAGGTAGGAGCGGTGGTGGTGGCGGTGGCCGGAGGCGGAGGAGGGGTGAGGAAGTTGGTGAGCGCGTCGGGTCCACGCAGCTGGACGGCCGCGTTGTCGTACACCATCGCGGCTTCTTCGGCTGTATCGTACGTACCTAACCAGAGCCTCACGCGCTTGAGCGGGTCTCTTATCTCCGCCGCCCACTTCCCCCACGGCCGCCGCCGGACACCTCTGAACTTCTTCGCCGGCTCCGCCGGCCTCACAGACAAATCTACTCCACCGGTGGAAGATTTCGATCTCCCGGCCTTCGACCTCGAGGTTCTCCTCCTCGCCCCCCAAACAGGGTCGTACGAAGAACCGGCGCCGGAAACAGAGCAAGAGGACTCCACTGTAATCTCGCTGACAAATTTCTTCACCCTCCGCCGCTGCCCGGAAAACTCCGTCTCTCCCTCGTCACTGGACGAGTCGGTGGCATCTGGGTCGGTAACAGATATTCTGACGACTTGAGTGGGCTTCGTCTCCGACGAGACAGAGTCGTCGGCGGGGAAAGGAGAACGGACGAGCTTGGTGCGATTCCGGTACTCGCTGAACTTGACCGGCGCGGTGGAACGAACATCGCCGGCGTTGGTATCCATTTCTTTTTGCCCAAATTTTGTTTGCACGAATCTGTGGGTATCAGTAGTTTGGCATTTGAGAAGAGTGAAAGGGCTAGAAATCAAAATATAAAGAGGGGAGAGAGATTCTTTCGAGGCGGAGGCACAAGAGGGAGAGAGAATAAAGGGGATGAAGAAGAAGAAGAAAGGGGTTTTCAAAGGGAAGGTATGAAAGGGGGAGATATCATCTGAGCCATTAATGGATATTTGTGAAACTTTCTTCAAAAGCGTGCACTCCCCTATTAAAGCACGATAAACTTCGAAGGGAGAAAGCTAGAGCGTGGTGTGCCCTTCGTTCAAACAAACCAAAAAAAAAAAAAAGGCAAAGAGGAAAAGGGTCGAGAGCAGCAGACACAGAGAAATGGCGATTGAATGGGCGGAACGGAGAGAGAGAGAGGTAAGGACTGAATGACAGACTCACTCTCTCACTCACTCACAAAGAGGGAAAAAGGAGATTTTTCTCAGGAAAGTGAAACCCAGCAAACGAATCAAAAATTGTTCTCCAGAAACCAGCCTCTTCTTCCCCGAGTGAATCGAAAAAGCTCTCTGTAAGCACACTCTGTTTTTAGGAAAAACAGAGGAAAGGGTGGGGGAGCAGCAAAAAAGGAGGAACAAAAGGGAAGGAAAGTGGGCGGGGAGAAAGATTCCAGGCTTACGATGGCGTTTGGATTCCGAGAAAAATCAAAATCTCGATGGAGAGGAAGAAACAGTCTTTTTCTCTCGCAGTATATGAAGCAGTAGGAGCAGGCGAAGAAGAAGAAGAAGAAGAAGAATAAAGAAGTGAGAAATTGAAGGGGGGAAGTTGAGATACCCAAACTGATTCTTTTATAGCATCCCGAATTAGCCGTAATCTCTTCTCCCTTTCTCCTTCTAAACCCGTACCATAAAACGCTCAGTTTTCACTCCGTTCCGTTCCGTTTAGTTTTTTTTTTCTTTTTCGTTTTTCCTTTTTCTTTGTAACGATACGCCGCATAAGAAGTGGGCGCGTGTGTGCGTTACACGTGGACGGGTAGGGCCTGGTTGGAGGAATTTGGACCAATGAGAAGGAATGTGATGGTGCTGACATGGCATTTTCGTTTTCTTTTTTTTTTAGTTTTAACGAAGAAAAGGGGTAATACGGGAATTTTAGAAGTGGGAGGCATGATCACGTGAGGTCGGACACTTTGGTACAGTCCCGGGCCTTTGACTAGCGATATTAATGCTGATAGTTTAGCTGTTTTTTTAATTAATTAATTGTTTTATTAACTAATAATAATTACCCTCTCTCGCCGGTTTAACATTAATTACCGCCTGGTTTCCCGTTAATTGCGTTCCTAAAATTTTGACTTCTTCCTCTTGGTGTAGGGGGTGCTTTTGGTAATTTGAGCACCGTGGGAGGAGGGCAATACCGTTTTGGGAGGGAAAAGGGCCGTCTTGCCTGTCATCCAGTCCTTTATTGTCTTTTCCCTTACTGTTATTTATTTTCATTTTTATATATTTTTTTCTCTGGCTTGTTTGCCGTTTTTACAGCTGGGACTGAGTAAACGTGGCAGGCAGCTCGTCTTGAATTTGGCGCCAAATTTATAACTGGCAAGTGGGGGTAATAGGAATTATCAATATTTATTTTCTTTCGAGTTTTATTCAATTTTCTCCTGCTGTAAACATGAAAAAACATTACCGACTAGAATTATTATTATTATTATTATTGTGGTAAATAAATAAATGAATAAAATAGCACTGGCTAAGGATTTACCGTACTTGGCAGTGATGCCATGCCAGTAGGATCTGCTCTGTAGTCTGCTGTAGTTATCTTGGGATTTACCGTCTCATTTCACTTTTTTTTTTTCCCTATAAAAAGTAATTTGATGATTGTTGTGTTTATCTGAAGATGTATTTAGCAAATTGAAATCGTAAAAATGACTAAAAATACATGTGAAAAAAAGGAAGAGTATATTTTTAATAAAATTGGATTTTTTTATATTTTAGCTAAAAATACGAAAAAAGTTTTATTTTCTTGTAGTCCACGTTTCAATTTTCTACCTTGTTTCAGAAAAGATTGGAAATAGAAGATAGCTGTAAATTTCTGACATGGACAGATAAATACAAAATATAATTAAAAAAAATACCATAGCATAAAATTGTACCAACAAAAAGTGACAGTTCCAATTTCTGAATCCAAAACGAAAGAAGAAAGAGACAAAGGACAACGCTTGGAAATTATCGTGTCTGTTTTGCAACGAAGAAGCTTGGGGTACAAGGAAACGAATGAATGAGAGGCTTGAGTAGTTGAGTTTTTGGCCTTTTGGGTCTTCCCCTAATAAAGACTCCAAAAAAACATTAGTCTCATGACCCCAAGTCAAAAAAAAAAAAAAAAAAGATCAACAAAGATTAGGTAGTGTGGAACCAGAGCACCCTCTTGGAATGTGTTATGCAGTTTACACTCCACTTTTCAGCTTCCAATAAGTCGCAATCATTCTCAAAACAGTCTATAAAAAAAAATTAACTCGTTATTTTATAGTCACTCAAAGTTGGTTAATACGATTTTTTACATTCCAACGTGTGTCTTTTTGTTTAGAACTACCATTAGTTGAATATATGGTTGTTATGAGTCGAACTGTTCATGAACGGCTCGACGTTCGGTTCGAAAAAAATCTCGTTAGAGTCGGGAAAGACTGGACTATTTTATTAACGAGCATAAATTGAGCTATGCTTTGTTGAGCTCGTTAGGTGGCCTTGTTGAGCTAAATTTGTGAACTGTCTCGTTTTGAGCTCATGAGACGATGTCTCAACATTGTGACCAGCAAGCCGGCTCGACTACTGACATATGAGAAAAAATCGATCTGAATCTTATGAGTTGCCTTGCTGACGATTCGTAAGTTCGTTAAATTGTACATTTTCACTTCATATGATGTTTCAGACTCCGAGTATGAGCTATTATGCCCATTTATGATAAGGATTAAGTCAATCACATGCGTATCACATATGATATATTAATATTCAGATATTTAATTTATTAATTATCTAAGAATTGAGCTTGAGCCAAACTCCTGATTTTAATGATGAGCCACAATATTAAGAAATGGGTTGGGCTCGAACTCAACTCAACTCAACTTACTTCGTTACTAAAGAGGGCCAAACCCGAACAAGACGAAATTCAACTATACTCGACTCGACTCATTGACAACTCTACTTGAATACGGTGTCTAGATATCGGACCGTCAACTAGATCAAATTGCAATTTTCTGTACACGTGATTGATCACTGCTTCATAGAGCATATTTTCACCCTAGGATTACATATTAGGAAATTACCTCTCGGCAGTAAAAAAAAAATTAAGAAATAAAAATAACAGCATGGTAAATTTGACCAACGTGAAAATAAAACAACTGGTTCGGAGTGAAGGGACCACGGCAGGCGGGCGGGCAGGTTGACGGCAAAACATTGGGCCAAAAAACATTTTCTCGAAGGACGAGTGAAACAAAGAAGCCGCTCCCTACTCTGTCCTCTCATTGGCTTTTTGTCTCCTCTTTTGGTTTTGGCACCCCTCTATTTTCCATATTTATTTCGAGAAATTTTACAATGTTAGATAGTATTGGTGCTATAGGTTTTTGCCTTTATGATACAACTTAAAATTGTACATTTATGTTATGGTACAACTTCAGATTGTACCTATACTTTTTGTACAAATTCTTTTATGGTACAACTGGAACTTGTACATTTATGTGATGGTACAACTTCAAGTTGTAAAGTTGTACCATAACATAATGGTACAAATTGCTTTATGGTACAACCTAAACTTGTACATTTAATGTTATGGTACAACTTTAAGTTGTACATTAAAGCACCAATGCTATATAGCATAGTAGAAGTGCTCTTACGATAAACAAGAAAGTGTATGAATTTGTGCAAAAAATATTAATAATTTACCTGTATATTAGATTGCTCCAACTCTACCATGGTATGTTGGCAAACCTAGTCAATTGCCATATTATATCTGCACAAGAATCTGCATACATATAGTTGATGCCATCGTCCACACTTTAATATTGACATCCCTCATTGTTGACGGTTTAAGATAACTTGCGATGAAATCATGATCGATCATGTCCATGAAGCTCTCCATCAAGGTTGACAACATCAACAAATACTATTAATTAATCATAGAAATCAGGGACCTGATAATAAACTTGTACAAACCAACCAATTAATTAATTGGGGCCGGCTTAACATCATAATTATAAGTAGTATAATCAACGTAACATTTCCCGCCAAAAGGGCAGCAAAATACACGGCAGGGTAAACTGTCAAGAACCAGTTGATCCCAATAACTCGAGTTGTTGAGAGAAGTTCAATCGTGGATCATATACCACAACACTAACACGCCCCCTCAAACGAAAGCCACTCACAAGGGCTTGAAGTTTGCACAGGTCTGAAGACAAGAATACCATGTGCTTAACAAATGGGGTCACCGTGAATCGAACACAAGACCTTTCGATCACAGAAGGCTCTGATACCATGTCATGAACCAGTTGATCCTCCTACTGCAACAGGTGCGCCAGCGGGAGCCATGGACAGCTGGCAGCTGGACATCTTGGTAGGCCGTCGCTGCTGCCAGTGGCGGACCTAGAAATTACATCAAGGATATTCAACGATGAAATAAAATAATAAATCGTCAAGAATTGTCAAATAGCCTTAAGTTAAAAAACTATTATCACAAAAATAAAATCTTACAAAGGAATTTTGTCAAAAAAATGAAAACAAGGTTTGTCAATTGACAAGCCTTGGACTAACCTAGGTCCGCCACTGGCTGCTGCCTCTCTGCCTGCCATTTCCATAATCCCCCAACCCAACTTGATTCCTTTGGTAATTTCCTCTATTCTTATTGCGAATGATCCAAATCCAGAGAATTATTATCGGTCACTCTCTCTCTCACTCTCTCTCTCATCAGTATGTCTCTTGCAAGTTATCTCTCATGTTTGTCTTGTGGAATAGTTAGTTCTCCGACGAGAAAGTTAGTTGTAAGTTTTTTTAGAGAGATAGCAGTTGCTGGAGAGAGAATCCAACCATCTTAAAATGTGATCATCTCTTCTGCTATTTACAGTTTCAAAGACGGTGACATTGTTCTCGGTTCTAGGTCGCCTCATTTGATACTTCGTACTCGTGTTTTTCTTGGAGCTCCGATAGAGAAGCCCCATTCAAGACTAAAGCATGCAGATGACGCATCCGAGTTCGCAGAATGCTTGTCACACTATTTGTCTTATCGAGGGTGGACCCAACCCCTATCTCACACGATTGGGTTCTGAGCCCACACGACGGTCTTTTGGCCCATGGGCAATCGAATTGGACCTATCTTTTAGTGGACCTATACGATTATTATTGACCTCAAAATTCCAATGTAAATACGTTACCACTAGGTCAATCCATGAATTAGGATTTCACTTGTGTTAGGGTAACTAACACTTAAATCAATTTGTTTCAATCAATACATCTTGTCAAAGTCAAAGATCTATGCAATCATAGATAAACGTCTCTTTCGTGGCTCTCCCTTGATATGTTAATGCTTTAATCAATTAACGGGTATGAGTCTTAGTCTTGTAAATTAACCAAGTTAAGCGATGCTAATTATATTGTTTAATTGCAAGTTCAATTATAAAGTTGATATTTGGATTCATCAACCAAAACGAAAAGGCGGCTGGGGCATATCTACGAAGAACAATTAATGTTATAATTAAGGTACAAATCCGATTGGAACAAGTTGGCCAAGTTTTTGGCTTGTTCGTGTTTGGGAGAGCTAACCTAAAAAGTGCAAAGATGCCTTGTTG